GGAGATGTCGCTCTAAGGACAGAGGTGAGAAGGGAAACTCACTATGGCTTTTTCTATATATATATACAGACAGACCCCGACTTACGACTGCTATGACTTACGACCGTCGGGACTTACGACCGCCGCAGATTTTTTATTAAAAAAAAATTTCAAATGACACGCATTTTCTATACCGAAACGTTTCCAGTTAATGTAGTCTCCATGTATAATTAGAAAATTATGGGGGCCCCATGTGCATTCAGCTGACTACATTAAAGGTAAGTGCTCAGTCACACTGTAACCATTCCTTATTATTTATTACTTTCACTGTACTGTATCCATTCCTCATTATTCATTACTTTTACTGTACTGTATTTCATTGTAGATTATTTATTAAATTTTTTTTTTTTTTTTTTTTTTATCTATGTCGGACTTACGACCATGTCGGACTTACGACCTGGATTTGGGTCCCTAACCCCGTCGTAAGTCGGGGTCTATCTGTATATATATATATATATATATATATATATATATATATATATATATATATATATATATATATATATATACTGTATATATATATATTATATGTACAATTCAGTGCTAGGGAGTTGCTGTGTGGTGAGGAGCTTGTTGAGAGGTCTTGTCTGTTTGAGAGCGTTGAGTAGAATCCTCTTCCGATTCGATCCGATGGGATGGAGAGAAGAGAGCCATTGGCTCAGGAAGGTGGAAGACGGTGTAGGAGGAAGGTAAAGGTTAGGAAGTGGGAAATAAAGAGGGAGATTGACAGCAGGTGGGTTGTACACCATGTGGGGACGAGGTTAAGTCTGCCATGCCAGTGTAAGCGCGGAGGATCTACTACTACTGAACCACCGGATTTTCTTCCTCCCTTATTCTTATCTCACACTTCTCTCTGTCTTATTTCCTTCATTGGTTCTGTCTACATATTTCAGTTCATGGTTACTTCATAACCTCAGTTCTTTTGGTAGCATGACTAGGGTTAGGCACATGGGTACTGTAATTCTGGTATCAAGGTCACTTGGACAAAAAATAAAGGTGAATACTGAGGTGAAATGAAGTAACCATGAATTGAAATATGTAGACAGAACCAATGAAGGAAATAAGACAGAGAGAAGTGTGAGATAAGAATAAGGGAGGAAGAAAATCCCCGCCCTTAATGGTGGGCTCGGTGGTTCAGTAGTAGTAGATCCGCTGCGCTTACAATAGTGGCAGCGGTGGGATCCGAACCCACGCCTCCGAGGAAACTGGTGCAAAATGCGTTTCTTCTTAGGGATAACTAACCAGTTATCCACATGTTTTGCGGGCGTGAAGTATAATAAGAATCAACAGATTTTAAAACAGACCAGCAGTCATTGTGACCATGACACCAGCATTTCATGTCCACTACAGCAAGGGAAGGGAAGCCAAGCTAATCTAAGCTAAGGTAGATTGTGGTGTTTGGGGAGGGGGGCCCTCCGTGTCCTTTGAGTCTCTTGGTTTTTATTTCGTATATATTGGTAATCCTCTTCACGGCGAGGCTGGGGGTATTTATACGATTCTGCCGAAAGTGAGCGGCGCTGCTGATTGGCTGAGGTGAAAGGCGGTAACTGGCCAATCAGTCCAAAAGCGAAGCTTGGTCTGTGGAACTCCCCGCGGGTTGACAAATCGGCAGTTGTAGGGGAGGGTATCCACTACAGTACCTCACATCCAACCTATAGGACTTCAGTGAAAAAAATCGACAAAACAACTTTTTCATCATTGCTAAATGTCACTATCGTTTTTTTATTATGAAAATGCCATTATAGTATCAATAGTTATATATCAGTTGTATTTAATGTAACATCACCAGGTATAATTGTACTGTACAACCACAGGGGTAGATCCCCCCACCCTTTTCATCAGAAAATGTCAATACTTTTTCTTTAATGCAGTATTCTTCTCAGGCGTTTTTGTAAAGTAAGAATTACTAATGACCTCAGAAGATCTCTTAATATCACGTGCACATGGCCTCAAAATACCCATTCCACTGGTGAGCTTTCTTATTTTTTCAGGGGGTGGGGGGGGGCTTTACAGTAACTCCCACCCGCCCCCCCAAAAAAAAAAATTCCCAGCTGGGTGGGCTCACTGTGCTCCCCATGTTCTCTCATCCACAACTTCTTGGACCCCCTCCCCCCTTCTGATATTCCTGGATCCGTCCCTGCATCACCAGGTATAATTTACTGTAACATCACCAAGTATAATAATTGTACTGTACTGAAACCACCAGGTATTACTGCCCTGTAACATTAAAAGGTACCGTTGTATTGTTGTGTCCCTTGTATACTGTATTCAAAATCATTACGGAAGTATGTATTGTGGGGTACAGGTTGTTTGGTTCACACTCAGGGTGGGATGGAGAAAGGAAACTCACAATGTGCTCTCTGTATACATATTGTATTGGATGTACAGTGCAGCTTGGTGCTGGGAAGTGACAGAGTGGTTACAAGCGTGATGTAGAGAGAGCTGGTTGGTGAGTATGCTCAGAGGAGGACCAGCTTGTGGGTCGCCATGCTTGTCGGCGGGAGCGAGGATCGCCAGGCAGGAGTGGAGGAGGTGGTGTTGCTTGCTGGTTGGTGTAGGTAGAAAGAGACAGGTCACCACGAGGTCAGGTCTTATATAGCGGAGGTAGGCATGGCTTAATAGTTGACCTCCGCTATGTAAGGCGGCGCTGGTTGACCTAGACCACGAGGCATACACTGGGGAATTCGTGGGGTCGGCTACTCAGCGACAAACAGCGCTTATAGGGGAGAAATCCACTACAATACTCCCTCCTTCCCTCCAGGTGGTGTAGGAGACTTGTTGTCTGCAGGGGTGCATGGCACATGTGAGGCAGAATGGGCGGTGCATGCCACATGTGAGGCAGAATGGGCGGTGCATGCCACATGTGAGCCAGAACGGCGAGGGCGTGGATGAGCCGGCCGCTAGAGGAGACAACTGTCTAGATACCCAATATTTGTGGGAGTAGAGAGAGAGAAAAAGGGTGTGTGGAGGCAATGAATGTTGTGCTTCCCTCACGGCAGGTACAGAGTCGTCAGATGCGCCTGCTGGGGTGTGTGGGCCTTTGGTCAGGAGCAGGGGCTGCGTCAGCAGAAGCGGAAGAGGGCTCGTGACAGCAGCTGGGTCCACGACAGCAGCAGGGTGCAGGACAGCAGCAGGGAGTACCTGAGGGAGAAAAGAGGGGTGTGTGGGTCCGCACTCAGGCGCATGGGCCGCGTCGGGAGCAGGGACTGCATCAGGAGGAGCGGCAGGGGGTACTGCTGGGCCGGGGGCGGCGTCTGAGGCAGGACGGGTGTGCTGGGGTCGGTAGGACGTGGTGCTTGGGGCAGGAAGAGGAGCTGGTGTCTGCTTAGAGAGGCAGTGCTGCTCTAGGGTGTCTAACCTGCAGTGTAGAGACAGTAGCTGTAGAGCCGATGAGAGCTGCCTCTGTGTGGATAAGCCAGTCTTCCATGTTGCTTGAAGACTGGGAGCGTGATCGGTTTCTCCTCCATCCTGTGTGAGTGCGAATCTCCGGGGGTCGCCATTTGTAGCGTACTGTCGTGGCAGGTTGTCAGGGTTTCTTATTTGGCCTCACAACGTACGTACATGAAATATATCCAACACTCAGGATTGAGGTAGAAATAGAAAATCACAGAGTTTCTCGTATATATATTGTTGCACAGCACAGTGTTAAAGAGATACTAAGTCGGGCGAAGCTTGCTCAGAGTTCCTGTAGGACGAGGAGCTTTCTGAGGGAGCGTGTGTATGGAGCTGTTGAGGGATGTTGCTTGTTGGTGGCGGTAAGTAGAAAGAGACAGGTCACCACGAGGTCAGGTCTTATATAGCGGAGGTAGGCGTGGCTTAATAGTTGACCTCCGCTACGTAAGGCGGCGCTGGTTGACCTAGACCACGAGGCATACACTGGGGAATTCGCGGGGTCGGCTACTCAGCGACAAACAGCGTTTGTAGGGGAGAAATCCACTACAGTATCATTGTATAAATTTTCAGGTTAGTAAGAATCGTTTTGTTGACGGAGATAGAGGCTAGAGCGTTTAGTTGCCATGATTACCTAACCAAATCAAGCCATTCCACAGCCTCTTGTCATAAAACTGTTATCATGTGCTCAAGAGTCAACAGTTACAACATTAATCTGAAAAAACTATCGGCTACAGCGAACGATTGATATGATTCAGATATGTTTTGCAAATTCCGTGACCGTTGTCGACTCTGTATATTTTACATTTGAAATAGATAGATAGATATTCAGTAAAGTCATTATACAAGTCCTTACTGATTAAGCATATACATGTATAAAGTCAGTGCAGGCAATAATTCAGGCATACACCAACAGTAATGAGCCACAAGTTCAGAAAATTATCAGGCAAATTTTGGGGGGAGTGAGAGTTGTGAACTCTTGAAATAATTTAGCAGTGTTGGGCGCAGGATCAGAATCGGATACATTGCGTAACAAACGTGACCAACCGCCCAAGCAGCTAACATGCTGCAGTGGCGAAGAGAATAAAGTACAGCACAAAAAATTGTCAGAGGTAATTTCCTTGAAGTAGAGTTTTGAGCTTGGTAGAGAATGTTGTGAAAATACTAAGAGTGAAGTCTTTTGACTCCGGACCAACATTGGACCACGTTCACGTTATCCAGGAGTGCGTAATAGAACATCCGACTGCCCATATAAGTTGACAACTTGACAAATATCACCCGGGTGGAGGGCCTGCTGTTGCTCGGTGCTCACATACAAATCACCCACCCGTGCTGGTGTTGGGTTGGCGGATTACGTAGAGATAGTGGGCGGGCATTATGAAGTTTGCCAAAATTAATGCTGTTCTTTGGTATGTTAATTATGTATTACTTTTTACTTTTTTTACTTTTATCCTCTTCGCCACTGATCGGCTTGTTAGCCGCCCGGGCGATCGGTCACGTCTCTGTAAATGTATTGTTGTTACCAAGGCCTATAGACCCTGGTTTTCATGACTCAACAGGGTTGTAGACTGGCTCCGGTGTTCGTAGAGGAGAGTTGTCATCAACGTAGATTCTCGTCAGTCCTCGGATAATATTCGGCTAATAGACAACTGCGTGAGGCATGAAGGTCAGGGACACGAGTCAGTGAGCGTGAGTTGTGAGCCAGAACCAGTGTGGGAGGCAGGAGCGGTGGAGGTATTATGTGGCAGGAAGTCTCTTATTTAGGAGCCACGCTCCTCTTAAGCTACGTTGTTCACCTCTTTCTTTTCACACATAAAGGTGAGTCTACTGAAGGCTATTAGTTACGTGTTTCGTTAGTACTCAATGCTCCTTGATTTAATAGTATCAGTCTCTACAGAGATTGTGATTGTTAATTCTTATAGAATTACCCTTAAACAATGGTAACGCAGAGAAGATGCATCTTGACAAAACCACGCCTGTGTGATTTTATCTATATCAGTTCCACCTTTATGAAAGAATATTAATTACGAAGTAACATAATGGACAGGATGAGGTGTCTGCGTGTCCTTCACCCCGCGCGCGATAACTTTTATCAGAGTTGATAAGCTAATCGAAATTATCAACAATTGATTCATTGGATGCGCAGTGATGTTCATAAAATAGAATTACACTGAACCTACAGTATACGTAAATAAGAAACGTTCACTTTGCAGTTACAAGAAATATCCATCGTACAACTACGGTACAAACCTTAACATAATGGACAGGATGAGGTGTCTGCGTGTCCTTCACCCCGCGCGCGATAACTTTTATCAGAGTTGATAAGCTAATCGAAATTATCAACAATTGATTCATTGGATGCGCAGTGATGTTCATAAAATAGAATTACACTGAACCTACAGTATACGTAAATAAGAAACATTCACTTTGCAGTTACAAGAAATATCCATCGTACAACTACGGTACAAACCTTACTAACTTCGTGTCTCAGGCCGATATTTCAGACTGATTCACTAACTGCTGAGATTCTCAGCAGTGTTAGCGAATCATTGTCTGAAATATCAGTTTTGGAGTTATTTTATGAAGCTCAGGTATAATATAATTGTAGTTTTAGCTTTGAGATTGAATTTCTTGAGAATTATTACTGTGGACTGGAATATTATAGACTTTGTGGGGTATGAGATGTTTGGTTCACACTCAGGATGGAATGGAGAAAGGAAACTCACAATGTGCTCTCTATATACATGTTGTATTGGATGTACAATGCAGCTTGGTGCTGGGAAGGCAGCATGGTTACAAGCGTGATGTAGAGAGAGCTGGTTGGTGAGGACGCTCAGAGAAGGACAGCTTGTGGGTCGCCATGCTCGCCAGCGGGAGAGAGGACCGCCAGGCAGGCGGAGGAGGAGCGTGGACCGCCAGGCAGGCGGAGGAGCGAGGCCCGCCGGGCAGCGGCGGAGGAGGAGGTGTTGCTGGCTGTGGCTGTAGGTAGAGAGAGAGCGATCACCACGAGGTCAGGTCTTAAATAGCAGGGGGTAGGCGTGGCTTAGCAGTTGAACCCAGCTCCGTGGTGTATGGCGGCGCTGGTTGACCTAGACCACGAGGCGTACACTGGGGAATTGGTGGGGTCGGCTAGGCAGCGACAAACAGCGTTTGTAGGGGAGAATTCCACTACAACTTCGTTGTTGAAGCGCTGTAATAAGCAAATGTTTCACATCCTCCACGCCATTCCTCCCTCCCGTCATTATCCATTCTGACAGTTCTACTTGTTAATATTTTACAACTCAAGCACTGGCCATAAGTATCTAGTCTATGGTAATTAGGATATAAATAATATAACTAGTAAATTTTACAATATATATCTATGTTTGCTTAGTGGACTTGCAGTCCCGATGAATATAAAATTCTCTTTAACCCCCAAATTTTGATATACAGGTTGACAATCCCTTATCCGAAATCCTTGGGGCCAGAGGCATTTCGGTTTTTGGAATTTTTCGGATTTCAGAATGGTTAGTTTTTTTTTTTTTTTTTTAAACAGGGATCAGCCCACCCGGGCACAGGTCACTCACTGACCCACATTGGGGCCTGGGGGCTAAATATATAATAATAATAATAATAATAATAATAATAATAATAATTCATAGGTCTAGGTCATGTTTCTCACTTGATCTTTTTTTTTCATTCTTGTATTTCTTTATTATTATTATTATTATTATTTCATTATTACAGTATTATTGTTGTTGTTATTATTATTATTATTATTATTATTATTATTATTATTATTATTATTATTATTATTATTATTATTATTATTATTATCATTCTTATTTTATTTTTGTGTATTTTTTATTAAAATTTTTATTTACAATGAATAATTATTATTATTACTGTATTATCATTATTATTATTATTATTCTTACCTGTATTATTATAATTATTATTAATATTACTATTACATTTTCACCCCCCAGGCCCCGATGTGGGTCAGTGAACTGTGCCCGGGTGGGCTAATACCAATTAAAAAAAAAATTGCTCCACAAATGTTTTTTTTTTCGGTTTTCAGAGCTTTTCGGTTTTCGGAATTTCGGATAAAGGGTTGTCAAACTGTATTAAGATATAATATATTCGAAACTGTAAAATATTCTCGGCTGATCATTACTTTTTTTTATGCTCTTCACCTGACTTGCTTGCTGTACGCCAACCGACGGTTACCCCAGAAACTAGGGTAACCAACACCGGGTGAAACATTACATTCAAAACAAACATCAGTACAGTACATCACAAACACCAGATAAATATATATATATATATATATATATATATATATATATATATATATATATATATATATATATATATATATATATATATATATCTCCCCTTAACACTTATATGTTAGGTTTGGTCATAAATTATGATGTGTGCGTGTTTTTTTTTTTAGTTTTTTAGTTTGGGTTACTTTATTTTGTTTGAAGGAATGTACCTGAACTGCTCCAGTATTGGTCAAGTCTGGTCTTGAAAGAGCTTACGCTCGGTGTCGTCACAACACTTTCTGGCAAATTGTTCCAAGAGTTCACAACTTTCACTTCGATAAAGTTTGCCCTCACAGTTTCTGGACCTGCGGCTTCTTCAATCTTGAGTTGACCCCTTGTGGGGCGAGCTTCCGCCAGCTCAAAGTAAGGACACACGACTGAGTAGTGCCCCCTGGGCCCTGAGATGCTTATACACCTCAGCTAGATCACCCCTTGCCCGCCTGTAGTACAGTATAAGCTAGGCAAGTTCAGGCGCTCCAATTTCTCTGGGTAGTTGAGGTGCCGAAGCACAGGCACCAGTCTGGTGGCCCTCCTTTGAACATTTTCCATCAACTGGCAGTCCCTAGCATATCTCGGGGACCAGATGGGGGAGCACTTCACTCTTGAAGATCGTTACGAGGAACTGACCGTCTAGACACCTGAACGACCTTCTTATAAGACCTAATAATTTATTTGCCCGATTTACCTTCTTCTAGCAATGGCCCGAGAACTTCAGCTCATTGTCAACATACACACCTAGGTCCTTCTCACATTCAGTCTCAAATAGTGCAGATTCTTCATCCCGTTCGGACATATGATATGCCTCCTTACCGTTGGTACGCCCCAAGTGCATCCCCTTACACTTCGTGACACTGAATCTCAGCAGCCATTTCTTCGACCATTCTTGGAGCTCACAGAGGTCCTTCTGCAGCTCTTCACAGTCAGCTTGGTTATAGGCCTCTGACCTTGGCTGTACCTCCAACTCGGTGGAAATTGAGTTTTCAAAAGTACACTCGCGTCTAGCATTAAAAGTCCTCCATCGATTTACATTTTCACATCACTAAGACGATCTTGACGATCTTTTGTAATCACTGTCCAATTTCTGCCGCTCTACATCGAAGGTCCGAATGCCGAACACGCTTTGTTACAGAGACGCAACACGACCGCCCGCCCGCCCGCCCTCAAGCCTGGGGCTTACCAACGGTAAGGAGTCGTATCATATGTCCCAACGGGATGAAGAAACTGCACTAGTTGAGACTGTATGTGAGAAGGACCTAGGTGTGTATGTTGACAATGAACTGAAGTTCTCGGGTCATTGCGAGAAGAAGGTAAATCAGGCAAATAAATTATTGGGTCTTATAAGAAGGTCGTTCAGATATCTAGACGGTCCGTCCCTCGTAACGATCTTCAGGAGTGAAGTGCTTCCCCATCTGGAGTACTGTCACCCCGTCTGGTCCCCAAGATATGCTAGGGACTGTCAGTTAGTTGAAAATGTTTAAAGGAGGGCCACCAGACTGGTGCCTGCACTTCGGCACCTCAGCTACCCTGAGAGATTGGAGAGCCTGAACTTGCCTAGCTTATACTACAGATGGGCAAGGGGGGACCTAGTTGAGGTGTATAACCATCTCAGAGGGCACTACTCAGTTGAGTGTCCTTACTTGGAGCTGGCGGATGCTCGCCCCACAAGGGGTCACAGCTCAAGATTGAAGAAGCGGCAAGTCCGGAAAACTGTTTGGGCAAACTTTTTCGGAGTGAGGGTTGTAAACTCCTGGAACAATCTACCAGAGAGTGTTGTGACGGCACCGAGTGTGAGCTCTTTCAAGACAAGACTTGACCAACACTGGAGCGGGTTCAGTTACATTTAGGAGCCAGTGCATGCCCAGTACTTGCCAACAGTGCGTGACAGAGACTTGACCGATCGCCCGGGCGGCTAACGAGCCGATCAGTGGTGAAGAGGATAAAAGTAAAAAAAAATATATACTATATTCAGTACAGCCGCGACGGAGTACACTTGTCTCGTGAGGGGGTAAAGACGTTGTCTGCATCCCTGGAGCGTGAAATTGTCACTCCGAAGGGGGGTTCGCCAGTAGAGAGAGGTCGGGGAAAGTGGGAGTCAAAAAACAAGCAGGTCCTGGGAAGTAAAATTAGTTGCTCAGGACAAGGGGTAAAACAGGACCAGGGAAGGGTAGGTTTAAATGTATACTATACAAACAGTAGGAGCGTTAGAAATAAAATAGACTTGCTGAGAGCGGTTGTATGTACCGAGAATGTACTGTAGACGTCATAGCAATCACCGAAACTTGGATGAATCTGGCGAGCAAAATTTTTTTATCAGAGTACCACATAGAAGGGTACAACCTTTTTCACAAGGACCTAACCTAACCTATTCTCTCCTCCTAATATTCACTTCAATCCTCCCTTTATTCTTCCCCTGAACCTCCTTCCCCCCTGTCACTAGCATTTCATGTTCATGTTCATGCTGTACGCTGATTGGCTGGTAGGCGCGCGGCTAGAGCTCAGTTGGGAGTTGTAGGGGACAGGTTCCACTACAGCGTAACAGAGACGTGACCGATCGCCCAAGCGGCTAACGAGCCAATCTTTTGGTAAAGAGGATAAAAGTAAAATGTAATGTATCAGTCCCAGACTCCCAGTGACTGACCAGGAAGAGACACGCCACCGCCACCTGTCGGCATTTTAAGAACTATTTATGGAGTTCGTACGATCACCACAGCTCAGTAATGAACCTTTAGTGAATCGCACTTGCGGGAGTTCATATGGTCTTCAGATCTTCCAAAACTTACTAATTAGGTATCTCAGCAGTGTTAGTGAATCTGAGCCAGTGTCTCCAGTGAAATTAGATCTTCTTGAGTGAAATCAAGAAGTAAAAAATAAATATATAAATAAATAAATTTGCAACAGAAGCACACTAGAGTCAACTTTTTTCTCTTTCTCCCTTTTATTAAATTAATATCAATATAAAATTCTTTGGTTGTCCCTTATCGAATCTTAATCTGTGATTGTGTTTGGAGCCAGTATACAGTATACTGCACATGTACAGTATGTAAAGAAGCTGGCATTGTGTTAAAGGGTACAAAATGTCCAGTATGTTAGGTTCATGCCCAGGGCACCCTAGCTCACCCGGCTTTATGGTTAGGGAAGTGAAGCATTCAAATGCAGTGCTGGTCTCTGCATCCTTGTACAGTACCGTACTTTAAAAAGAAAAAAAATCTACATTTTGCTTGAATCCACACTAACCCTGATGGGGTGTCAGGTCTATAGGACCCATTTTAAATTGTCACATTTCCTTGTAGGAGATGGAGGTCCACTCTTCTGGTGGCGGTGGGCCAGGCTGGTGGTGGAGTTATGGGTGGAGCGGATTTCCAGGCAGCCCAGGATGAGAAACTATGACTCCAGTGGCACCACATATGAGCTTTCAGGGTTTGAGGCCACACCGAGCGAGAAGGAGCTGGAGCAGCCTAAGCCACTCACCACCGACCGTGTAAGTTGATGACATCATATTCTATTTAGTACTCGTTAAAAATTTTATATTTTGCTTTGTTTCAGATGGAGTTATTATGGTTACTGTACTTGTTAATACACTTCAGGTCATATAAAATAAAAAAATAAAAAACTATACAGTACTGTAGTACTGTACCATACCTATTTAAAGTTCATTTGTAACAGCCAACATCTTAAGGTCACGACCTTTATTGATATTTCTGAATACATTTTGTAGTTTGATTTAGAAAATGCTGAAATTTTATTTTGTACTCAAATATATACTTGAACTCAGTAATTCCTGTATCAGTTGTTGGTACAGTACAACACTACTGCTTGACTCACAATACTGTACTGTGTCCTGCGTTAGTTGTGAGAAGAGTGCTATCCAGTTTGACCCACCCTCTCCCCAAACTTTGCAGGTTTTCTCCAGACATGACCCTCCGGGATGACCTTTAGAGAGAATCGTTAGTTATTACTGTTACAGCTCTGCATTATAAATAAATATATACCTTATTACTATTGCTTTCTTTTTACAGGGTAGTAGGCAACTATCAAACAGGGAGGTACTACCACCTGGGAAGATATTGGAAGCATAATGTATTATCTAATGGTAGACCCTGTTGCCATATGGCATCCCAAAAATTGTGACCAAGTCCAAGGTTGCTGATCTGACTTTCTGCCTCATTTAAACACAATGCAGGGTTTCAGTTCTTTCTCTTACTTTGACACACAACATACATATACCCCCTGTATCATTTCTCACTATTGATTTTATTTTTTTTATTTATGATCCACTATTATTATTATTATTATTATTATTATTATTATTATTATTATTATTATTATTATTATTATTATAATTATTATTATTATTATTATTATTATTATTATTATTATTATTATTTGTATTATATTTTTAATATTCTTTATAACTTTTTATTAATTATTATTAGCATTATTATTTATTTTTATTTATTTATTTATTTTTGCCCAGGCCCTGATATGGGTCAGGGACCTGTGCCCTGGTGGGCTAATCCCGTAAAAAAAAAATCCCCTTATAGCCATACCTTTTCCGCACATTTTATTAACTTACTCTCATAATACAAAAGTATCTACCCTTGGTGAACTAGTAAAGCCGCAGATCTATGCAGCATTTGGTGACAGTTTTCTCATAGTCCTCGTCTGCGACTGTTGTTGGTTGAGGGGATGAAGATCTTGTTCCCCTGATACACAGCAGAGCAGACCAGAGCAAAGAGAATGATCGGCAATGCCTTTCCCAGGCCATGATGTAATTTCTGGGTTGCTGCTTCTGTTCTGATAACACCTCAGGCAGTCTGGCGTAGAAGCTCTTTGAACTAAGTCCCATCCTACCCAATGTTATGAATACCAGAGGAGTGAAGCTACCTTGGTCCATGTTCTGGATTCTCTGTGCTTACGATCTGTTCTTTTCATTCTCATTTCTCCTGTGTACAGCCTTGAGAGTCCGGTCACTGTGACATACAGCTAGAAGATCGAATATCCTGATATCAAAGAAGGCTCACTGTCCCCTCATCCAAAATCCTCGAGTACTGGCGTCCACACGGGCTTCGTTAGTTGTGTTGACAGTCCAGTGAAGGAAACACTCTCCATCCATTGGAAGGAGGGTCACTTCCACAGTGACAGCACGGCATATCTTCAACTTTTTTACTGTGAGATTCCTTACTTCGTCGTGCCTCATGCAAATGAAACCACCCTTCTTCCTCACCATGGCATGGTTGATATCGTAGGATGTTCCACACATGCATTGGGCGGGTATACCTTCTACTGGCCAACTTTACCTTAGAGCGTTGGTGTCTGTGAATTCTTATTTATTAAGGCTGAGGCCTTGTGCTGTTATCAGTAAAGTTGTTAGTTAATTTGAGGCATCCACTTCCTGTGCTTTTACTTTACTTTTATCTCTACTTTTATCTTTATGATCTCTGACAATTGTTTGTGTCAGAAGTTTAAGTTCTTTGCTTTGGGTGCATTGCAGTTCTGTCATACTGGAACATTGAATTTTGCATAATTTGTTGCTGTCTACATAACTTGCAGCATTTTGAGCTACTACATGCTTGGTGAGGGCTGGCATGAGCTTGACAGAGTTTTTATGTCCATTCCTCCTTGTCTTGGTGGTAGTACAATGAGTGACCTATCTGCTGGGTTAAGGTGGTGGCTTTTTACTAGTGTTGGAATAAAATTGTTTCTGATGGCTTCTTCTAAGGGATGGAAGAGCGGTCCAATGTCAGGGATAGTGTGCCTCGTAATACCATCGATGTTTGACATTTCCAGGCCCTCCCCTCCAATCCCACCAGCCACACAGAAAGCCACCTGTATATTGTATATTTTTGTTTCAAAATGGTACAGGTGGTATTCCTTATTCAAGTAATTATGCCATAGATTAGTTTCATACTTGAATTATTCTAAATCTGTTCCCACTCGTCCATTGCTCTTTTTCTGCATTGCTGCAAATACCCCCATTATTTTCTGCTTTGTATTTCTGTGCTATGTTTGTGGCTTAGTGTAAGTCAAATACCTGTAGCTATTTTGATGTATTTTCACCAACAAGGTATTCATTGTGCAAACCTTTGTGAGTCTCAATCTTGACCCAGAAAGTACTGTGCAGTACAATACCTGTATGTATTGACCTAATACCTAAACTTGTAATTTTCCTGATGCTTCTGTGAGCTCTTTCAAGACCAGACTTGACCAACATTGGAGCAGGTTCAGATACATTCAGGAGACGGTGCATGCCCAGTACTTGCCAACAGTGCGTAACAGAGATGTGACCAATCGCCCAAGCGGCTAATGAGCCGATCAGTGGTGAAGAGGATAAAAGTAAAAAGTAAAGTAATCGTAATTTCCTTCTACTGAAACCACTGAACCTGTTCTTTATGCTTAAATCTGTTTTAACTGATACATGTGAATCAATTATATAACCCTGACTATGTTATAAGGCAGTATGAGGACGAGCTGATGGTGTGTGGTGTGGACAGGGAGGGTCGTGCTGTGGTGGCTCGGCTGGTCAGACTCACAAAGCAACGAGCCTCTATCTTCCTCTGTGTCATCGACCACACCGGCACTGTCTACACCCTGCCTAGTAAGTCTACCTGTGGTGTAAATCATACTTAATATTTACCTTATTTACCTAATGGCTATCCATTAGAGATTGCCATACCAAGGGAAAGAGTCCAGTGGTCTGTGTAGGATCCCTCCATTGTTCTTGATAATTTTGTTGAGGGCTATTTTGAAGCCAAGTACGGTTCTGGATTCCACAGCTTGAGCTGGTAGACCGTTCTTTAGGTCTGTGTGTGAAGTAGTATTTCCTATTTTCAATCTGCATGATAGTTTGGCAAACTTGTAGTTATGTCCTCTCGTGTTGGTGGTGTGTGACATCACAAAGAAATGTCCTGGATTCAAGTTTTTCCATCACTTTAAGGATTTTGAATTTTTCAATGAGATCTGCCCTATTCTGCCTTGTCTAAAGGGTCGTTGGTCCTAAGGCCCTCAATCCACTGTACCCCATAATCAAGATAACGTAATTCTGGAATAATCTTAGTTGGTCTGTGTTGAACCTTTTCTAGCGATGTTAGCGCTTTCTGGAGGTAGAGTTTCCATGTCTGTATACAGTAATCCAGACTCGGATGTACTTGAGTTTTGTACACTTTAAGGAGCATTTTCCTATCTTTGTATTTGAAGGTACTGTACACTTATAATTCCCAAATCTCAATTTGCTTTTCTTACCGCTGCACCCACTTGTTGCACCACCTTCAGTGAATGATCTATTACAATGTCAAAATATTTCTCCTTATCAACAGTATCCAGGAAAGTGTTATTAACAGAATAGTTGTGATTAAGGTTGTATCCTATGTGTAGGGTCTTGCATTTCGTAATGTTAAAGAGTCATTGCCAGTCTCGAGACCATTTGAACAGCTCATGCAGGTCTCTGAGCATTGTTGTGACATCATCTTGACTTACTGCCTTCCTAAATATCTTTGAGCTGTCTGCAAACTTATCAATGTAGCTTGCTATTTTTTCAACTATGGCATTATGGAGCTTGCAAACAGGGTGGATCCAAGTATTGTATAGAGCCTTATGGTATTCCACTGAGAACCTTTTTCCATTTAGAATGTACTCCATGTATTGCCTGTCTTCGAGCCAGTTGTTAATCCACGTCAAAATCTTGCCTATGATGCCCTGTGCCATGATCTTAGCGGCTAGTCATGCATGTGGGACTTTGTAAAACACCTTCGAAAAATCCATGTATAGTGGGGTATACTATAACGAATGTAATTGGTTCTAGAACCTTGTTTGTTATAGCATTCGTTCGTTATAGGATTAATCCGTTCCAGGCCCCCAAATACAACCACTTAACACTGAAAAATATAATATAAAATGTAAAAATTGTAAAAAGTGCATAAATATGCATCTAAACCTCTGAAATAAAGAATATCATTAATACTTGTAATAAAAAAAACCAATAAATTTGTAAAAAAAAAAAATAATGTTCGTTGTAGGGGTTTTGTTCGTTATAGCATTCTCAATTTTATAGGTAAAACCATTCGTTATAGGAATATTCGTAGTAGAATCCATTCGTTATAGCATACCCCACAGCCTTGGTCTACGTAGAATGTTACTGTTTCAAGGAATGTGAGTAAGTTTGTCAGACAGGATTTTATTTCCATGAAACTTTTTTGTAATGTGTTGATCAGACTGTGTTCGGTCAGGTGTTGGATGATGGCATCCCTCAGAATTTTCTCAAAGAGTGTACATATATATGATGTTAGGCTGATTGACCTGTAGTTTTCTGCTGCACTTTTCCTACCCTTCTTGTATACTGGGAGGACGTTGGCTAATTTCCAGTCCCTAGGTGCTTTACCTAGCTCCAAAGATTTCTTGACTAAGAGTCTTAGTGGAGTGCAAATCTCATTTGCCACCTTTATCACTTTGGTCTGTGCCCTGTCTACTCCAGGAGCTGTAGTTGATATTTCTCTTAAATTCATTTTCCACTGCTGAGGTACTATACATTCTCTTAGGTACTGGCATGTTATCCATTGTCTCTTCTGTGAGTACTGATGCAAAGTATTCATCTAAGGTATCAGCTGCTTGTCTGTCATTCTCCAGGGCCACGTTTTTTCCTTTAGAGGGCCGACAAAATATCCTTGGAGAGTCAGTGTTGTGAACCCTACCAAGTGTGTCTATATGCTTTGTAAACCGTATGTAGTGAGTTTACCTGTGTTCTGAATCATACCTATTGAGTATACGTGTGGTCTGAATCCTTAGTGAGTCTACCTATGTTGAGAACTTGCCTAGTGAATCTCATTCTTGTACATCCCCCAAGTGAATTTTTTCTCGAGCACATCTGTAACCTCCATATGCTCCCTGAGTATGGCATATAGTACAGTACCTAAAAAGGCTTTTGTACTTACAATTAGGGTCTCTATAATTGGGTAAGGGCTTTTGTACTTACTTGAAAGGCATTTTAAGGTAGGCTAAAGTACTTCAGGATTATATTAGGTGTAATAAGGTAGGATGAAGAGTTTTTTACTGAATCTAATTGAACTTTAAAACTTCATTCAAGGCTGCTTTAACTCTGAAATTGGTCAGACTGAATTAACTTGCTAAATAATTATGTGTTTCAAGCCAGGGAATAAATGACCTAATCTACCATGATCTGTGACCTTAGATGACCCTGACCTACCACGTCCCGAATCTAAATGACTTGTGGCTTCTTGTCCATCAACCGTAACCCTTGCTGATGTTAACCTGAAAACCCTGAATTGTCATTACACCTGCTTTGTGCTGTGCCTAATCTTCCATGACTATTTTACCTTACAGACCAGCCAGACACGAGCTATGTCAATGTGTGTGGTGAAGAGTGGCGAGGGGCGGGGCTAAGCAATTTTAGTATATATATATATATATATATATATATATATATATATATATATATATATATATATATATATATATATATATATATATAGTATATATATATATATACAGTATACTGTATATATATATATATATATATATATATATATGTATATATATATATATATATATATATATATATATATATATATATATGTATATATATATATATATATATATATATATATATATATATATATATATATATATATATATATATATATATATATATATATATATATATATATATATATATATATATATATATATATATATAATATATATATATATATATATATATATATATATATATATATATATATATATATATATATATTTATTTATTTTTGATACTGTTAATAACAAATAAGAATTATTAGTAGTTGCTAAAGATTGGATTAGTACATTGTGGTAGCACCTGGCGGGGTAGAAGCCTCAGTACAGTAATAAGAAACTCAGGTATAATACATGATAGTGTCACTGTTACTGCATTAACAGTTTTAGAATTTGATAATAATGTAAATACACTTAAGGTTCCAAGTTATGAAAGGTACTTATTTTTTTAACTTACCATAGCAATACTCAGGTGTTGTTGCTTGGTAACCATAACACCTGACTATGAAAGTGACCAGTGAGTGATTCCAGGAAGATTGATTTGTAGTGAAGGACTAACATTACATTTAGTTCACCTTGCTGTGTTTTTATGTTAATGGAGGTGTTGGATGTGCAGCAGTTTTATTAAGGTAGACACTAGCATCACTGACCAATATAATGGATCCATTTGGAGGGGTTTAGGGGTAATATTTTTTACTCTTATGTTTCATAACGGGATGAGTTAGGTGAAAGTAATGATAATTACCCGGTATTGTTGTTTTTTGTGCAAAAGTTAAATTTTGGAATGATACATAATTTTAGGAATACAATAGACCCTTCAAAACTTCTAAATCTGAAATTCTAAATACAAAAAATGGAATGGAAGTTTTCATTATGGAAAATCAATATTTTGATCTATTCTGAGCCTTTTCACAGTATGATATATGATATTGTTGTGGCAGGTGGGACTTTCTGGATTTTAATGATGATTATTTGTTATTAGTCAGTTGTTACTACTGTGTTTGTAGGGATAACAGTTGTTGGTGTTTGGATATTATTTATGAAGGTGTTAGTGGTTACCTCAGGTTCAAAAGTGACACAATGCTGTTTTTGTTTTGAGTCTGTATGTGTGCACAGGTGATGTTGATATTGTGTTTATGTGGCAAACAAGCATTGATACCATGACAACATTGATGTTTAAAGGTGATCCCTAAACACTGTACAAGAGATTCACCTGGGCTGTAGAGATAGATATCTTTTCACCCAGGCAAATATTTGCCCCTGTACCCCTGAAATGACTTCTTAACGAATATTAGAGACTATTAGTAATCCATATTGTTGCGCACACACACACACACAGACAAGGGTCACGGGAACTGTATGTGACATATGATGATGATGATGATGATAATGACGACACGGTGACACATGCCCGCCTCGACCTACTGTGGCGAGCTATGCGTGGCCCCATTGATGTGTGGGATGAGGCCAGCCCACGTCTCCTTGCACAAGCTCTTGCCCATGATCCACACACCTCTCTTCACACCTTCCTGTGAGTAACAGCCACACTCCTGTCTGCAGTGAAGCCAACAATACTTAATGATCATAGTGAGCAGGGCAGTCAGTGCCATCAGTGTGTATGAGGTTCAATCAGTATGTTAGTGTCATACATTGTGATTATTTCTGTTCAGATTGTAGGTCATTTATCAATACTACAGTATACAGTAATCATCTTGTACTCTGACTCCAGCTGTATCATTCCAGTAGTATAAAATTATTTGTGTCGTTCTGGTAACCAGATCTTGACCATTTCCAGTACATTTGAAATGTAGAGAGAGAGAGAGAGAGAGATCAAAGTGAATATATCTTCAGGTGTGGGGAAGAGAGAGTGAGAGTGAAGGAGAGGAGGAACTTAGAAAGGTATCACATTATATTTATTTCCTCAATTTGTGTATCTTTCCTGTACCACTTCACTTGTACAGGTGTCGGGAGGAAGATAGGTATGAGCAGTGGGGCAGCCTGCATGGCACCGTCAACCTCACCCCAGGTGCTGACCCCCAGGTGTGGTACCTGAGAGGACCCCGTCAACACAGGTCAGTACAACTACTTCTTGAGTCTTATTGCTCTTAATTAACTCTTCTGAAAATTTCTTAATAATAAGATTTCATTCACCTTAAGAAGTGATAATTATTAAATTACAGTCAGTCCTCAACTTACGACGGGGTAAGTTGAAAATGCGAAAATAATACATAGAAAATCTAAAATGGGTGTCTCTTTTTCTTCTCAGCACCACGAGAACTCTCACTTTTATGCTTGCCAGGCATTTTAAAGGGAATTACAAACGAAAATGTTGTCAGTACACAGTGCAATCACTAACGTCGGGACTCGAAAATACGTAATTTGAAAAATATCTTATACGACTGCGGCGGTCGTATGTTCGGGTGGTCATAAGTCGAGGAGTACCTGTACCTTACATAGGATATTTGAGCTTCAATATTCAAAGGATTGATTGCCGTATATCACGGCCTATAAGGCGGCGGGGTGCATAAGACGCCCCCCCCAAATTTCCATTTAAAAAGTAGCTTTTGAGCTCTATTTGCTGTATAAGACCAGTACCCCAAATGTGACACTTACCCACTGACTCAGTAGTCCTTTACCAACCATCCTTGATTTTTTAAAATAAGGCCAATTCACTTCAAGTAATGTCATCAAATTATACCCGCTGGTGTAGTGTAAACACTAGTGACGTCACTGAAGCGTGTTGGGAGTGTTCCCTCGTCTCGGTGGTGTGACTATTTATACAACATGTGGTTCAACAGCAACCACCGTATTCTAATTGTGGTGTTTCATTAGGATTTGAGTGAAAAAGGTTACCAGTATGTACTTACTACATACATTTATTACACAAATATATATATATATATATATATATATATATATATATATATATATATATATATATATATATATATATATATATATATATATATATATATATATATATATATATATATATATATATATATATAATATACTATGTACAAAAAATGAATGTTCAATGAATTATTTATGGTGCATTAGGGTACTGGTCACTTCTGATGGGCTATAAATAGCCTTCTTTATCTCCCCTCCATCTCACCCTGAGCCAGACGGAAGGGTCTTGGTAAATAACATGTTTGCTTATTTTCCATTTACTTTAAATAGATTTACCGAATTATTTGTTTTATTTATTTATTTATAATATACTGTAATATATTAAACACACTGTAATTATTTTCTTTAATTTATAAACTGTTTTGCGACAAAGGAATGTTCTCCAGTAGTGTTTCATTAGGATTTGAGTGAAAAAATATTACGTACTTACACAATTGTTCCTCTTACTTTGACAACACAACATACATACAGTATATTATTTCTCAGTTTTGATCTTTTTTTTTAATTTTTGTATTTATTTATAGTTAGTTACTTAAAATAAGGCCAATTCACTTCAAGTAATGGCATCAAATATTACCAGCTGGTGTAGTGTAAACACTAGTGACGTCACTTGAGCGTCTGTAATTAACCGTCGATAGTTTCAAGAATTAATGCACTCATTTACTGAATATTCTTTGGAAAAAAATAAAATTTAAATCAATTATTTATAGGAGATAAATATTATTATGAGTAAATATACCGATACCGGTATGCATTACTGACCACCTCCACGGCTCCTCACTGGCAAATGGGGGGGGGGGCGTGGGGAGGGGTGTGTGATGATAGCTGTGTTTATTATAGGGGTATAAATCTCTTTTACGGTATGTTAGACAGGTTTATAATACATTTTTATTATTTTAATATACCGGTAATCTTAATTTGAATCCAGCTTGCCAAACGTAAGTTTCAGTATAAAATAATTAGTGGTAAGACCTTGTGAGTGGCTTACGATGTTTTCATCACCACTCTTGACACACTAAACCACAATATTTAAGAGGTAAGAATTTTAAACTTGGTGGTTTAGACGACCCCCTAACTTTGGGCAGATTTTTTTAATGTTCAAATTTCGTCTTATAGGCCGTGATATACGGTGATTGATTATGGTAATAACATCCCTGGCAGTGAATATTCAAAGGAACTCAAGTTCATTCTTGCAAACTCTTTAACACACAAAAAAAAATCAAATAATAGCCAGAAATTAGTTCATTGCACTTGAGGAAGTTTCACATCCAAAGCATGGGTATGTACGCTATCGCTCTCTCTACATAGGGTGACATGATTCTTCACCATATCCACTCTGGCTTACTAACATGAGGCGTCTGTAGCAAATGTATTACGGGTGGCCATGATTCATTATTTACTGTTCCACATACATGGGAAAAATAGTCATGCTCTGAAAGTGATGTCGTGCAGACTGGTGTTTGGGATATGTAACCACTCCAAGTAAGTCTGTAACCACAAGCATCTACAGACTTGGTTAATACCCTATGCCTATAAGTTTGTTTCCTGGAGTGCTGTTAGTCTCCTACTTCAGGTTTGGTTAAGTTACATTTGATTTGTCTTTTGAAAACTACTTGAAACTTATCTGGTACTGTTCTTGTAAATTGAAGTAATAACAATTTGTACATAACATTAATTGTGAACCTTAAGATGGCAGGTTTGTGTAATGGGAGTATTTGAACTTCTATTTATTTATTTATGCACAGGAAAGTAAAGGAACTTGTGCTTGTAACTGATAAATGGATGTTGGTGTCCACAGGTGGGGGTTAAGCCAGATGGTGGGCAGTGCAATGGTCACCTTCAACTACTTTAACAATGGTGATGTGATTTCCCTCCATGGCCGGTCCTCCTCCACCACTACACAGTAAGTGTGTCCTCCACTCTGCAACCTATTTTTGATATAGATATTTTTTTGGGTGTAGAGTCAATGTGCAAATCTATCTCGAATGAAACTGAGAGAATACTAACCCACCTATTTCTTGCTTTTTCCTCATTAGCAGCATGTTTTTCTACTTCCAGGATTGTGCTTTCTGTCCTCTCATCTGATTCATGTAGGAATTTAACACTTTGGCTGCATGAATATATTTCTTCCTGGTTCTCAAAATGTGTCGATTATCCAACAAAAATGAAATTTGGATTTTGATCTTTTCTAGTTATTTTTAAATATCAAAAGGATATACTGTATATTTATTTTTCTAATGATAAATCATGATACAGTAATGAGACTAACAATACAAAACATAGTACAGTCCATTACAGTATTATGTACAGTAGTGCACTGCACTTGCTACTCACTACTGAGGCCAAGGTACAGCCCTAGGTTGGATGTGAGAATGTTATCCAGTGTGACCCTAGCAAATATAACACGTATTAAGAGTAGATTCTTGAAGAACAAACAAGAAAAAATGGAAATTTGATAGGTAAATTACCCAGAAACTTCCTTCCCTTGTCAGTGAGGTACAGTACAGTACCTATACTGTAAAGGAATAATTAGTTATCATAAATATCAGGAAAATCAGGTTTCAGCACTGTACATATACAGTAAATATGACTGTTATCTCCACAAAAGGCTTGGGGTTCTGTACCGTACCTGTAATGAGTTTTAGATCCGACCAACAAAGAAGAGCCACTCACCTTGCTGCCCACATTTATACCTGGAGGTACTTAGTTAATATCACACACACACACACACACACACACACACACACACACACACACACACACACACACACACACACACACACACACACACACACACACACACTCAAGCAGAAGTTCCAAAATCAGTATTAAGCCATCTTAATTAGGGCAGTGTGTTACTATGCAAAGTTGAAGCAATTCTGATGTTATTTTGTTCTCAATTTTTATATCTTAAGTAAGTCAGTTTAGTGCATTCTTATCTTTCTTGCTAGGAGGAGACTGTAAGACAGGGGTGGTGAACTTTTTTTGAGAGCGCGTGCCACCATTGTCAATAATTTTCAGAAAAATTTCCTTGCATGCCCATGGGAATTGTGAGCAGCAAATTATTATTATTATTATTATTTTTTTTTTATATTATTATACCAAAATTATAAATAATATATACTATATTTAATTGTTATTTCGCAAAATTATTATGAAGAAAGAGAACAAAGTACTTGAAAGCACTCTCAGGAAGTCTTTTTAGGCAACCAATAATGTTTCTGAATTGTTTTAAATGGGGCAGAAATATGTTATTTATAATTTGTATACTGTACTTTACAAGAGGCAAAATTAATGACTTTATGACAATAATAAGGGAACTATTTTTGGAAAAAAGAAGCTGTCCTGCTGTTGGGAATTTTATGAAATGAAACTTGGGAGCTGGATATTATACGAGTCTGTCCATCATATATTGAAATTTTCTCTGAAACTTTTCTTAGATTGTAGGATACTTTCGGCTTGTGTATTTGATTGAATTAATGGTACAATACCTGGTTTTCAGCATTCTCTCTCTCTCTCTCTCTCTCTCTCTCTCTCTCTCTCTCTCTCTCTCTCTCTATAAACAGTAAGAGCCAGGTCAATCTCTGGAAATTTGACCACTTCAGGGGTCAGGAGACGTATGTATTTGGTATTGACAGCAGGTAGATGCTTAGTAACTGTAGTAACCGTTATGCCTCAGTTCTTGTTTACCGCTGATATTTACTTGTATATCTCTTATATTTTGTCAGGTATGTAGGGGGCTTCTTGCAGGAAGCATGTGGTGTCCTACGACCTGTGACCTCTACCGACCTAGACCTAGGGCACCTCCACCACTTGCCTAACCTGGGGAATAACCTGCTTATCAAATTGACAGGTACACTATTACCTTCTCATGATCTTCAGTGATCTTTTTAGACTTTTTTTTTTTTTTTACCTTTGTTAACCTCTATTGACCTTTGGTGACCTCTATTGACCTGTGATGACCTCTATTGACCTGTGATAACCTCTATTGGGCTGTATCCTTTTATCACTAACCCTGTAACCTTTTATCAGTATCCCTGTATCATTGTATCCCATTATCCCAACATAATGTATTCCTGTATCTTTTCATCACTGTGGTACCACTGCTGTATCAGCTGGGGGGCGGCAGCTTGACCTGTGGCAGCACCTGAGTGAGAAAGTAACTTATTACACTGGTGACCCCTGGACGGTTCGCCATGTTCTCCACCCCACCACAGTCGCTGCTACCCACTCCTATGGCTGGGGCCTCACCTTCTTCTCAGACAGGTGTGTAGTAGGTACAGTATGTGGTGAGCCTCAAAAGTTCATGGTTAGGCTGAAGCCTCACCTTTTATCTCTTAGCAGGTATGTATGAGGATGTGGTGTCATTTGAAGTATGACACTGGCAGATACATAATGAGGTAATAGTCAAGTCTTAATAATAATGGGGTGCTTACCCATTTAGTGTAGTGTCATCCCTTCTGGTCCCTGAGATACAGTATGCTATAGAGATTCAGTTGCTTGAGAATTTCCAAAAAAGTGCCACCAAACTGCCCAGATCTTTCTCCCACCTAGTCTCAGTTCAGGAAAATCTGCTTCCTTCCTATTAATACAACTAAGGTGCATTCTCTTGCATTTTACACTGTTGAGTCCATCCTCTTAACCACACTGGAAACCATTAAATGCTTCTCAGTCCATTAAATTTTTAACTTCAATGAATAAATTAGTGTCATTAGTAGACATATGCATGGAAAAATACATTGCATCTGGCATATCTATATGAACTACTGTAAATAAACAACATCAGTCCAAGCACACCTCTAGGTACAGTAACAAGTATAATAAAATTACCATTACATCCACAGGTACATGGATCTGTGCCCAGTTCCAGAGAGAGAGAGCGTGGGTGAGGCTTTGATACCGAGGGTAGTGATAGAGGAAGGGACACCCCTGGTGGTATCCCTGGACGATCCTCTATGTCGCAACTCTCTCCTGACAGGGGGAAAAGGTGCCTCCCTTGCCCTCCTCACTGCCTATACCCACCTTCTACAGCCATACCAGGTATATACTGTACACCTCCTGCATTTGTAGATACGTCTCTTATAGGGTAACTGTACTCCATCTAGTCGTATGTTTTTGCACCATTCTCGCCACCATCTCCTGTTTCCACCTGAGATCCCTCGACCACAAATTGCTTTTTGACAGCACACCCGCATCCAGCCCATATGAGCACGTACTTGTAGTTAACCAGTGTTCACTCCCTGCCAAATTTACTTTTGCACTGTTTACTACAGCATATTGAAATTCCCTGTTGAATAACCTTCTCCCCCTTGTTATTATATATCATATTTGTACCACTATGTTACTTGTGTATTATTTGTCAATCAAGTGACCTATTCCCAATTATGTAACTACTGTATAATTTCAGGCTTTTGACTGCCATGTTCTTTCAATCAACCCTTAATTATTATTATTTTTAAGTATGCTTTTTATAGGGTAACTACTCCATCTAGTGGTATGTATGCCTCTTATAGGGTATCTGTGACTTCTCTTGTAGTTCAGCTCATGTTAGTTCATCCTATCTGCTGTAAGAGAATAATAAGTGTCGAAGGCTGCAGAAAAATCCAGCAAGACCAGGAGGGAGGACTTTCGTGTGCAAGTGTTTATTAAAAAATCATTACCCGGTATGAATTCTACAAAAGGCAGTTTCAGTTGAATGATGCTTCCCATAGGCTGACTGAACCAGAGGGATCACTCCATTTCTTTCTTAACAGAGAAAGAAATTGATCCATCATAGCACACTCTGTGATCTTTGATAAGAATGAGAAATTAGAGACCAGATGATAATTTTATAGTATATTTTCTGTATTAAGACCAGGTTTCTTAAAAAGTAGACACAATAAAGTCTCTCTCAGATCTCACAAAATTACCCTCTCGAAAGCATTTATTTATGATTCTACAAATAAAGTTTGCAACATGTTCATAAGCAAGTAAAACCTTAGATACACTTATAGGATCAAGACGACAAAAATTCCTCTTCGAATCCTTGATATGGCGCAGAATGTTGCTTTATATTTACAGTATAGATTAGCCTACTTGGTGCATTCTTACTTTTCTTGTTATGAGGAAAATTCAACAGTGAATTCTCAAAAATCTGACTCCAGTAATTCAGGGTATACTGTAGTACTGTACTCTGTGCTTCTTATCATACTTTTCCTTCAGGGCCACTATGAAGTACCCTCTGGGGTGGTGGTGACAGTAGCTGCCTGGCAACTTCAGCTTCAGGCTTCCCCTGACCTGCAGCAGGCTGTCAGGGCAGTCCAGCAGGCTGTAGGCACTGCTCAGCCTGCACAGATCAAGGATGCCTGCTCCAGGTATGCCCAAAGGACTCCCTCACTTGTGCTGGTAGTGGAGGTTGTGTATGATACAGTTCTTGGGTGCCAGTAATACAGTTAATACTTCTTACCAATCTAGTAAATGTTTCCAACACTTTCACCGACTTGTTAGATGTTTCTAACACTCACTTATCAGATCGATATTTCCATCACTTACCAACCTAAAAAAAATGGAGATGGCACTGTTTTTTTAAATTATTCCTTAAATATGTTCCACTGATCAGGCAGTGTTATTTGCAGCTTCACTTAAGTATTGACTGTGTGTTCTTCAGTGTACAATGACCAGTCTCACTAGTTTTGAAGTTTGACCACATCTATGACACATTTTATATGTCATGTTTTGCTTTATCTTAACTAATGTTTGCCTTTTACATGACATCTCTCTCTCCCCTAAATCACACTTACCTCCCTCTGTCCTTCCCTCCAGGGCAGTGGAGGTGTGTCAGGGGATGGAACTATGTCCCCAGGTGGCTGATGCTCTTCATGATGCCCTTCTTCAGCACCTAGACTCCCAGCCCTCCAGGTGAGTCCATTGTCTCTCTATGTGACTCTTGTTCTCTCTCACTTCCTTCTAATTTACAATAACTTGAAACAGAAGGATGAGGCAGGGATATGAATAGGACTCTCCATTACTTCTTTTTACTTCACAAAAGCTGCTACCCTACATTGCAGGTATACCTCATTTTAAAGCCTAATACTATTGGTTAATTTATTAGAGGATGGTGCTGCAGTCATCTGTGACCCAGAAGCTTCAACTGATCAGAAGATCTAATTTCCAAATTGTTATGTATTATAAAAATCTGTACAGATTTGAGGAAACCTGAGAAAGAAGGACTGATGATGAAGTGTATGTAAAAAAAAAATCAGTAAGTGAAATGTGATTAATTATCTGTTGGTGAGGATGAAATAAAATGAGTTTCAGTGGGACAGTGCTGTGTGCTGTGTCTCAAGGATATGTATTGAGTTCAATTTCAATTGTTTATTCCTTGATAGAGGAAGCGGGATCCTAGTGCTGTCACTAGGTACCCCTGTACAATGACACCAGAAGCATCTGGCAAGTGTGTCAAGTATATACAGTATAAATATTATAAAGGGGCTTACTAAAGCCTAAGGAAGGAAGGATATTCCTTTAACACATAATCAATGTTATTTACATAATATCTGGCCAGTATGGGGAGGATCATCGTGTCTCCGTCAGGGGGTCGTGGAGTGGTGGTCCAGCAGGCGTCACGGAAGCGTTGTGTGTGGGGACATATGTATTGAGTTTCAGATTCTCTGTTGTGTATGTAATTAATTTCAAATCTGGGAGATTTAAATGAAAATGCCAACATAATATAACTTTACATAACATGACCTAATATTACCTAACCCAGCCTGACCTGACATACTCCTACCTCACTAACTTGACTTTGCACTCAGCAGGTTGGCAGTGCGGTCATCAGGATGTGGAGAAGATGATGAAGAAACATCTGCAGCTGGACAAAATGACACGATACTTGGGGTGACTGGCCTCCAAGACACCCTTCTTGCCCTCACCCGCTGCTGGGCTTCCATGTTTACCTACCACAGTGTTGAGTACCGTAGGTGAGGCTCACTGTTCATCTACTTTTCTTACTTTACTTTATCCTCTTTGCCACTGATCAACCTATTAGCCACTTGGCAGTTGGCTATGTTTCTGTTATGCACTGTTGGCACCTGCACCAGTATTGGTCAAGTCTTTTCTTAAATGTGCTCACACTTGGTACCGTCACAATACTCTCTGGCAGATTATTCCAAGGGTTTACAGCTCTCACTCCGAAAAAGTTTGCCCTGTCAATTTTCTTAACTTGTGGTTTCTTCAGCCTTTAGCTGTTACCTCTAGTGGGGCAGGCATTCACTAGTTACAGGCATGAACACTCAACTGAGTAATGTCCTCTGAGGTACTTATAAACTTATATTAAATCACTCCTTTTCCATCTATGGTATAAGCAAGACAACTGCAGGCATTCTAATCCCTCTGGGTACCTGTGGTGCAGTAGTGCAGGCACAAGTCTGGTGGCTCTCCTATGAGGTCTTATGAACCTTGAGCTTTGACCAACCATTTTTCCTCAAATGGTGGAAGGGTTGTTTCCATCCTCTCTTGCAAACACTGAGGAATATAACTGATTTAGCACCTCCGCCTTGTCCTGATCCGAGTTTGTGTAACTACCATCTTCAAGTAATTTTCCGGAAAATTACAGCTTTGGGACCGATTTTCCGAGTGGCACATTTTCCGGACAATTCTGAGAAAATTTCCCGATTCCCGGAAAATTCCGGGGATGGGGTAGTTTATTTACGGGTTTGAGAGATGAAAATCAGGTGCATTTTCTGGAACTTCCGAGAACATTTTTCCGTTACCCAGAAAATTCCGGGGATGGGGGATATTTTTCCGGGTTTGAGAGATGATGTAATGGGAATTTACTGGAACTTCCGAGAACATTTTTCCGTTACCCGGAAAATTCCGGGGATGAGGGATTTTTTTCGGCTTTGAGAGAATCGTCTCGTTACCTGGAAATCTCTCATTTCCGAAAGTGCTCTGCACCAATTGTTCCGGCTAATGGGGATATCACTGAAAGTTAATTTACTTGTTTGAACCTTGTATTTCATTTCAATTATTTGATTTTCATAGTTAGCATTTGTTAGTTTAGTTATTATGTTCTCCTATTCATTTATTTATTTATATTATTTTGTATTTTAAATGTGTACTGTATCATAATTCATAAGTATACTTTACTCTTTACTGCTTCAACTCATGTGTTTTATATTTTATCTCTTTCTCTGCTGTGTGTAATTTTTGTGGTAATCTTATATTGCCCACTGTTGCAGGCAGCGGGGGCAGGCAGTGGAGGCAGGCATGGGTGTGGTGGTGCAGGAAATGGTGGAGGCGGAGGCAGCTGGGGTGATGTTCACGCTGGACCCTGTCACTGGCAGTCCAGCCAACATTACCATTACTGCCAACTATGGCCTGGGAGAGGTACTGTACCCTTAACTCTCGTGTGTGTGTGTGTGTGTGTGTATTTCTCAATTTCACTTTATGTGGGATGGATCATGGGTGAAGAAAATCTTACCTGAAGGATTGGCTAATCATGAACTATGGCTTGGGGTGCAACTACATTCTCACTAGGGTTAGTCTCAATGGATATTATAATATTAAGGTCTTTCTTTGTGTGAGCTTTGTATAATGCTTTGATTATAAAAGAATTTACTGGCCTAGGAACCCCTATCTAAATTCAACACACCCGAATTGCAATACAGAGAGAGCTTCTCATCTAACCATCATAAACACAATAAAGAATCAAATTAAAAAACTGTGAACAAACTGACTTACAGCTTTGACTGTGTTCACTCAACTATATTATTTATTAACATAATTGTACAGTTTTTTTAAACTCAGACTAACCCATTCACCGTGTCCCTATTGGAACCCAGCACCATCGTGTGTGGCATGTTAAAAAATAAATAAATAAATAATGGAGTAGAATAGTTATTCCCCAAAACAAATGTATAACACTCAATGTCAAATTGACTTCTTCACATCTAATGAGAGATGATTAACCCTTAAAGCCCAGATGACGTTTCTGTGCATTCACCATAGTCACCCTGGGTGACGTTCCTCTTCATCCTTAATTTTCACGGCATAGTTTGAATGTCCATGAGGGATGAAGTACTTTGTACACTATAGGATATTTATTTACTTGGCAACTCAACTCATTGTAATCTTTGTCTCAAGTCTAGTGGTCCAGTTACCCACCACCTACCATGGTGAATGCACGTCCTTCGACCTTTTGTGGCCCGCCTCACTCCTCTACTCCCCCCCTGCCAGCCACCCCCCTTAGTGAGGTCATGGTTGTGTGCATGCCAGCTACAACAGTACATTTGGAGTGACTGCACTAATTTTATGCAAGAAATATAAATTTTTTACTGTGAATTTAAAAAAAAAATGTTTTGTTGCTGAAATATGCCTGTGTGAGGGGTTCGGCAGGTCAAATGTTGCCCGGGACATATAGGTCAAGATGGCTATACAGTAGTAACATGTCACCCAGTAGTATCTAACTTATCCATTTGCCATCATGAGACCTACTGACTCTACTGTAAAAGACAAAATATCTTAGAGTGCTGAGAGTCAGTTGTACTGAAAAGGTAGTGGAGATATTTAAGAATTAAAGGATGGAATAGAGTCAAAGGGTCTGAGTGTGAATGTGGAAAAAACAAAAGTTTTGATTAGTGGTATGAGTGAGGGACTTGGGCCAGTGGCAAAAAGTGGAAAATGGCCATGTGTTGACTGTAAGAAAAGTTTTGGCAGAAGGTTCGTACACTTGAGGTGCAGTGGAGTTAATAGTAGATTGCAGGATATTGCTGACTTTATAAAGTAACCTTCGGGCTTAGTAAGCTGGAGAAACTCAACATTATGAATAGTACTGGACTGTATATCCCTTGACTGTCAATGAGTTCTCTTACATGGGTACTATGATCAGTGTGGGAAGGGGTGCAGAAGATAGTTCAGTTGCAAGATTTAGAAATGGCTGGAAGAAATTTAGGGATTTGTAACTTTTATTGATGACAAGAGGATCATCCCTCCATGTGAACGGAAAGATATATGCAACTGCTGTGAGAAGTTATGTTAAACAGTGATGTACTGTACTTAAGTTTTGATTACCAGTGTTTTGCCCTCTCACATACCATAACCCATCTTGACCTACTGCTGTATATGTGTTTCAGAGTGTGGTGTCAGCAGCAGCAGAGCCCGACACAGTAGTGGTGAGACGCAGCTGGCGGGACCAACTATCTGTTGCCTCCAGAACCCTGGGTGCCAAGAAGACCAAGTGTGTCATGAAGGGTCAGTCTCTAAAGGTCATGAGTCTCGGTCATAGGTTCATGGGTGATCTAGGTAATGAATAGTCTAGATCAGGGTGTCTTAATCTCTTATTGGGTCACATACCCTTTTGAGAATTTGATGAAGGCTATGGACCCCCTCCCCAGATTAAAGCACATAAACACAGATGCACACACAATACATGCAAAATAATGCTCTCATGATATACTGGTTTGCCATTTTGCACCTTGTTACAATAAAAAAAAAGTCAGACTATTAAAAAAGACATGAATTTTAAAACCAGATTTGAACAGTTTTCTTTCAGTAGCCCTATTCTTTTGACATTGACACTCTCAAAGCAAAAATGCAGATCTTGAATATGCTTTCAGAAAAATATTGTAAAAAAAAAGTTTGTCACAAACTCTCAAGGTGTGTGTATATATATATATATATATATATATATATATATATATATATATATATATATATATATATATATATATATATATATATATATATATATATATATATATATATATATATATATATATATATATATATATATATATATATATATATATATATATATATTATCATACATACATACATACATACAGTCATCGCTGGTTAGCAATCCTGAACAACGTCCGATCGCATATACGTCCGTGCCCCCAAAAAAAAACTTACGTGGCGCCTGCTGGACCGCACCACCCCACGACCCCCTGATGGAGACACGATGTTCCTTCCCATACAGGCCAGATATTATGTGTTAAAGGAATATCCTTCCTTAGGCTTTAGTAAGCATTTGCCTCCAGGTGTAATGTTAACCTACATCTATTGAGGATATAATCTTTCACCTTCAAATTGACAATAACACATTTGCTGTAATCAGACATATCTAGTTGCCTCCACAATTGCAACCCCTGTTGCAATTGGGGTTGCAATTTCAAATTCTGTGTCATTACTGAGGAATAACGAAGTCTCTGGTGCACTGCACTCTAAGATTAAGAGAAAACGGACTCAGGCGTCCTGAAGCGAGAGAAAATGGACTCCTATGATGGGGGACACAAGCACTCACACGTGCCACTCATACTGACAGACTTGACACTCACTTACTTGACAAGTTTTACCAACCATTAGTTGTGTATGTTATCTAGTGAATTTAGTCAATATTGTACAGTGCAAGTACACTGCAATACAGTGGTCCCTCGGTTAACAATGGAACAAACCTGTACTGTACATGTACTAAATGATTACGGTTCTTAAATTGTTATGTCTATTGCAAATATAGATTATTTATGCAGGTATTCAAATAAATCACTATCTTACAAGAATCCCAGCAATGTAAGTTATATTCACCCAGGTCGTTTGGGTGGCAAATTATGAGAAGAGCTTAGTCACTCTTAAGTAATGATAAATAAACACGCAGGCCTTCGGTGCCAACTGTCAAATATTATCTCAAATAAATAAACAAACACCAGACACTCTGTCACCTCACCTCCCCCCCCCCCTTTCCCACGCTAGCTGGCTACCTCCCTCCTTGTGTTCCCAGACAAAAGATTGATGATAACTTATGCTTTAAGGTGTTTATTTTATATAATATCTCAGACTAAAGTTAGGAGATTATAATTTGCATTGCTGGAATCCTTGCAAGACAGCCAATAATTTGAATATAAACATCATATATTTTGCTCAAGATATAAAAATTGTAGTACATTAGTGTACAATACTGTAATACATTTTATAATACAGTATAAAGTTTTTCAACTGTATTTTTGGGTAGATTTACATAAATTTCTTCATTTATTTTCATCCATTTACATGCACACACCATACTAAAAGAAACGTAAAAGAAATACTGTAAATGACTTTAGTGCAAAGCTGGAGTGCACATGTACTAATTTGATTACAGTACTAAAATTGTTGTCTAGTGCGAATTATTGGTTGTTTATATTCAAATTAATCAACATCTTACAAGAATCCTAGCAATGTAAATTATATTCATCCAGGTCATTTCACTGGCTTTTTATAGGAGAGAAGCTTAGTCACTTAAGAACTTGTGGGGTATGAGATTGTTTGGTTCACACTCAGGATGGAATGGAGAAAGGAAACTCACAATGTGCTCTCTATATACATGTTGTATTGGATGTACAATGCAGCTTGGTGCTGGGAAGGCAGCATGGTTACAAGCGTGATGTAGAGAGAGCTGGTTGGTGAGGACGCTCAGAGAAGGACAGCTTGTGGGTCGCCATGCTCGCCAGCGGGAGAGAGGACCGCCAGGCAGGCGGAGGAGCGAGGGAAGGCCGCCAGGCAGGCGGAGGAGCGAGGGAAGGCCGCCAGGCAGGCGGAGGTGTTGCTGGCTGGTTGGTGTAGGTAGAAAGAGAGACAGATCACCACGAGGTCAGGTCTTAAATAGCGGGGGTAGGCGTGGCTTAGCAGTTGACCCCCGCTCCGTGGTGTATGGCGGCGCTGGTTGACCTAGACCACGAGGCATACACTGGGGAATTGGTGGGGTCGGCTAGGCAGCGACAAACAGCGTTTGTAGGGGAGAATTCCACTACAATACTCCCCCTTCCCTCCAGGCTGTGTAGGAGACTTGTTGTCTGCAGAGTTGCATAGCACATGTGAGGCAGAACGGGCGGTGCGTGCCTCATGTGAGACAACGGCGATGGCGTGGATGAGCCGGTCGCTGGATACAACTGTCTATATACACACTATCTGTGGGAGAAGAGAGGGAGAAAAAGGGTGTGTGGAGGCGATGAATTTTGTTCTTCCCTCACAGCAGGTACAGAGTCGCCAGATGCGCCTGCTGGGGTGTGTGGGCCTGGGTCAGGAGCAGGGGCTGCGTCAGCAGAAGCGGATGAGAGCTCGTGACAGCAGCTGGGTCCACGACAGCAGCAGGGTGCAGGACATTAGCAGGGAGTACCTGAGGGAGAAAAGAGGGGTGTGTGGGTCCGCACTCAGGAACAGAGGCCGCATCAGGGGCGGCAGGGGTTACTGCTGGGCCGGGGTCGGCGTCTGAGGCAGGACGGGTGTGCTGGGGTCGGTAGGACGTGGTGCTTGGGGGCAGGAAAAGGAGCTGGTGTCTGCTAGGAGAAACAGTGCTGCTCTAGGGTGTCTAACCTGTGGTGTAGAGACAGTAGTTGTAGAGCCGATGAGAGCTGCTTCTGTGTGGATAAGCCAGTCTTCCATGTTGCTTGAAGACTGGGAGCGTGATCAGTTTCTCCTCCATCCTGTGTGAGTGCGAATCTCCGGGAGTCACCATTTGTGGGGTATGAGATGTTTGGTTCACACTCAGGATGGAATGGAGAAAGGAAACTCACAGTGTGCTCTCTATATACATGTTGTATTGGATGTACAATGCAGCTTGGTGCTGGGAAGGCAGCGTGGTTACAAGCGTGATGTAGAGAGAGCTGGTTGGTGAGGACGCTCAGAGAAGGACAGCTTGTGGGTCGCCATGCTCGCCAGCGGGAGAGAGGACCGCCAGGCAGGCGGAGGAGCGAGGGAAGGCCGCCAGGCAGCGGCAGAGGAGGAGGTGTTGCTGGCTGCGGCTGTAGGTAGAAAGAGAGGCAGATCACCACGAGGTCAAGTCTTAAATAGCGGGGGTAGGCGTGGCTTAGCAGTTGACCCCCGCTCCGTGGTGTATGGCGGCGCTGGTTGACCTAGACCACGAGGCATACACTGGGGAATTGGTGGGGTCGGCTAGGCAGCGACAAACAGCGTTTGTAGGGGAGAATTCCACTACAAACTGATAAATATACACGCGTTAGACCTGGGCCTGTGCCAACTGTCAAACCCCTCCCTCCCACCACTCCTCCCTCCCTCCTCCCTCCCTCCCTCCTCCCTCCTCCCTCCCTCCCTCCCTCCCTCCCTCTCCCCCATCTGCCCAGCATTGCTGGAATCCTTGTAAAACAGTGAATAATTTTAATATAAACATCATGTATTTTGCACAAGAGACAAAAATTAATCACCAGGTATCACATTACAGTAGTGATTTAATAGTAAAAGTGTATATGTACGTATATAGTATTCCACATACACATAAGTATAAATACAAAGTTTATGTGATGATCGGACAACGTCCATTTCGGTGAACGTCACGTTTCCAAGAACATATTTAGGACGTTAACCGGCGCATGACTATATATATATAGTATATGTCATTGTCTAAATGATATTTGGCCACTTTTATAGCTTTTGTATTTGTTAATTCATGTATTTTATAACTTGCTCAGAGTTTCAAAACAAACAAATGTGAAAGAGTACCAGTGCTTGGCAATGTATGGGAATCACTGTTCTAATTTTATGACCCGTCAAGATCAATGATGGCTTACATTATGAGCCCTCAAGGTTAGTGTTGTTCTAGAATCCTAAATGGTGAGCCTTCTAAAGTCGGTGGTGTGTAGGTTATGGTCAGATGCCAAGAATCATATAGAAATACCATAAAAAAAATCCCTAATAATTATACATGAACATTACATAAATGTACCTTCATGTACATCAGTGTTCCTGTGTGTACTTATTTATGAGTGTGTATTGACAGAGGATGGAGGGACAGAGGAGGTGGAGGTGGGGGAGAAGGAGCGGACCCAGCAGTGCCTTAGTGACACCATGGCACTTTGCTTGGGACGCCTGGCAGTCTTCCTCAACCAAGCTTTTGCCAGCCCTAGAGACATTGAGTTTGCCCTAGCTCAGGTGAGAACATGGCAGCTGAGGTCACTTGGGATGAGGATGAGTAAAGTGAGATCACGATAAGTTCGGCTTGGTCAAGTTAGATGAGGTCAGTTTAGAATAGGTTAGAATAGATCAAATTAGTCTAGGTTAGTTGAGCCAAGGTCAGGTTATATTTGTCAAGATCGGGCTAGGCTGTGAAAATATTGTTTTCTTCACATAGCAGTCTGATCATTGCAAAGAACATATATGTCCTTTGCAATGATATGATCAGACTCTATTCCTACTGATTTGTAGGTTTCCTGTTTACTGCACGTTCTAAAAAATAGTAATGATTAAAGGTTATGAAATAAAAGAATTACCCTTTATATACTGTACAGCACCTGTACACATGCATTAATAAAACAAACCCTCGGTAGACTAATAACAACATAGCTAGCATAAGGTAGATATAAAATAGACGTCCTTCAGACCTCCTGACTTCATTAATGCATGTGGTAACTGTCTTTGTGAGGTCTGTAAAATTACAGTAGTTTAAAATTGTGAATCATAAATGTATGTTGACCCATCTCCATGTATAATTACAGTACCGTATACACAAAAGCCAAATTTCTTTTTCATATATTCACCAAGAACAGATTGCCCTGAACCAAGTACAGGCTTGGCCCATTATAACTGTTGTCACTTATATTGCATATCAATGTTTTATGAGTACTGTATAACTGTATATATCACACCATATAATCACATATCAGAGCTGTAGACTGAATTACTGTACTATACAGGAGACAGTGTACCTGCTACAGGCTCGCCCCATTACAGCCCTGGATGAGTGGACAGACTATGAGGTGACCCATGAGCAAGACTCTGCTGTCCTCTGTGACCATGAACTGCTGACTAGGGGCAACACTGGGTAAGTCATTATCCTCACTAGCTAGGTCAGTATCCTCTCTACCTAGGTCTCTATCCTTGCTAAATGGTTATAAATGATTATAATCACCACTGATTAGGTCATATCATCATTGTGAGGGAGGTAAACACTTGGTACTAATACCACCATATGTTGTCCTTAGCGAGGTGCTACCAGGCAGCATAACACCCCTGACTCTGTCGGTGCTACCACCAGCCTTAGACCTGGCTTTCTACATGGAGTTGTGTCACTGGGAGAGGTATTCCCACACCCTTGAACCATATTTTGCCCACTTGTCTCCCATCTACAGCACCCAGGTGTTCCTTAATATGCTGCAGGTACGTAGTCTTTTACACCATATCTTCCTGCGTTCCAACTTGGGTTTCAATTTACTGTACTACTGCCCAAAACAGTGCCATGTTGCATGAAAAATTTATCTGGGAAGTAATTCTCTATAAGTTTTAAAGATAGTACAGTATACTGTATCATATTTAATAAATCAAACAGAGTCATTGTTAAACTAAGAAAGCATGAATAGCACGTTGGTGGATTACTGATGAGGCTTTTATTAAAGGCCCTGTTAAGGTAGAAAACATAAATTTTAGATCAGAAATACTCGTATATACCAAAGTGTTAAGGACATTGTGTAAAGGTGTGTGTGTATATCAACAGATGCAGTATCGGTACAACGATAAGGAGATGAATTTGGTCAACCGGGCCATTGACCTGATTGTGTATGGCCATGATGTCTCCACCGAGCAGTTCGTACAGTGGGGAGTGGAGAGGTTTGGTTTACAGAGTAAACTCATTAAGATGTACCAAACCTTTCTCCTGCTCTTTGTAAGTACTACTATGCCCACTGCATTACTACACCCACTGTACTTCTGCACCCACTGTACCACTACATCCACTGCACTTCTACACACACTGTACTTCTACACATACTATGCCACTACACCATATGTGCCACTATATTAACACTTGACATAATGAATGGTGTTTAATATCCTTGCACTTGAAGCACCTAAAACAAGCAACTGTAATGGCTTAGTAAAATAACACTGGGTAAATCAAATCTCACTTCTTACAGGATGTGTTGAGTCTTGGTGGTCATGTCCGGCGGTGTAAGCAAAAATTTGCTGATTACACCTTAGCATGTGGGTGGGCCGTCTCCTCCGTCAGTCTCTACAAAGAGATTTCCCGAAGGCTCCCCGATCTATTAGAGGTACTGTACATGAACGGTCTTCTTTGTCCTCATCTTATGGACTTGAAAAGTCCATGGATTGTTATGTTTATTTGTTCCTGAGTGCATAGTTCTGCCCTTGGTTACATTATCAATAGCCCAGCCTGTGATTTACTTTGCCTGTGCCTTTATGGTTTACTGTGGCCTTTAATGTACACCCACTATAAAATTATTCAGCACCCTTGGCTCTGATACTCTGGCCTTGCCGAGTTATCCCAAATTCCAACTTATCGAGGCACTTCCCCCCTCCTACAAAATAACAACAATAAAAAATCATTGGCCCATATATGTGTACAGTACATGTAATTACTAAATGTAAAAAAGTAACACTGTATACAAATTTAATTTTTTTTTTACCTCACCTTTCCTCTTTCTTTTTCTTCTGCCCTCCCTCATTCACTCTCTCTTGTGCTCCAGGTATCAAGGACTCATAACATCACCAGTAAGGTCAGCAGTTCCACAGAGTGTATTGCCTTTATACTCTTGGGTGAAGGCAAGAAAGGTGAGTGTTATTCTAAGAGGTAATGGCTCCCTAGAGTACACTTTGGGTTCCTCCAATGTCCTGACTTACTCTTACCCAATTAAATTAACGTAACCTACCCCTCATCGATCCTAAATTAATATAATTTACCCGTATTTTAATTTTTAATTTTGTTTCTTTGGTGGGAGAAGAAAGGTGATAGCTAGTTTAACCCTGACCTGGGCCTGGGTCCATTGTTAGTAGAGAAGAAAACTGGGGTACCTGTACTCTACCTGGAAAAAACATGCAGTATCTTGTTGTTATAATGTTATTACAGCACTTTGACATCTAAGGTCTTTAAGCACATAAGGTTAGTAATTACACTATTACATCAACCATCAAAAAATAAGAGAGATTAAACTCTCTAGTTGCAATATCATTAAGGCCACACAGGATATCATCCTTGTCAGATCCAAACCAGGGATCGAACACAAGATACAGTAGTGAGAGGCGAGTGTTCTTATGCTGTACCATCAACATCCTTTTCCTAACCTAAACTATGGCAACTTGATTTGAATATAACTATTCTAATATAAAATATCACACCCTAGCCTTACCTAAATCAACTTTACCGAGCATAATTAACCAGTTCTTTATTAACCTAACCTCGTGTTAACTAATCTAATCTCAACCAACATATTGTGACCAAACATAACCTGACCTATTTCATTTTTACTTAACCTAATGTAAACTAAGCTAACCTAATACAGGTATTCCCGTACCTTAACTAACCTCGGGGTTCACTGGCTGAGTAGATGCAGTGCTCACTTCCTGTTAGGTAGAGAGAAATTTGGCTCAGGAGTTCATTAATATACCATTTTACTACAACAGCATCCAGCCCACTGGTCAGTCACTCACTCGGTTCCCACCAAGTTGCCAGATACAGTACTGCTATTTGAACAAATCATACTGAAAACCGTGACATCACTTCTTAGGCCGATTGTACAGTATTTCACATATGCATGCAGAGTATATATGCAGTGAACTATAACTACATAATTATTATTAGTAGTACACTGTAATATTATTATTATTATTATTATTATTATTGTTATTATTATTATTACATCTCATTGATCTCCAGAGTTCAGCAAGGAGAACAAGGCAGACATGGCTTCACTCCTCTCCTCCTGCATTGGTGTTGAGTCTGCTGATGTCCCTGTGGCTCTGAAGGTAATCCCCCCCCCCTCCCCCCATCTTGCTGTAAGTCAACCCAAGTCACATTCGGGTGATCAAAGTCATCATAAGTCATTCTAGGTTGTGTTATGTTGCTCTGACATTATAAGTCAACCTGGTTATTAAAAGTCAATCTAGGTCACCACAAATCGTCTTAGGCCATCCTAGGTCACCACAAATCATCTTAGTTCATCCTAAGTCACCACAAATTATTTTAGCGTTGTGACGGCTCCAAGTGTGAGCTCGTTCAAGGGCAGACTTGACCAACGCTGGTGCAGGTTCAGATATATACCCATTATCTGTCACCAGTGTGTATTAGAGACGTGACCAACCGCACCAAGCGGCTAACGAGCCAATCAGTGGCGAAGAGGGTTAAAGTAAAAGTAAGGTCATCATAAGTCATCCTAGGTCACCACAAATCATCCTAGATCACCACAAATCATCTAGAGTCATCCTAGGGTCACCACAAATCATCTTTGGTCATCTTAGGTCACCACAAATCATCTTGGTTATAATGAAGATGTTATTGAGTAAAGCTGTCCTAAGATAAATTAAATTGCAACATTTTAGCTGAAATTTTATTGTAATTTCAGTATTGTTTTTTTAAGCTACAGGGTATTGTGACCTTTTGCCCTGTCAATTAAAAGGACTCTTGGAAGTCCTACATATAATGCCAGTTCCCACTTTGTAAAAGATGGTTGGCGATGGGAGGGAAGGAGGGCATCTAGCTTTAAAACTTACTTTAAATTTTTTGGATGTCAACCAGGACACTGAGACATCAGATAATCATGGCTAACCCATGCAAGTAGGTGACAGAGTGTTGGTGGGACAGAAATAATGTGCCTATCTCTCATAACTATGTCCTGGGATCAAGTCCTGGCCCAGAACAGATGTGGGAAGGGTGTTATCCAGTGTGACACTACCAAACATCACAGATTTTCTCTAGGTACTCTGGTTTCCTCCTGTACTAACACTGGGCAGTAAAGTTCATAACAAAGTAACAAAGAAGAGACCAACCACCCAATCGGATGCTGATAAGCGGTGAAATGGTAACTTGAAAGTGTAGAAAATGGCCATAAAAAGATCATGATTATAATTATGATATACAGTATTTTGTTTAGCTCTTCAATGATTTTTTTTAGGAAGTCCTCAATCTATTGTTTAGCTTATATTTTATCATGTTTTAGCTTTAATAATTTAATTTCCTGTATCACCAGTCTAGCACTACTGAAACACCATTTCCTGTATCACCAGTCTAGCACTACTGAAACACCATTTACTGTATCACCAGTCTAGCACTACTGAAACACCATTTACTGTATCACCAGTCTAGCACTACTGAAACACCATTTACTGTATCACCAGTCTAGCACTACTGAAACACCATTTACTGTATCACCAGTCTAGCACTACTGAAACACCATTTACTGTATCACCAGTCTAGCACTACTGAAACACCATTTACTGTATCACCAGTCTAGCACTACTGAAACACCATTTACTGTATCACCAGTCTAGCACTACTGAAACACCATTTACTGTGTCACCAGTCTAGCACTACTGAAACACCATTTACTGTATCACCAGTCTAGCACTACTGAAACACCATTTACTGTATCACCAGTCTAGCACTACTGAAACACCATTTACTGTATCACCAGTCTAGCACTACTGAAACACCATTTACTGTATCACCAGTCTAGCACTACTGAAACACCATTTACTGTATCACCAGTCTAGCACTACTGAAACACCATTTACTGTATCACCAGTCTAGCACTACTGAAACACCATTTACTGTATCACCAGTCTAGCACTACTGTCACCTACTGAAACACCATTTACTGTATCACCAGTCTAGCACTACTGAAACACCATTTACTGTATCACCAGTCTAGCACTACTGAAACACCATTTACTGTATCACCAGTCTAGCACTACTGAAACACCATTTACTGTGTCACCAGTCTAGCACTACTGAAACACCATTTACTGTATCACCAGTCTAGCACTACTGAAACACCATTTACTGTATCACCAGTCTAGCACTACTGAAACACCATTTACTGTGTCACCAGTCTAGCACTACTGAAACACCATTTCTCCCTGATGGAGCAGGAGATGGCACGGGTGATCGCAGAGAACGAAGAAGCAGAGGAGTTCCTTGCAATGACCTCAGAAGAAGGTCGGGTGTGGATAGAGTCTCACCCCGGCAAGGTTGGTGACACCTTCAGGAACTTCCTCTCCAAACATGGCCACCGCTGCATCAAGGAGGTCAGCCTGAGTCTTTAGCAGGCAGTCTAAGTCATAGGAGGTCTAGGTTCAATAAGGGATGTCAGTCTGGGTCATGTAAAGTCATTCTGGGACTGGGTCATGGAAGGTCAGTCTGGTCATGCAAGGTCAGTCTAGGTCAAAGGTCACTTTTTAGTTAGAGGAGTTTGAGAAATCATCATCCTTGTCAATATGGGTCACTTTTTGTCAAATGTGCAACCTATAGGGAACAAATTGCCCGGGAACTTCACAGGGCACAAAAGGTATGTGCAGGACAGTTATGTACCTTTCATAATTTACACCAACATACCTCCTCTAGTTACATTTTATTGTTCCTCAGTTTCCTCACACAGTTTTGCTATGTATCTTTATTGTATCCTTGAAAAAGAAAAATCAGCATTGATGAACATCAAAATCAGTTACAGTATATACTAGGTTAGGTTGACATTTGGTTGGTTTCAAGTTTTGTAGGGAAACGGGCTCAGTGGAAAATTCTAAGATGTCATGCAGAGCATTGAGGGAACCCTAATTCCAAGGATACCCCATTTTTACAGCTCTGTCAACAGCTGTAGCCACTGAAGAATAATATATTTTCATTGGAATTTGTTTGTTATAAACTTTTTTGTAACATGTCTTTTAGACTAAAAATCCTTATCCTATGACTAATGAGTTGGGGACAGAATTCATGAAAAAAAGCTTGGCCTTCAGTTCTATATGTCTGGACTTTGCCAAGGCTTTTGACAGCGTACCCCTTGAAAGGCTGAAATGTAAACTGGAATGATACACTGCAAGCAGTGTGTGGTGATTAATGGCATGAAATCATTATAGCTATGTACCTGTTACAAGCAGGGTGCCACAGGGCAGTGTACTGGGTCCATTGTTGTTTATTTGTTTGTTTGTTTCATAAATGACGTGCCAGAAGCTATACACTTATCCATACAAATGTTTGCCGACGATGCAAAGTTATTTCGGGAAATAAAGTATCAAAGGGAGTGTGAAGAGCTACATTAAGATTGCCATCAGTTTCAGTAGGGGTCAAAGGAATAGCTGTTATTATTCAGTGTCATGAAATTCAAAAGGATGCACCCAGGTCATACCTACAGTAACAAAGCTTATCACTTGCCCCAACGGAAACCAAATGTGAAAAGGACCTGCAAGAGTATGTTGACAACGAACTGAAGTTCTTGAACCATTGTGAGAGGGTGAATCAAGCAACTAAGCTAGTGGGTTGTATAAGAAGATCATTTAGATATCTAGATGGTCCAACCGTCTCTGGTAACGCTCTTTAGAAGTGAGGTGCTTCCCCATTTGGAGTACAGTACTGCCATCCCTTCTGGTCTCCGAGATATGCTAGATACTGTCAGTTGTTTGAAAACGTCCAAAGGAGGGCCGCCAGACTGGTGTCTTCACTACAGAACCACAGTTACTCAAAGAGATTAGAATGCCTGCAGTTGCCTATCTTATACTATAGTCAGGCACATTATTCAGTTGAGTGTTCATACCTGGAGGTGGCGGATGCCCGCTCCACTAAGGATCACTGCTTAAGGTTGAAAAAGCTAAAGTTTAGAAAACGATCAGAGCAAACTGTTTTGGAACAATCTGCCAGAGAACACACTAGCACAGTTACAGATACATTCTTGAGCCAGTTCTTGGCAACAGTGCATAACAGAAACGTGACTGAGCGCCCAAGTGGCTAACGAGTCGGTCAGTGGCGACATATAAACGTAAATTACAAAAGCACAGAAATAGCATTAATGAAAGCATAAAGAGAGCAAAATTTCACAAATTAGTATTCAATCTGCATCGCAGTCACCTCTGATGCTTGCCTTAGCAATGCTGCAACATCCCCAGCAATGGTGCTATGCCATGGACCTTACGACCTCTACACACTTGCCACACAGCTTCATTTATTTATTTTTGCATATTCTGTATGTAGGGTTGTGTGTGTGTTTGTAACTGAGTGAAAAAAAGAATATGTATATCTACCCAAAAATACAAATTAAAAATACTTTATACCTTTTGATAATTACCAGTATTTCTTTTATTATTATTATTGTTTTTTGTTTTTTTTTGCACTTTCTGTATGTAAGATTGAGTGTGTATGTAACTAAATAAAATATGACAAAAATTAGATCTATCTACCCAAAATTACGAATTTAGAAATAACCATAACATAACATACAGCGGGGCGCCGGTGGTAGAGCGGTACCGCTCTTGCCTTGCAAGCGAGATGTCACTGGTTCGATCCCCAGGCCGGTGGAAAGTTGTTTGGACACACTTCCTAGCCCCCCTTGGTCCCTGTTCACCTAGCAGTAAAGTAGGTACCTGTTGTAAATCGAAAAGTTGCAAATTTGTATTCAGGGAAAGTTGTTGGAGCTTCCAATAACTTGCTGAAAAAAACTTATGACCCTTCAGGCTTCTATGCCCTTGACAAAAAAACCTATGACCCTTCAGGCTTCTACGTCCTTGTCAAAAAAACCTATGACCCTTCAGGCTTCTATGCCCTTGACAAAAAAACCTATGACCCTTCAGGCTTCTATGCCCTTGACAAAAAAACCTATGACCCTTCAGGCTTCTATGCCCTTAACTCATGAGACATAAAGGCAAGCATGAACTTAGCATGCTTCCCAGATAGGCGCTGTAAGCGCTTCTGCGCTTCACCTTGCACAGGATGTAGGGGGTGCCCAATGAACTAAAAAAAAAAGTAAATAAATAAAAATAAAAATAAAATAACATAGAGCATACAGGTGGGGTATGGTTGGAAGTATCCCTGCTTGGCCCATGAATTACTTGGTGCTCATTTTAAAATGGACTTATGGGAGAGTGTAAGTTTAAAAAAGAAGATTAAAATGAAAAATAATGAATGAAGTTTGGTTTATGGCAAGTCAGATATCATACTACCCTTACCTCTCACTTTGTCTCCCACAGTTTGACCTGAGTTCCCTCTCCTGGGGCCTCAACCCCTGCACCCTCATCCACACATTGCAGGTCAGTTCTGTTACAAAAATGTTTTCTTGTAACTAAAGGTGTAAGAATGCATCTAACTGGTTGATTTAAGATGCAGCATAAAAGTTACACTGATACTTTCTTAACTAGATGCATACCCTTATATCTACTGTATAGTAGTTAGGAGACAAAAGTAAAGTAGAGAATCATTAGAAAAAGATTTTGTTCCTTGATTTTTTTCTGATGGTAAGTTATCCTGCTTAGTTAAGATTAGAGTTTCTTTATAACTTGAATGCCATTTTTATATTATACTTTCTTTGCTTTACTTTAACATATTCACCAATTAGGTTAGGTTAGGTTAGGATAGGTAAGGTTAGGATAGGTAAGGTAAGGTAAGGTAAGGTTAGGGCTTATTTGACCAATCATTACTTAGTGCAACTTATACTCATTGTTGTTTGTTGTTCTGAATGGTATGCATGCTTTTGTGTGTGTGTGTGAGAGAAAGAAATAGAGGAACAAGGATGATAAAGATAAAGGGAGGAGCAAAGGAGAGAGAGTGAGATAGGAGAGAACAAGGAAGAAAGAGGGAGGAAAAAATTTAGAAAAAATCTAGAGTGTCATTTCACATACACTTCAGGTGATGGTGAGACACCCCAGCAGCTACAACTCTGTCAAAGAAGAGCTGAATGCACACCAGGCCATAGATAACCTTCAGTCCCCTGTCTCCCATGGCACTAGGTGAGTCAGTCAATCTCTCATGGCACGAGGTGAGTCAATCAGTGTCCCAGTCTTCTTGTAGCCACTCTCTTATCATGATGCTAGAGCCAAGAGCAACACAACTTCTCCCTCATTTGTTGCCAACCATTCCAGCTGCCTTGCCACATGTGCTCCCCTATTATTCCTCCTTCTACAACAAGGCCTTGAGATATATTCATCTGCCTTATCTTTCCCTCTACAAAACACGACAGCATGTTGAGAACATACAGTACTTTTCAATTATAAATATACTGTACATTACTTTGTGAGGAACATCCATTCTCCTGCAATCCAGTTTTTCTTTCACCTTAGTCTTACTGTTTCTCTCTTACCATACACATCTGTATTACAAACCATTTTTATCAGTCTTTCACATTAGAATTTTCCATATAACAGGTTTCTGTCTGACATCTTAAAATCACTTTTATAACTTTTTATATCCTGGCAACAGGAGGCTGCAGTGTTACTAAATACAAATACAATAATGAATTTACAACTGTGACTGGTTCACAGTTAGACAGGCAGTGTATATATATATATATATATATATATATATATATATATATATATATATATATATATATATATATATATATATATATATATATATATATATATATATATATATATATATACACACACACACACAGTCGGCCCTTAACATACACGGGGGTTAGGTAACAGAGATACAAGTGAATGTTAAAAATCCGTGTACTTTTGCTGCCCCCTCCCCATAAAAAAACCCTGGCCCCCCCATGTCCTTATTTACCGTATATACCTGTGTGTAGTTCGAGTTTTTAAGACCAAATTATTTGTCAAAAAATTGGGGGTCGACCTCTAAACGGGTAATAGTTTCGTTAGGTTGAAAAATATTTACCAGTAACTACCAGTAAACAATGGAAACGACGCACCAACGCACCACCAGCTGTGAGTGTCGGTACAGTTGCGAGGGCAGATCTCTTGCGTCATCATAGCAAGCCCAAAGTAGCCAAATGCATGGTATGGTATGCACAGGACGATGTAAAACATAAAGTATTCATTTTTTAAAGTTTATTTATAGATACTGTACATAAATTTTTGTTCATTACATTTGAAACATCAATCTTTGTTAATTAAATTTGAAACAAAAGAAAACTACGATACCGTATTTCTAAATACCGGGTATTTTCATTAAAATATTACATCACAAGTATATTTTACCTTAACTGTGACTGAATGAATATATTCTCAGAAATAAATATGGAAATGTAATATTTTTGCTGAAATGACGTACGTATTACAGTGGAAAGTGGGATAAAATCATGACGAAAACAATGACTTTCGCTTTCTTTCGTTGTTCAAAAGATTTTACCGTGGAACAAACCTGTACTGTACATGTACTAAATGATTACGGTACTTAAATTGTTATGTCTATTGCAAATATAGATTGTTTATACAGGTATTCAAATAAATCACTATCTTACAAGAATCCCAGCAATGTAAGTTATATTCACCCAGGTCGTTTGGGTGGCAAATTATGAGAAGAGCTTAGTCACTCTTAAGTAATGATAAATAAACAGTAGGCCTTCAGTGCCAACTGTCACATCTTATCTCAAATAAATAAACAAACACCACACTCTGTCACCTCACCTCCCGCCCCCCATGCTCGCTGGCTACCTCCCTCCTTGTGTTCCCAGACAAAAGATTGGTGATAACTTTATTCTTTAAGGTGTTTATTTTATATAATATCTCAGACTAAAGTTAGGAGATTATAATTTGCATTGCTGGAATCCTTGCAAGACAGCCAATAATTTGAATATAAACTTCATATATTTTGCTCAAGATATAAAAATGTAGTACATTAGTGTACAATACTGTGTAGTACATTTTATAATACAGTATAAAGTTTTCAACTGTATTTTTGGGTAGATTTACATAAATTTCTTCATTTATTTTCATCCATTTACATGCACACACCGTACTAAAAGAAATAAATGACCTTAGTGCAAAGCTGGAGTGCACATGTACTAATTTCATTATGGTACTAAAATTGTTATGTCTAGTGCAAATTAGAGCATGTTGCTATTCAAATTAATCAGTGTCTTACAAGAATCCCAGCAATGTTAATTATATTCTCCCAGGTCATTTCACTGGCATTTTAAAATGGGAGAAGCATAGTAGGACTGTTAAATAAACACACAGAGACCTTCGCCTCAAACTGTCAAACATATTACCTCAACCCCCCCTCCCACCCCTCGCTGGTTGGCTGGCTCCTTCCCTCCCTCCCTCATCTGCTCAGCCAGGGGTTTATTTAGGCTTACAGTTTTTATCTTATATAATATCTCAGACTGAAGTTAGGAGATTATAATTTGCATTGCTGGAATCCTTGCAAGACAGCCAATAATTTGAATATAAACGTCATATATTTTGCTCAAGAGATAAAAATTGTTGTACATTAGTGTACAGTACTGGTTTTCAGTTAAAAACTGTTGTATTACAATAATATTCCCTCCTAATTGACTTGAATAAATACTTGAATGGAAATATACAATATTTTTGTTGAAACTACCCGCGTTTCAGTGTAAAGTGTCGTAATAATAAATGGTAAACAATTTGCCTTCGGCACTCTGTGTTTCAGGCACGGCGAGCCTCAGTTTATAGGACGTAGAGTATTTTTACTGAAGGTTTTGTTGTTCCAATACCCTCAAAAACTTGGGTCGACCTATAAACAAGGAATATCATAAATTAACGATTTTTTGGTCAAAAATCAGGGTCGACCTACAATGCTGATGTCAACACAAGCGTGGTTACAGCAAGACTGACTGAGTGAGGGAGCGATGTGCTATGCGTGTGTGTGTGTGAGGTAGCGGGAGCGGGCAGTGTCCAGTGTTCGATTAGAATGGCTCGCGATTTGAATGTACTTCAATTACTTCAATGTACAGAATATTCCTCCGGCTGGGCAATCCGCATATTTGCGAATCCGTGTATGCTAAACCCGCGTATGTGAAGGTGCCGACTGTATATATATATATATACTGTATATATATATATATATATATATATATATATATATATATATATATATATATATATATATATATATATATATATATATATATATATATATATATATATATATATATATATATATTGTAGATTATATTTTAACTGGTTTATTATGTTTCATATGTCATCGCTGTCAGACGTTCACTGCAGTTTATGTTGCCAATATGCCGGAAAGCTGTCGTGCAGCGTGAAGCAACCAAGTCCCTCTTCATCAAGGTGATTGACGTACTAAGACGAGCCTACAGGTAATGTGATCTGGTGGACTGTTTACATTTCTGGTCATAAACTTTTATACTGATACTACTATTTTATAGATACAATACAATACTGTACTGTATACCGGTACTGTACTTGTAATATGTATTGATCACCTTAAGAAGCTTTTCATATTATTCAGTACCTGAAACTAAGTATACAGCGCTGCACTAGTGCTACCTCATGCTTACTAAAAGTTGTGCCTTACTATACTCGTTACCTCAGTGACGTTCAACCTGTGGAATACAATTGTATCATTACACTACAGTATTGAGTCAATGCATTATTGTATTGCCTTTATTGCTTCAATATTTTCATTGCTACCCTGTTGTATTACTGTATCCCTATATCACCATTACTGTACTTCTGTATCTTCATTACTGCACCACTGTATCACCATTACTGTACTACTGTATCACCATTACTGTACCATAGAATCATCAGTGTTCTATTATTTTGTCAATTCAGGAAGTTGGGTCAGTTGTTGGTGAGTGAGGGTCGACTGCCTTCCCCTGACTTGGTGTTCTATCTGACACATCCTGAGCTGGGAGTCCTGGTTCAGGGCCCTTCCCCATCTCTTCTGGCCAAGTACGTAACATTTCTCATTCATTATTGTTCAGTTTTGCACCAATTTCTGTCACGAATGATCAGTTCTGTTAAGTCATCTTCACTTCTGATTCTGTTATTAAAGCCTAATTCTATTGATTCTCTTTTTTGTATATGGATCACTCTTGTACTGTTTTGTTCTTTTTTTTTCACTTTTTCTCACTGAGGTTTAGCACTGTTGATTTTAGTCCCCCTTTTTTTGCAATTGCTGTGCAACTTTGGGGACTTATTTTGTTGCATTTAAGGCCATCTTTTTTAATATAAATAAAATAATTATAGTTAAATTATTATGTAAACAATAAGCAAATTATTTAACTTTATCCTCTTTGCCATTGATTGGCTTGTTACCTGCTTGGGCAGTCAGTCACATCTCTCTTACACACTATTGGCAAGTACTGGGCATATACTTGGCATCATGGCCCTTTGAAATACAGTACAGTATACAAATTTATCTCATTTACCCATAGGTTTCATTGGTTGGTAAGGATGGTGGGGGCAATAATGACAACTTCCATAATACTTATCTTTATTTTGAGAAAGAAAAGTTGAAGTACAACAAGCAGTAAAAATATATTTTCCTCCTCTTCAGTTTTATTCTGTAATATTCACTCATGTTACTCTCCACATACTGTAAGCTGTTCTTCCTCAGGGCAATGAAGCGTCAGCGGCTACACCCTACATTGAACCAGATCAAATTTCCTGAGGTCAATATTGGTATTCCAAAGCCTGTAAGTCTCTCTTTCTCTTCCCACTGTAAGGCTGGATAGCCAGAATTGAAAGTTTACACAGACAGTTAAATACCTGTGTGTGTGTGTGTGTGTGTGTGTGTGTGTGTGTGTGTGTGTGTGCATGCAAGATAGAGAGAGAGAGAGATCCCTATGCCTATGAGTCCCCCATAGGAGCAACATATTGTTTTCTCAATTTTTTCTTCTTGTAGGCAATAAATAATTGTTCATCACTTTTTAATTCTGTTCTAATCCATTTTAAACACAAAGGCTTTTGTGTCTTGGTCCATTAAGTTCACACATACCATATACAATACTGTACCTGCATACAGTATTTGTCTTTTATGGATTTTATGGGGTCCAATGTCAAGCATCCTTAAACTCATTTAAAGAATTTATGATGAAAGGTGGCATAATATACCTTGCCGTACGCACTATGCTGTGGTGCTAAATAGGGGAGACATTAAATTATCTTACAAATGCTGGCTTCTGAAATTACATTTATCTTTTATACATTGTATGTACATTTATTTTACTAAATATATATCCATCTATGATTTCCATATTTTGTTAGTTCATATATACAGTACCTTGTCTTATTATGTATTGTACTTTCATTCCCAGTCTTACTGTATTTGGACACTTAGAGGCAATACAGGTGATGTCATAAATCATGTTCTGGTTTGTTGACAGATGATACACATGATGTCATAGATCACATGCTGTTTCTTTACTCCCATTTGATGTGACATCACTTATCATTTAGTGGTTTGTTTATAATGACATTTTCCCTTTTCATTGCAGTTAACTCCAAAGAAGCAAAATGATGTTGAGGTGATGGGTTTGGGTGAAGTCATCATGGGTACACCAGTGTGTCAAGGAGTGGTGACTGCCCCAGCTAGGGTTGTGACTTGTCTCCAGGAGGCTTCAAACATACAGGTTCAGTATACATGGGGGAAAGGGGAGAGAAAGAAAAGTACAAATGACTACAATCCTTTTTTAAATATTAATAATGAATGTATATAACATTACTACATAGCAATACTGTATTCAAAATTATTTTAAATTCACGTGTCCTGAGGGATGCAAGTTAATACTACAGTACAGTACTGTAATGTTAATATAATAATAATAGTACGGTAATTATTATTATTATTATTATTGTAAAAATTTATAAAAATTATGATTAGTGCTGTGCTAGTAGTAATTGCACTAGTAGTAAGTAATGTAAGTAGTAATAGTAATGGAGTTTCCTATCTGCAGAATGGTGACATCCTAGTGACGATGAGCACAGATGTGGGCTGGACCCCCTACTTTCCTCTCCTGGTGGGCATAGTCACAGAAATTGGTGGACTCATCTCCCATGGTAACCCTTCTGGCCTGTTAGCTTAATCTCTGAATTTTTCTATTTTTTCATTTATTTTGGTCATCAGTTTTATCTGTACAGGTATATAAAAAAATATGTGGTGAAAGTTACCAGCTGGGAATGCATCCCCCCCTCTTTACATAAGTACTAATAGGGGAAAATTTACCCGATACACGGGTGTATTTTCAAATTCGTTATTCACAATGACTTTCTGGAATGCATCCCTTGCGATAACTGGGGTATTCCTGTACAGTATATTATTTCTGTTCATGACTACAATTTTATGACAGGAGCTGTGGTGGCCAGGGAGTATGGTCTTCCCTGTGTGGTGGGGGCTGCTGAAGCTACAACCATTTTGCAGTCAGGTAAGGATAACACCCTTCTATTATTTGCCTCTGTAATGTAAAAATTATTATGTCTTCTGTGAACCTGTATTTAAAATGTAATTTTATAAAATTGGTGATACCATGGTGTTGGATGTGCAATTATTGTTTAATCTTTTATCTCACTTTTTTTTTTCAAAGTTCCTTTTTTCATTTGTTGTGAGGTGGCCAAAATCAAGAACACAGACACATTTATATTTTCTCTTCATTTGCTGTTATTCAGTCTTTCTTACTGCAATAATAGATATGTTCTGCCTTGCTACTTCCCTTCTAAAACAAGGTCCCCAAGTATCTGTTTGATTTACTCCCTCTCACATCATAAAACCCAGCATCACCCATTGCAATTGCTATTACACTACTATTATTATTATTATGAATACTGTATACAGATTTATCTTTCTGTAAATACACACAGGTGAGAACATCATATTGAATGCTACTCAAGGTACCATCACCCGCCTTGCCACTCCACAACCACCCACCACCAACCAAGACAACAACTGTTCCCAAGAACAACAATAATTAGTCTACTACCAATGACCACAATTTCACCATTGGCATCAAGAGCAGCAGCTGTGGAAGAGTCATAACCACCAAACAAATGAGAGACCTTACCTTGGTCACAATTCTCAGCTGTGATTCCTAACTGACTGATGGACTGAGAGAAATTTTCTCCAGTCTGTAGCCTGCTCTTGCTGTGGACTCCTCACTGTACCATAGTACACCGGAATTTTCATACATAATGAAGTTCAGGGATTCAGAGTTGTCAGGGCATTGAGTTTTAGGTCTAAAGAGACAATATGAATTGTACCAACTCTGAAACCTTGAACATGACCCCTTAAACTTAGATACTGCTGCAACAAGATGTGTTATGCTGTGCCTTGTCAGAAGTTATTGCTAGTCTTTCAAAAATGGCCACAGGACTCAGATTCTTAGATGTTTGTACAATGAATGTTCATTGTAACTGAAGATCTAGAATGGCACCTTACTGATTTACTTAAACCAAAGACAAAATGTATGTCATCAAGTTGCAACTACAAAATTACCTCAACTACATATATTTACTTATCACCAGACAAATTTATGTTACAGAATCATTTGGAAAAGGTTCTTTACCTTAATTTAGTTTTTTACCAGTGCTAAGTGAATGTGTATACCGTAGGTAAGGTAAGAGTCCCTGTATGATTTTAATCATGTTTGATAGTCAGCCACACCTCACTAGTCAGAATAAGAGTCACAGATTTTTGTCTCAAAGAGGAGGAACCTGAGATAAGAACACCAAAGTTTTCTAGATGCGTTAGACTATGAATATTCCTTTCCCCATACAAACTTTTCTAACATATCAAAGGAAAGAAGGCTAGACATACTAATGCTATTTTATGGTTTATTCCTAACAATCTCTTGGGTCTACTATGCTGGACAGTGCTTCCCGTGCACTTTCTAAAAGGAATAAAAATGTTTTCATATGTTGTCAATCTTGGTAATTGAATTCAGCAACTGAAGTGAAAGGTTGTTCAGATTCTGATTATTTTCCCATCCTAACATCTTGCCAAAAACCTTTACTTTCATTTACTATACTGTACTTAATTTACTTTATTCTCTTCACCACTTGTCAGCTTACGAGCCATTTGGGTGGTTTGTCAATTCACTGTTAGCAAGTATTGGGCATGTACTTGCTCTTGAATGTACCTGAGCACATTCTAGCATTTGCCAAGTCTGGACTTGAAGCTGCTCACACTTCGTGCTTACTTTTATCCTCTTCACCGCTAATCGGCTCGTTAACTGTTTGGGCGATCGGTCACGTCTCTGATTACTTTTTTCTTTTTTTTATCCTCTTCACCAAATGATCGGCTAGTTAGCCACTTGGGCGATCAGTCACGTCTCTGTTACGCACTGTTGGCAAGTACTGGGCATGCACCGGCTCCTGAATGTACCTGAACCTGCTCCAGTGTTGGTCAAGTCTGGTCTTAAAAGAGCTCACACTCGGTACTGTCACAACACTCTCTAGTAGATTGCTCCAAGAGTTCACAACTCTCACTCCGAAAAAGTTTGCCCTCACAGTTCTCTGGACTTGCGGCTTCTTCAATCTTGAGCTGTGACCCCTTGTGGGGCGAGCGTCCGCCAGCTCCAATTAAGTACACTCGACTGAGTAGTGCCCCTTGAGATGCTTATACACCTCAATTAGGTCTCCTCTTCCTCATCTGTAGTATAAGCTAGGCAAGTTCAGGTGCTCCAATCTCTCAGGGTAGTTGAGGTGCCGAAGTGCAGGCACCAGTCTGGTGGCCCTCCTTTGAACATTTTCAACCAACTGACAGTTCCTAGCATATCCCAAGAACCAGATGGGGTGACAGTACTCCAGATGGGGAAGCACTTCACTCTTGAAGATCGTTACGAGGGACGGACCGTCTAGATATCTGAACGACCTTCTTATAAGACCTAATAATTTATTTGCCTCATTTACCTTCTTCTCGCAATGGCCCGAGAACTTCAGCTCATTGTCAATATACATACCTAGGTCCTTCTCACACACAGTCTCAAATAGTGCAGTTTCTTCATCCCGTTGGGACATATGATACGCCTCCTTACCGTTGGTATGCCCCAGGTGCATCCTCTTACACTTCGTGACATTAAATCTCAGCAGCCATTTCTTCAACCATTCTTGGAGCTCAGAAGATGCTTCTGGAGCTCTCCACAGTCCGCTTGGTTCTTGATTTCCCGAAATAACTTGGCATCATCAGCAAACATTTGTATGGAGGAGTGTACAACGTCAGGCATATCATTTACGAAACAAACAAACAACAGCGGGCCCAATACACTGCCCTGTGGTACCCCGCTTGTGACAGGTACGGATGATGATTTCGTGCCTTTAATCACCACACACTGCTTGCGGTCATGTAGAAAGTCTTTTATCCATGCTAGGGCATTTCCCCAAATTCCATACCCTTCCAGTTTGATTTTCAGCCTTTCGTGGGGTACACTGTCGAAAGCCTTGGCAAAATCTAGGTATATATTGTCGATATTACCACCCTGTTCCAGAATATGGGTCCAAATATCCAATACCTTGAGCAATTGCGTTAAACCGTGTTGGCAATCCCTTACAAGGTTCTTTCGTAGTCTATGTTCCATCGCGGCATCTCTGATAATACTCTCAAGTACTTTACATATTCTGCTGGTCAGGCTCACCAGTCTATAGTTGTTATTGGAATGACAATCGCCCTTCTTGAAGATAGGACTCACATAAGCCACTTTTCATTCACTGGGGACCTTTTGTTTATCCAGGCATTTACAAAACAGGATCTTCAGGGGCTTGGCAAGCTTGTTGCACAACTCTCTTAGCACTCTAGGATGCACCATGTCAGGGCCGGGACTCTTATGGACCTTTATCTTTGACAGTTTATTTCTAATACCCTCTTCTGTGAACACAATGTGAGTCAGTGCTGTGTAGAACCATCTGACCTCAAACGCTGGAAGGTTAATCGCATCTTCTCTTGTGAACAATGAGGAAAAGAAGCTGTTCAATGCCTCGGCTTTATCCTGGTCAGAATCTGCGTGACTACCATCTTCAAGCCTCAGGTCTGATACTCCTACTCGCATTTTTAATTTCGACTTTGCAACCAGCCTCGGGAACTCATTTTCAGCCCTTCTACACTCTATCTTTGCTTGGTTTCTGGCTCTTGCATACATACTCCTGTCCTGTTCATCATTTGACCCAACCTATGTCTTGAATTTCTGGGTTTTCTTCTTAACTTTGTCGACTGCCGCATGGTTCATGTGTAGGGATCCCCTCGTATTCCTAGAGGCACTGGGTTTGGTCTTGGGTATATATTTATCGATCAAATGGGTCACTTTACTAGTTATGATATTCAGCGTAGTGTCTGAGTTCTTGTGCCTTAATGAATCAGGCCAGTGGATACCCCTCATCTCTTCCCTCATCCCGTTGTAATTCCCCTTGTAATATTTGCACCTTGGCCTGGTCTTATCTTGAACTAGGTAACAGTTAAATCTGAATGACAACACTATATGGTGACTGGTCCCAACTGGGGCAAGGTGTTCCAGTTTGGCCACCATACTCTCCTCGTTTGTTATGATGAGGTCTAGTGGCTTGGGTGTTTGCTCCCCTCTGTAATGTGTCGGGTCTCTAACATGTTGGAACAGAAAATTATCTCTCAGAGTTTCTACAAAAAGAGTAGCAGGGTTATTCAAGTCATTTGGGGTGAACTCGTTTCTCCAGTCGATGTCGCCATAGCTAAAGTCCCCCATGATAAGGAGGTAGCCATGGTTGATCATCGCCGCATTGTCTATTAAGGCTCTTAAGTTTCTTTGATTTAGTGGGCCACAGATTGGGGATCTGTAGATACACCCGACAATAAGTAAGTCCCTTCCGTTTAGTTTAGTTTTACACCACTTGGACTCTTCAAAGACATCCTCTCCCTGTACCCTCAACTGGCTGGCTCTAAGGTCTTGCATAGCATAGATAACCACACCCCTCTTGCAAGTTTCTTGACAAAGGTTCGTAAATGAGTCATATCCAGCAATACTGAACTCACATTCCTCTGGGTCGATTCTCATGTTCTTGTACTACAGTTCTATTACTACTACAATATCTGGTTGGTGTACCTTCAGTAGTGTTTCAAACTCCTCTCTCTTATCAAGAAACGTGTCAGTATTAGTGTACATGACATTCAAGTCAGAATTAGTTCTCGGTAACGTCTTTGTTCTTAGTAGTAACCCCCCCCTCATTCTCAGAAGCTGCAGCATTTGCTGAGTACACTGTACTTTACAGGGTGTGGTTAGAAATGTCATTGTTTACAAGGCGCTCGCCTCCTCCCGGCTGATAGGCGGAGCTGGTGCCACCTCCCGGGTGGGGGGTAGAGCGGGTGAAGGGTGCGCTGCTGTTCCCTGGCCCTGTGATAGTATTCTCAGGTAGGTTGCTTCAGGATTTACAACTCCTTTTCCAAAGAAAAGCTCTTGACATTATTCAGTACAGTACTGATAACTTCTTTACCATGATCCTGTGACTTCAAATAGGGTGGCCATCTCTAAGGATATCCGGAGTTAAGAGATGGCCATCTGACTATATTATAGTCAGTATCCTCACATCTTCAGTTTTGAGAAATATTCTTTATGTGAACCTTTGTGTGATTTATCAAAATCTATGAACAAAAATGCACTCTCATGCTGGATTGTCCTCATTTTAAATATTTAATTTTTAATCACCCTACACAGGTATACAGTACCACTATGTGAGACTGAACAAGAACAAATATTACAATCAATTTTTTTTGTTGATCCTGAAAGAGTGTTTATGAAATGTTTTAATATTCTCCTTATGAACATGTTAATATATTGATGACCTATCAATGTGTTTATAATATATGTTTAATCCTTTCTACCCCAGCTGTTAATCTGGGATTCACCTACAGTACATTTTTATAGTCAGTCCACCTGTGTGAACATTAGTTCCAGCAGAGGAGCAGTACACCTTGACTGTTGGTGGTACTGTACTTGGGTCAGTTTTATGTGAAAGACTTTTTTAATGTTGGTAATGATGTTTGGGTTTGTTAGTGTATCATCACGTTTAGTAACACGGTTACTGTTTTAAGAAATAAAAAAATCTTAGTTTATTGTCATTTTTTCCATCCAAGGCTTCTTTTGCTAATTACTATACAGTACTGTATATGTACACAAGAAGTTCACATAGTCCTGTTATGGTTTTAAATTTTATTGTAACAAAATATAACTTCTTAGCAAGGGGCTCTGCCCCCTAGACCCCCCGCCATTAAATGGAAAGTACGTATTTTGATATGTGGTATCAAAGAAAGCAACTTTGTTAAAGTCTCATGGTGTAATTTTACTTTTTTTGTGGACATGAGAGTACACTGTGACCAAGTGGTCGGTTGTAAATAATCTGGGCAGACGAGAACATGTGCTGACTCAGCAGATTTTTCAGAGTATTTTTGGTCAATAATTGATTTATAATCATAGATAGAGAAAAACTAAAAAAGAAGTACTTCGAACAAAATATAAGTTGTTACCTATTTTATAATACTGTACTAGTTAATATTGACAAGATACCCACCGACGTATTCTTTGTGTAGATGTTTCATTTCTTGCTATGTATATTTTCATAGGTGAGTTCTGAAATCATCATTTCTTGGGTAAATGCTTCGTTTAGTAGACAATTAGGTGCCCACATGTACACTACACCACACCCTGAATGTAAACACCCAATCATATTGACACATTTCAAAACACTCCGCGCTCCAATCGACGCCTACGCTTAGTATACGTTTATGAGCTGCTCACTCTGGGTGGTTGCTCTCACTTCCACAAAAAATGTAAAATTACACCATATCATCGACAGTTTTTCTGTTTAATATGCCAGGTGGCGGAGCCCGACGTCGAGGAAGTTAGGTTAGGTTAGGTTGGTGTGGTCTTGTAACAACACTTAATTTACAGTAAAGCTGCAGTTTTAAAATAATTTTCTATGAAAAATCGGCGGTGGGTATCTCGTTAATAATTTAAAAAAAATCATAGTTGATATTATTTTTCGTAAAGGTTTATGAAAGTGCAAACACCAGAAGTTGTTTGTTGTGTTTCTTTATTTTTTTATCTTGTTATTTGGATGATTTTAAGTATATTAAAAGAAACGATAAGTTTCTATTATAATCTAAAGTGATCACTCAGCAGTTGTAGGGGAGAGTATTCACTACAGTATCAACATCATTTTAGGGTAAGTTGTTTAACACAAGTTAACACGATTATGCATATAACCTAATAAAACCTGACCTATTAAACCCAACCTATTGGGTTTGTTAGGTCAGGTTCTATGCATTGTTTACATTTTTTTTAACATGCTAATATATATAGTGTACAAAATTTTTAAACAAAATTGCACATTTCATTCTGGTGTTAGCGCTTTCGTAAACCTTTACCTTATTTGTTTTCTTACGATAACGATAAGAACATCTGTGGATAAAAATAAACAAACTCCATCATCATCACCTGGTGTCAGCCATCTCCTGCACAGACAACAGGGTACCAGTCTTCATGTCCAGCTGATACTAGAAAATTATTTGTGATTTTTTTAACTATAAATAAAATCAATATAACTTTTTAATGAAAATTTTAAAACCTTTCAAAAGTAAGTAATTCTAAATAATATATTGTACAAATTATCATAAGAGAACCATTGTAGAGGTTTTAAACGTCTGTGGGGGCCATATTTAAACCCTTAGTTCATCTCTGGGGTTTAACTTGAGGCTTTAAACCATCAGTTCATCACAGTTGCTTATTGAGACTTGTGGATGACACTATGATGTTTTAAATTTATCAGTTATATAAATTGGACGATAATATAAAACTGCAGTGGTGTAATAAGGTGAAGAAACTCAAGTGTACGTAGAGAACTGATGAGAGGACGTGGCTGAGGTACAGTATATTATTATTATTTGTAAAGTATTTGGGTTTTGGTGTCATTTTCATTATTGCTGATCACGGAAATTGATATATCCCGTGGAAAGGTTTTGTCAGTTTACATTGGTGATAACTATAAGTGGTTTTGGTAGCTTTACGTCAGATTCTAGTGAAGGAATAATTATTCTTTTTTATGTAGAATAAAACTTTTCATCTGAGTCTGACCACAGTCCACCAGTCCAAACGTTTTTGGGCTGTTTTTACCAATCCGGTTAATATTATTTTTATCCTAATAGGTATTTCAGATTTTGGTAAAGATTGAGTTTTTTGACAGTGAAATATATTTTTCCGGTGTATTTTTGTGTGCTTTGTTTAAATGACCTTTATTTTGATAAATTTGCATTTTAAGCTAATAAGGTTCTCGTGATGTGATTTATTGTATTTTCATATTGAAAACCTCACTTAACCTAACCCAACCCAACCTAACATAACATAACATAACATAACATAACCTAGAATGCTAGAATGAATACCTTAATTAGCAGTGGAGGGTCCAGCAACTGGCTGGAGAAGCTAGAGCCAAAAGCCTTTCGGTTGAAGATGCAACAATGCCAATGTTGTTAGTGGACCGAGTGGGTTGGTTGTAAACAGACGACACACTGACTCGCAGAGTAATTATGGTAAATAATTCAATGTTGGGTAATTATTGACGACTGAGCCGTGGCCGACTTTTCATAGAACACGATTTTAGAAATGCCACAAATTCAATATTTTTTTATGGTGGACTCTGTTGTAGTTTGTGCAACTTTGTTAAAAAGTGCTTATTTTAAATTAAACCTAATCGAACCTTAGTGGGTATGAAAAACAGACCTCACCAATGTAACAAACTTGCCTACCTAACCTTACCTTCAAACTCTATTCGAAATCACCTGGAGAAGCACCGATTGATCAATGATTCCCAGCATGGCTTCACAAGGGGACGTTCTTGCCTAACTAATCTATTAACATTCTTTTCATCAGTTTTCGAATCGGTGGACGAGGGGCACAATTATGATGTGGTATATCTCGACTTTAGCAAAGCCTTCGACAGAGTCCCCCACGAAAGACTAATTAGAAAGGTAGAAGCTCATGGCATCAAAGGTGACATCCTTAAATGGATTAGGGCGTGGTTACAGGACAGGAAACAGCGAGTGAGCATTAACGGCACTAAGTCCCATTGGAGCAACGTCACAAGTGGAGTTCCCCAAGGCTCAGTACTTGGACCATTATTATTTATTATATACATAAGCGACATAGATATCGGCATAGACAGCAACATAAGTAAATTTGCTGATGACACTAAAATAGGACGTGTTATTAAATCTGACGAGGACTCACAAAACTACAGGAAGATCTAAACAAATTTTTGAATGGTCTGAAAAATGGCAGATGAAATTCAACGTGGACAAATGTAAAGTACTCAGTATAGGAGATGTAAACAGGGAAACCAGATATCAGATGAACAACGATGCCATAGAGAAATCCGACTGCGAGAGAGATTTAGGAGTAATGATAAGTAGGAACCTTAAGCCAAGTAAACAATGTGTTTTTGCTCGTAACAAGGCTAATAAAGTACTTGGGTTCATACAAAGGAGTGTTAGTTACAAGACTAGCGAGGTCATCCTAAAACTGTATCTTGCTCTTGTGAGACCACACCTGGATTACGCAGTTCAGTTCTGGTCACCGTATTACAGAATGGATATAGAATCCTTGGAAAGAATTCAGAGGAGAATGACAAGACTAATCCCGGGCATTAGGAACCTTGAGTATAGAGACAGGTTAAAGCATCTTAATTTGCACTCCCTCGAGAGACGTAGAGCGAGGGGCGACCTGATAGAGGTGTATAAGTGGAAGACAGGGCTAAACAAAGGGGACATTACAAAGGTACTCAAATTATCCAACCAGGAGCGAACTCGTAACAATGGTTTTAAATTAGACAAATTTAGATTTAGGCGTGAAATAGGTAAACACTGGTTTGGAAACAGAGTAGTGGATGAATGGAACAAGTTACCAAATATCATCATTAACTCGAATACGCTGAATTGCTTCAAACATAGGTTGGATGCTCATATGAGCAATAGGGGTTGGTTGTAGGACTGCCCAGTATGGGCCAATAGGCCGCTGCAGTTTCCTCCATTCTTATGTTCTTATGTTCTTATGTTACCTAGGTAGTAGGCAGCTACCAAACAGGGAGGTACTACCGCTTGGGAAGATATTGGAAGCGTAATGTGTTGTCTAATGGTAGACCCTGCTGCCATATGGCATTGTGGGGTTAGTGATGTTTGGTTCACACTCAGAAATGGGATGGAGAAAGGAAACTCACAATGTGCTCTCTGTATACATGTTGTATTGGATGTACAATGCAGCTTGGTGCTGGGAAGTGGCAGCGTGGTTACAAGCGTTGAGTAGAGAGAGCTGGTTGGTGAGGGTGCTCAGAGGAGGAAAGCTTGTGGGTCGCCATGCTCGCCGGCGGGAGCGAGGGCCGCCAGGCAGCGGCGGAGGAGGAGGTGGTGTTGCTTGCTGGTTGGTGTAGGTAGAAGAAGAGAGAGATAGGTCACCACGAGGTCAGGTCTTATATAGCGGAGGTAGGCGTGGCTTAATAGTTAACCTCCGTGATGTATGGCGGCGCTGGTTGACCTAGACCACGAGGCATACACTGGGGAATTCGCGGGGTTGGCTACTCAGCGACAAACAGCGTTTGTAGGGGAGAAATTCACTACAGTACTCCCCCCTTCCCTCCAGGCGGTGTAGGAGACTTGTTGTCTGCAGGGTTGCATGGCACATGTGAGGCAGAACGGGCGGTGCATGCCACATGTGAGCCATAACGGCGAGGGCGTGGATGAGCCGGCCGCTAGAGGAAACAACTGTCTAGATACACAATATCTGTGGGAGTAGAGAGGGAGAAAAAGGGTATGTGGAGGCGATGAATGTTGTGCTTCCCTCACAGCAGGTACAGAGTCGTCAGATGCGCCTGCTGGGGTGTGTGGGCCTGGGTCAGGAGCAGGGGCTGCGTCAGCAGAAGCGGATGAGGGCTCGTGACAGCAGCTGGGTCCACGACAGCAGCAAGGTGCAGGACAGTAGCAGGGGGGGTACCTGAGGGAGAAAAGAGGAGTGTGTGGGTTTGCACTCAGGCGCATGGGCCGCGTCGGGAGCAGGGGCTGCATCAGGAGGAGCGGCAGGGGGTACTGCTGGGCCGGGGGCGGCGTCTGAGGCAGGACGGGTGTGTTGGGGTCGGTAGGACGTGGTGCTTGGGGCAGGAAGAGGAGCGGCTGTCTGCTTAGAGTAGCAGAGCTGCTCTAGGGTGTCTAACCTGCGGTGTAGAGACAGTAGCTGTAGAGCCGATGAGAGCTGCCTTTGTGTGGATAAGCCAGTCTTCCATGTTGCTTGAAGACTGGGAGAGTGATCGGTTTCTCCTCCATCCTCTGTGAGTGCGAATCTCCAGGGGTCACTATTGGTGGGGTACGTTATGTTTGGTGTTCACACTCGGGATGGAGAAAGGAAACTCACAATGTGCTTTCTGTATACATATTGTATTGGATGTACAGTGCAGCTTGGTGCTGGGAAGGTAGCATGGTTACAAGCGTGATGTAGAGAGAGCTGGTTGGTGAGGGTGCTCAGAGGAGGACCAGCTTGTGGGTCGCCAAGCTCGCTGGCGGGAGCAAGGGCCGCCAGGCAGCGGCGGAGGAGGTGGTGTTGCTTGCTGCAGCTGTAGCTAGGAGAGAGAGATAGGTCACCACGAGGTCAGGTCTTATATAGCGGAGGTAGGCGTGTCTTAATAGTAGACCTCCGTGATGTATGGCGGCGCTGGTTGACCTAGACCACGAGGCATACACTGGGGAATTCGCGGGGTTAGCTACTCAGCGACAAATAGCGTTTGTAGGGGAGAAATCCACTACAGCATCACGAAAATTGTGACCAAGTCCCAGGTTGCTGATCTGACTTTGTCACATTTACACAATTGTTTCTCTTACATGACAACACAATATACATATAGCGTTTCTCACTATTGATTTTTCATTCTTGTATTTCTTTGTATTTATTATTATTATTATCACAGTGTTGTTATTATTATTACCATTAATATTTTATTTTTTATTTTAATTTTTACTATAAATTATATTTACTATGAATTATTATTATTATTAAATTTTTGCCCCCTGGGCCCCGATGTGGGTCAGTGACCTGTGCCCGGGTGGGCTAATCCCCGTTAAAAAAACTAACTTCCTTACTGGGGGGCTCTGCCCCAGGACCCCCTGGTATATTAAATAGTAAGAAATTACTATGATATGGAGTAATGGTGTAATTTTACGTTGTTTGTGGGTGTGAGAGCAGCCGCCTTCATCGACTTTGGTCCAGCCTGGGCGGCAGAGTGTTTTGAAATACGTCATATACAACACATTTTACGCACAAACCCAGTTCAATTTCACAGTATTGCTATGAAAAGTACTTTCTTTGAAAGATGTTTATAAATAAAAGTACAATACTGGATTTAATCTTGGCATTTTCAAGCCAAGTTCCCTTATAAGCACTAGAACTGTAGCACAAGACCGGCAACAACCTTTACACACCATGCTGAAAATGAAACTGGCGTTAAAATGAGAGGCTAGTGCAGCAAACATGTCAGGCATATTACCGCTGGGAAGACAAAAGTAGTTTGTGCCTAGGCACCTAATTGTCTACGAAACGAAGCATTTGCACAAGAAATGATTGTCATATCAGAACTCTCTGATGAAAATAAAGTAAGAAAATGAACAGTAAAACAAATAACTCATCTGTGGGACAGTCATCAATACAGTATTAACCGAATGTTGAAAAGTAATTTAACCAATATAAAAAGTCAAAATAGCAAAATATTAACCTTTTCTGCAGAAACTGGCGGGATGTTAAAATTTTTTTTAACCATTCCTCCAGGATTTTGTACTGTACAGTACTGTACTGTATATGGCACTGAATTTGGAATATATTCGTTTCTCCTTTTATTTTTCTGAGGTAGAGATGAATCATTGCCCTGAATGACAGTGGTTCAGTTGCATGTCAGGAGTTTGGATTTTAATACAGTATTGTAGCATTACATGTCCCTAACTGGCTTTTCTGTTTGGTCACCATTAAGTTTAGGCCCTATTAAGACTGGGGTTCATTTGACCATTCACTCTTGTTTCCCTGTCAACAGGTTTGACTTTGTAAGATGAATACCCCAGAGAAGGAACCTTCATCACAGGTGCCACCCCTCCACTGTTCCCTCACTGTAGAAAATTTAACATCATTGGGAACTGTCCACAAGTCTGTAACATACAAAGGAATAAAACTGATTTTGGGACGAAATGAATTCAGGTAAAGTAAAATTTTTGTTGCACAGTACTGTAGCACCAGTTTGTGAGGTAAACTTGCTTATGGATGTGATCTTGTTTTAAACATTCTTTCTGTTATCTTTACTCCTGTCTCACTTACATGTGAGGTGTATTAAGAGGTACAGAAGCTTCAAAGAAAGGGAATACTGTACAGTACTATTTAGTGTGGGAGTTTGTGTAAAACAAGTACAGTGTATAGAAAATGACTAGTTTTACAGTACAGTACATACAGTACTGTACGTACCCAGGTTTTTGTAAGTTCTCATGTGATTTCTTGTTTGCTAACCAGTGTTTGGCTGAAACTACCCACAATCCACATTTGTTATATTAAATAATATTGTAAAAATTTTATTCAGCAGATATACTGATTTTTTCTCAGTATCCTTACTTTCATAATTTTAACTACCTTAGCCATAATTATGCCAATTTGTCTGACCTTTGTATGCTCTCCATCTTTGTCTTTCCCCCTTCACTTTATTTGTACTGCATCACAATCTTGACAAGCTTCACTTTCTGGGGTATAAGTGACCTAACTCACTCACCTCATTTTCTAACCTTTCTCATATTTTTCTGGTGATAAAAGGCTTTGGGTTTGTAAATATTTTGTCAATTCTTTGATAGAGTAAATATGACTTGAAATAGAAAGTGATTATTAAGACACTTTTTGGTCCACAATATAATCCATACAATGTAAACAAGTTTCAAATAAAAAAAATATATATTAGAAGAACTGTACAATGATAATGGTAGATTAAAGTAAAGTAAATAAAGTTCAAGCTACAGTACCATTTTGGAAAGCAAGTTGAAGCAGCTTTAAACAAAATGATGTCTTGTAGGAGTGATCAGATTCCAGAAGAAATTTTAAAACAAATAGCAGGAATGGGATTTCAGGTTTGACTAAAATATTTACACTAGTTCTGTTTCGTACAAGGGTGACCTTATCCATAAGTTCATGCTATTTCTGAAAAATAAGGAGCCTCAGTGGGCATCCAGAGAGTTAGGGGTAGGTAGACATGGGAGGTGAGGTTGTTAGAAATGTCCCCAGAGATAAGAACCTGATGAGAGGATTTAAGAGACCGTCTAGCATGAAGAGCTGCCATCAGGTAGAAAATGGCTGTAGAGTGGTGGTGGTGATGAGTGTAATAAACCATGTTTTATTAATAAGATTTTCAATAGAATCAAGCTAGAATAGGCTGTGTGTAGCTAACTTGTTTTCCATGTGTACTAACCATTACAAATATGTTGTCAGCCATATCTGTACCAGGATACAGTTCTTTCATTTATCCTATGGAACCCGTCTATCTCCAGGGTTTCCATGTGGAGAAAGGCCATCACTAATTATTATTTTGTTGCCCAGTTATTTGGCTTGGCTTGCTCAAGATTAATGGAATGTGCCTGTTACAGTACAGTACTGAAATCTGTGTGTTTCTTCCCACCCAGGGACATAATTGTGCGCATGGATGGTGCCAAGCATTCCCTGCAGTTCCCAGTACGAGACTTTCAGCTCCACAAACGTTTCATGAAGGAGGGCAAGGCCACCATCAGCCAAAAGAATGTCAATTTAAATCTCATGATTGCTAATGCTCCACCAAATCAGCTTGCTATATTCATGAAAACCCTTGCCAGCAAGCATACTTTGTTGGGTCCCAAGCAAGGAGTAATTAATGCTAGGCAGCGCCTCCTCTCCACAGTCCCTAAGAGCTTTGAAGAAATCAGTCCACTCACACTTAAGGTAAAAAAAAAGTAGAGAAATGATCTTATATTTTGTATAACATTTATTGTCTTTTAACTTTCTAATAAGTGATGATAATCAACCTTTGTAAATGAAAGTGTAAGAGCATGGATATGTTATTATCTTGTACCTCTGCAGGAGTATGAGACTGTGAGGAGCAACAATGGCCGGATGCCCCTGAAGGAAAGGAATGGTAATGTTCCAGGTGCATCACCTGTCTCCAGTAAGCGAAAAATGGATAAAGAGGTACAGCTACCAAAAGTACTTTTATCTTTGAATTTGATTGATGTTCTTGTTAACTACAGTAAAATTTGTCTCCAAAACTTTATAAGATATTTCACACATTCTCATCATATACCATATACAGTACATAATACACAGTTTTTATGCATAGGCATATTGATTGGCATCTGTCTATCGACCCATCTGTACATAATCTTCCATCTTATAAGTAGAAAATAACCAGTTTTAGAGTACAGTATTGAAATTAGTACATGGCAGTCTTGTATTATGTAATTATATTTTCAGTCACTGATTGATTTCATAGAACATACAAGGTTTACTGGTATGTTTTTAAAAAATGCAATTGTTTTCTTTTTCCTAAAATTCCAGACAATAAAGAAAAACACTTCTAAGTTTATTGTCTAGTTACATTGGGACTGTGAAACATGTAAGGTATAGGAATGAAAGCCAATTTATTTTTAGTTGTACAAGTAGGTGGGTATTCTTTGATTACCTCAGGGAGTAGTGACCCTACTCTGCCAGCTGAGAAGACACTTGGAAGTAGTTCTATATATATGATGTCAAGTTTCCACTCTGTAAAGTGAGTAGGCAATAGGAAGTGCATCCATTTTAAATAATAAAGATAGTCTATATTTTTAAGAAAATGTACTGTATATAAAGGTGATTTAAAACTTACAGCCATAGTGTCATTGACTTTTTAATTATTTAAATATCTTAAATTACTCACATTTTTAAATGGTGAACCCAGATCCTTCATCAGCATGTAAAATAAAGTACAGGTTGTACCTCTCTAGTCCGGCATTCTGTGGTCCGGAAACTCCCGTGGTCCGGAACGATTTTAGTTTGTCCAATAGGTAGATTGGCAGCTTTTTTTTTTTTTCTTATCTGAATTATTATAACAGGAGTATTAAATTTTTGCCCCTCAGGCCCCAATGTGGGTCAGTGACCTATGCCCGGGTGGGCTAATCCCCATAAAAAAACAACAACAACAAAGCCGCGGGAAATTAAGGTTTGTTTACATCTGGCAGTTCGGCTGCTCTCTCTCTCTCTCTGCTTGTCTATACAGAGTACAACATTTAACCCTTCAATATATATGAACAGTAAATAAGTGTTGCTTTCATATTCTTATGTAGAGTAATGACGATATGTTTTCACATGTGCGCACTTACATACGCGCACTCACTTTTTTTTTACCATTAATGGTTAGCTACTTATATTGCTCCATTTATTAACATTAAATACCATTACAGGTACTTCAAACAACCATATTAATTTTTTTACATTAATTTTACTACAGCTACAATCAGGGTCTTATTTTCTTCAGTTTTATATGTAGAACCAATCAGTCACTGGTTTTGTAAGCTTTAACATAAACAATGCCGGCAGCCGTCTCGTCTCATCGTGTGTTTTAATATTCCACGTATTATTAATAAATTGTATTGTTAATTTTGCACACACAAACATTAATTCAATAAAAACAAATTCAGAAACATTAATTAAAATATATATGAACAGTAAATAAGTGTTGCTTTCATATTCTTATGTAAAGTAATGACGATATGTTTTCACGTGTGCGCACTTACATACGCGATCTCTCTTTTTTCTTTACCATTATCGTTAGCTTCTTCTATTGTTCCATTTATTAACATTAAATAACATTACTTAAAAAAACCATATTAATTTTACTACAGCTACAACCAAGGTCTTATTTTCTTCAGTTTTATATGTAGAACCAGTCAGTCACTGGTTTTGTAATCAACGAAAACAATGCTATGTCATTTCCTCGTGTGTTTTAATATTCTACGTATTATTAATGAATTGTATTGCTCATTTTGCACACACAAACATTAATCCAATAAAAAAGACATTCAGTTATAAACAATAATGAATCTTTTGTACATAAGAGAAATGACGCTGTTTAAACGATTATGCACGTCGTCTGCACGTTGGCGGGCCGTTCAAACCCGTCAAAATTCAAGTTTCCGCCGTCAAATTTTTTTTTTTGTGTGTGTGTTCCAATAAAATACGTTGAATTAAAAACTTGCGAAATTTGAGAAGCTACTATACGACATTTAACCTTTCAATATGTCTTCAAAGAGACCATGATGCAGAGAAAGTGGTGCTAGTGCTTCCAAGCATAAGCAAAAGTCACTATCTATCCAGGAAAAGGGTGAATTTCCATGGTCCGGCACCGGTCAGGTCCCGAGGTTGCCGGACTAGAGAGGTACAACCTGTACTAGCACCTTTGTATGAAATTTGAACAAAATCCATGGTATGACCCCAAGTGCTGAAGTGCTAGGTATTAGGTAATCACAGCAGAGACAGTTGCTACACAATGGTGGTGATGATGATTATGATTGTTTTGAAACGCCAAGTTCTAAGTTTGTAGTACGTATCATTCTATTGAGTGTATTAATATACTGTAATTGTTATACAGTACAGTATTGTTTTCCAGCAGGATTTACCTTCATTAAAACGTCAAGCTCCAAGCCTCAGGAATCAACTGGTTCTGACTACTGAACAGAAAAAAGTACTGCAGATAGTTCAGTCAGGTCACAATGTTTTCTTTACTGGTAAGGAAATTGTATTTTCTTAAGAGAGCATGTTTTTTGTTCATGCTAATTGTTTTAATGTACAGTATCTCCAAAAAGTATCTGTCTACACTCTTTGTGAAACATTATGCAACCATGATAGATATTGGGACATACAATTACTTTGATGCAATTCTATAGTTTAACATAAGTAATGCAATATGAATTTATTTAGGTGTAATTAATATGATGTTCAGTAACCAAATGTAGGATTAGTATGCCACAGAGCCACACATACCTACCCTCCCGGGACATCACGAGTTGCATGTAGCATTTTAGAAGTCATTGATTGGACCCATCCTGGCAGATACTATTTTGAGATACTATACAGTAATATTACATTAGACATTTCTGTTGTCAAAGTAATTCAAATAAACATCTATCAACGTGTTTGTATGTATGAAGGTTTTAGTTAGAGAGGCCAATTATTTAATCCAAGAAAATGAAAAAAATAATTCTTTGAGTAGAAAATATTGCAAGTTAACTATTTCTACAAATACTGTACAGTAGTACATGAGTGAGCTGATGTGATAGCTTGCAATATGCAAATTTATTATTTTTTCTTAAACTCTGTCTTGTTAATTTGGTCTTCATGTTAATTCGTATTTGAATTTTGTAACTGTAAATCATATTATACACCCTCTTGGGTTTTACATTCAGTGAACCCTCACTTTACACGGTTAATTGAACCCACGGCGGCCCGCGTAAAGTGAGAAACGCGTAAAGTGAAGAACATAACATATGGGATTAATTGAAATAGAGACCGGGCCGACCCCCAAACTCCACTTTTTCCCGACACAATACATACGTTTTACTAAAAATAACATCTTAACTTTATGATGGTATTCACCCACACATAATATAGAAGGGAACAATCAATAAGAGAATAATATACTGAAGGTTAGGTTAGAAAAAACAAGGTTGGGGTTAACACTTATGTTAGTAGAAGAGATGGGTCGGCGTAGGGGAATGGAGGCTGGTTCCGAGGCAGAGGGCAGGCTACTGGCCCTCAGGTGAGTCTTCATCGGTGTCATCCACAACTTACTAGTGCCTCCCTGACAAATCCCTCAAAGTCATCATCACTGTCTCTGCCTCTGTCACTATCACTGGCTTGGGCTGGCTGTGGTGGGTTGCGGGCGAAGAACTCTGTTATGCTTTGCTGACGGCTGGTGTTTATGTTGTCGTGATAAACCTTGATGTAGGGCTCCATAGTCTGCAACAGCTGGGTAGTGAAGATTTCATACCTGTTTGCGTCAGGGTCGTCGGAAAGGAGGAGCTTGACTTTCTCAATACACTCGATGGCACCCCTTACATTACTATGGGATAAGCTGCGTTCTTCTTGGGATGACGCACCACTTGCCTCTTCACTGACGTCATCATCATCTACCATCTTGTCGGTAGTTACATCAGGATCCCTTATCACTTCCTGGATGTCGTCGTTGGTGGTCTCGGAGAAGCCTGCAGCTGTAACACTCTGCGCAGCTTCTCTGGCAAGGTCCACTGCTACTGCAACAGTCTGAACCTCACCAGTCACAGATTTACTCTGCCTAACACCCGGAATGCCTTGCAACACATGTCTCCATGCGTGACGAACAGTTGCTACAGACAGCTGATCCCATGCCTCCACCAAGAAGTCCACAGCTTTCTTGATGTTGAATGTTCTCCAAAATTGTTTCAAAAGTACTTCTTGCTCTGCCAACTGTTGATCCTCGTCGTTTTCGCTTTTGCTATCGGTGTTGGTGTCACTCAGGTTACGCAACTCTTCCTTGGTGTTGGTGTAGTCGTTCAGGAGATTTAATTTTTTAGCAGAGAATGCAGCTTTTACATTACAGATCAATTCTTGGTCCATGGGCTGTATTATAGACGTAGTGTTGGGAGGAAGGAAGACGACTTTTACGTTGGGGTGACGATCTAACAGTAGGGGCGAGTGTTCTGGTGCGTTGTCAAGCAGCAACAAAATCTTGAATGGCACATTCTGTTGCTCACAGAATTTCTTCACATAGGGAACGAAACAGTCATCAAACCAGGAGAGGGACAGTGTAGAGAACATCCACGTCTTACGTGCGGTCAGCCAGTGGATATTTAGCTTGGTCATGTCCATGCTATTGTAGGCGTGCGGCTTGCGTGCTGTGTGGATCACCGATAACTTGAGCTTACAGGTACCGGAGGCATTGGTGGTAAACAGGACGGTGATGCGCTCCTTCTGCAACTTCCGGCCCCGACACTTGCTGGCATTCTTCACAACGAAGGTCTTGGAAGGTAGCTTTTTCCAAAAAAGACCAGATTCGTCCATGTTAAACACCTGGTCGTCGGTGTACTGTCCTTCCTCCATAATCTCACGTAAAAGCGGAGGAAATTCCCTCGCCACAACACGGTCAGCACTAGCTTCTTCACCACCAATGTTGATATTGGTGATCTTGTTCCTCTTCTTAAACCTCTGTAACCACCCAGAGGAAGCATTAAAGGGTTTGGGCTTAATTCCCATCTTTCGTGACACTGCAGCATACAGTTCATGTGCGTACTCCTTAACTGAGTGCGTGTCCACCGCCATGTTCCGTCACGCCTGACGCACCAAGTAGCTCACAAGTAATTTTTCTGTCTTGAGAAGCACCTGGTTGTGGAAATACTTGATCATAGAAGCACCTGGTTGTGGAAATACTTGATCATAGAAGCACCTGTAGACTTTGTGATGTTCATGTGCTCCTTTATCTTGGCTGCATCCTTCTTAATTGTCCTGATAGTTGATTCGTTAACACCATGCTGGCGTGCGAGATCAACCTCTCTTGTTCCTTTCTCCGACTCTTGTATGATCTTATATTTTATTTCGCAGCTTAAGGAACGTCGTGTCTTCTTTGGCCTAGGGCTGCTGGGTCCAGGTAATGCAAGGTTTCTTTGTGGTGGTGGTGGTGGTGGTCCGGTGGAAGCCATTCTTATGGAACAATGGATACCGATATACACGGTGTAGCCGGGAGGGGTGTAACTGACGCGGTAGGTCAAGGAGCTTGAACGCTCCCGCGGCGGGGCACCTCATAGTACTACATTAAACCAATCACAGCTAGCAGGGAGGGAGGTAAGGATGCTTTGCCCAATCACAGTCCGCTACGTCATATGACGTCACTGATAACGCAACAAAGACATACACTGCGCAACCTACTCGTGCTGCTTACACAACATGGCGGATGGCGGGAGGTTTGGATCCAAAAATGGCGTGGCGCGAGAGGACCGCCAGCCGCTCTCCGCGTAAAGGGGTACACGCACCGCGGAAAGTGAGCATTCCGTGTTCGGCAGGGTACCGCGTAAACGTGGAAACGCATGAAGTGGGACTGCGTAAAGCGAGGGTTGACTGTAGTTTGTAATCAAAATCTTCCTTATTTAATCTTAAAATCATGATCATGCATATAAGTGATATCTCCGTTAGCTGGAACAAATGGTGCAGAGCACTTTCGGGAATGATTTCCAGGTAACGAGACGACTCTCTAAGCCGGAAAAAATCCCTCAGCCCTGGAATTTTCTGGAAATTTCTGGGTAACGAAAAAATATTCTTGGAAGTTCCATAAATTGCCCATTACATCATCTCTCGAACCTGGAAAAATAGCCCCCATCCCTGGAATTTTCTGGAAAATGTGCCTCTCGGAAAATTTTTCCTAAAGCCGGAATCTTCTGGACAATTCTGGCTTTGGGAACGATTTTCCGAGAAAATTTCAATTCCGGGTTAGAGGGATTCCGATTAACGGAGATATTACTGTATTGTCTCTATTCCAGTTACTACAGTACAGTACCACTCAAGACATATCATTCATTTTCAACAGTCAAAGTACTGATAGATTTTCTCAACTTCTGTTTTACTGCATAGTTCTGTACAGATATTCCCTTTCTTTCATTAGGTAGTGCAGGAACTGGCAAGAGCCTCCTCCTGAAACTCATTGTTGGTGCACTGTCTCCTGATGTTACCTTTGTGACAGCCAGCACTGGCGTGGCTGCTTGTCAGATTGGTGGCACCACCCTTCATGCATTTGCTGGTAAGTTGGTATAAGTTGATATTATTTGAAGAACTAATTAACCTGCCGGTGTCCCCAGAGTGATTGCTGTATTATAGTATGGTGTAGTTTCAGCACTTCATGAAATAAATAAACTTCCTCTAATCTGGACTTATTGGGGGGAAGCCTGTCTGGATTGGCTGAAATTCTGGGGTAGATGGGGGACTGTACTGTGTTAATATAACAAGGTGGAAACTTCCAGAGGATGGGCGATTTCCGACTCAATCTACCAAAGAACACCATACCTACTGTAATTTTTAGCCTAGACTTAATGCTCTTGAGTTTTTTATATGCCATATGAACATTATTTTAGCTGCTTAGGGTATTAACATCTTTTGAAAAAAAGTAAATTTTCATTGGTCTCTCATCACTCTCAGCAGCTTGGTGCTAGCTCTAGTACATCTGTACTCAGCAAATCACCCAATAACTGGTGTTACAGGGCACTCTCATGCATCTGGCAGCCGTGTGTGCTGTCTCGGTTGTCGCACTCAGCTCTGTTCAAGCCTCGTGCCCCATAAATACCTCTATTTGATGGCTGCCCATGTCATATAGATCTTTTTGTTTATTTATACTCGTATATACAGGGTGATTCAGCAAAGATTACATTAAATTTGAGGATGAAATCCTTGGATAATTCTAAACCACACAGTGTCATGGTAAAATGGCAGATTCTGCATATGCCCACGTGTTCGCGACTGTAAATTGCCATTCCTAGACCGTCTCATCCACAGAATAGGTAACACCTTTAAGTTCAGTATTTATAGGAAACCTACTAATGTGTGTTCATACATTCATTATTATTCTGCCCACCATAATAGTCAAACAGTCAGTATTTTCATCAATGTTTTTACGTGCTTTGAGAATTTGCAGTCCGGAATTCATTGATGAGGAATATGAATATATCTATAATATTGGCTTGAACCTTAAGTACCCTAGATCTTTTATGGACAAATGCCTTAACATTACTAAGAAATCTTTTTATAGAACCGATCCCAAGCCCACCCATGACCATAAGTATCTCTTAGTATTACCATTTCACAAAAATTTCTCTCAAATTCCTTTACAACTAAAAACCTGGGACGTCAATGTGGTATTTAAAAACTCATGCACTGTTAAACAAATGTTATTCAAGAACTCCCCCAACAATGCAGGCAGCTGCATTTACAAGGTTCCTTGCCAGGAATGTAATATGTTTTACTTAGGCCAGACAGGTAAAGATCTTGTAACTAGACTTAAACAACATAAAATTTAGTATTAGGACAGGCCAGGAATCCAATGCTCTGTTTGTACATTTGAGGGATAATAAGCATTGCATTGACTGGGATAATGCCTCCTCAATATTACCTTGTAATTCAATTGACAGTAGGAACATTATAGAATCCAGTCTCATTAAACATACCAAATCCGTCAACATGAATTTGATTAATGGTATGTACAAACTGGATAATTTCGTAATTAAAAAGATTTGTAACCAGGTGAGAAGGTTGGGTCATCTTACCCTCTGACCTGACTACGGACTGCTGCTGTGCTTATGAAGATTAGTAGGGTCACCGCCTAGTGACCGGACCATTGTGGACACTCACTGTCCCCTAGGGACTTGATCTCACTCTCCTATACTGTATATATATATGCGCCTTGTTATGTATTTCTCCTTAGTCTGTGCTCACCTTTGAAGATGTGAATTACACGAAAGCGCTTGGGAGCTTCTTGTTTCCTTGTGGTTATCAGCAAATATATATATATATATATATATATATATATATATATATATATATATATATATATATATATATATATATATTGGATCTTGTTCAGATTTGAAAACACTGGTTGATGATAAAAGGATGTTTTGATAGATATTTTGAAGAAAAATAGAATAAAGGGGATATTAACTTTTTTTTTTAGGAATTGGGAGTGGACATGCTTCCTTAGAACAGTGTGTCCAACTTGCATCAAGGAAGGTAGTTGCTCAACAGTGGAGAAAGTGTAAACACCTTATTGTTGATGAAATCTCCATGGTTGATGGAGTCTTCTTTAAGGTACAGTATGTCATTTATTTAATGAAAAAAAATTGTGGTTATAGAAAGGACTTACATTTCAGGTAGTAAATTTTTCAGAAGTGAAAATGAAAAGCCTCAAATTGGACCAGGGTCTTCTCAAGATGTGTAAGTTTATTCACTGAATGATTAATAAATTAAAGTTTATAATCCAGAGCTGGCTACCAGAAGGGAGAGGGTGAAACCAAGGAGGTGAAAAGATGGGGTAAAGGATGCATTAGTAGTGAGGGTATGGACATCCAGGATCAGGAAGGAGCAGTGTGTGTGCGTGTATGCATTGAGATTAGAGAACATGGTATCAAATAAGTTTTGGGTGAGGATGTGATGCTAGTTTATTTACATGACACATAAACTTTCTAGTATTTGGGACTTTGTTGTGGAAGGACAATACCATAGCAGAACACATCTATTACTGAAGTAAAACTTATTGAATGACTTTAAATGGAGAGAGTATGTGCATCTGTGTGTGTTTGGTCTTAATCCCAGTCACTTAGTTTATACATGAAAAAGGCTTGAAAGAGTGAAAAGATATTATAGTTTTGTACCTAAGTGTTAGTTGATTTAATTTCATTGGAATAACTATTGTAACATTTGATTTTAGAATTTTGACAGGATAGCCAATGCCTGATGTCTATGCTGATGTTACTCGCCCTCCCACACACACAGAAACTTGAGGCTGTAGGGAGAGCCATCCGTGGAAATAACAAGCCATTTGGAGGCATACAACTTATATTGTGTGGAGACTTTTTACAACTACCACCAGTTACAAAGCCTGGAGAAAAACGTGTATTCTGCTTTCAAACCTCTGCTTGGAATCGCTGTATAAATATCAGCATGGAACTGACAGAAGTTCGACGACAGGATGATCAGGAATTCATTAACATTTTACAATCAATACGTCTTGGAAGGTAAGCCACTCTTGTACAGAATTCTATGTATGTACAATAAAGATAACATGTCAAAAAAAAAGAACAGTAACTAAGGGAGAGTATGTGTTGTACTTCATATTGTCCTATCTGCACAATAGCCTAAAGGAGCTTACAAGGGTGGGGGGGAACAGATGGAGTACATAGCTGGAGGGCACAAGCCTTGCATGTCTATAACAACATGGCAGATGTAACATATTGACACTAGAGACTAAAAGTGCATTTTTTTTATTAGTGTTTGCAGGTTTTCTGTGAATGGTATTTAATGAAAAAGTACAGTACTTTTAAGGTTTTTGTGCATTTATGAGGCCTAACAACAATATCACTGAAAAAATAGGTCTGGAATTGACAATTTAATTTCTTCTTTTATCAGATGTACGGAGGACATGGTTGATTGCTTAAAATCAACTGAAAGTAATGAAGTGGAAAAGGATGGAATTAAAGCAACACGACTATGTACACATCGTGAAGATGTTGACCATATCAATCAGGAGCATCTTAATAAATTGACTGGTATTTATTCTTTGTGATTTGCAGTTAAATTACTTTAATTTTTACTAGAGAATCCAGAATTGTATGATGTTTGTGTGTGTGTGAGTACATTCTTGCTTCCATATACAGGAATCTCTTGATTTACACAATAATTACATTCTTGAAAATGGTCGTGTAAATATACAACACAGATGAAACAATGTAAATGGTGGAGATTAGGAGGTTTCATCAAGACAGTACGCACCTAATATTATACCAGTGAAAAGCTACAGTACTGTATATACATGTATCAGGAAATATAAAATACTCTGGGAATTAGCTTGTACCACAACATACTGACAGGAAAATTTTTGTGAGTTTGGTGTTTGATCCATGTTTTCAACTTTGTTCCATTCTCTCCATAACCGGACTTCGAGAATATGAGGTCTTTGATGCACTTCGATCTCTGCACTATCACGAATAGTTCTTAAAGAAGATTCACCAAGTCCAAGGGCACACTTCTTAGCAACATTGGTACCAGGAGAACTTAAAGAACACTTCGGTCGCAAGGTGCAAGGGGCAAAATGTGCAATATACAGTATACTGCATTACAAAATACTGTAGTACTCCATGACTATAGACTTTAATCCACATATTGATGATTGCAAGGCAGGAAGTTGGATACCCACGTCACACATTTCTTGTATGGTGCTGACAACGGACACCACCGGGCTATGATGATGATTGTCGAGTCATATTATTCCAATCATAAGCTCAGGTAAATTAAAAAAGGGTGTTAATGGACCACGCACATTATTCTGAAATTGGCGTAAACCAAACACATAAATCAAGAGGTATTGTAAATATATTTGTCTTGCATGATTATACAGAGCATGATACACCCTTATAAAAAAATTCATCGGGTACACCTATGGAGAGAGAGGGGCGGGAGAAAATGGAACGGTGGAGAAATAAAAGAAAGAAAGGAAGAGAAAAGCTAGATATTTTGAAGATACAGATGACTTAGTGCTGTTTCTGTTTTTACGGTGAACATATTTGGTGTTTGATAGATTGAATTTAATTGTGAAGAGAATAAACACTTGACTTAATTTTTACAGGAAATGCAAAAGTGTTTCAGGCTATTGATAGTGACCCACACCTGTCCAAAAATTTGGACTCTCAGACTCCTGTGGTTACCAAGTTAGTACTCAAAGTTGGTACTCAAGTCATGCTTATGAAAAATTTGGATGTAGGCAAGGGCCTGGTCAATGGTGCTAGAGGAGTGGTCACTGGATTCAAGCAAGGAAATGAAGGTAAAAAAAAATTATTTTTCTAAATCTAATACAGTACAGTACATACAGTATATGCCATGCATGATGCATATTTTTGATGACTCATTTTAACTGGATTTTTCACCCAAGGGGCTGTTGGATATTGAGAGTAAATTGTTAAAGTTTTGCATGGAGGCAGGCTGATATGGTTTAGATATGAGGAGAGAATAGATGAAACCAACTGGGTCTAGAGATGCATTAGTATAAAAGGCAGGGAAGGATAACAAGGGTAGGCCAAGAATGACATGGGGAGAGGTTGTAAGAAATCACATTAGAGTTAGAAACCTGACAAGAGAGGCTGCAAAAGACCATGTATTATGGCAAGCTGCCGTCAGGTAATCACGGCTAACCCATGCAAGAGTGGAAAATGGTTGTAAAATATTGACAATGATGAGGTTTGAAGTCTAATTTTTTTGACATTTTTCACATGAGAAAAATATGAAACAAGCAACTTTTTTTAATTGAAATTAAAAGTTCCTACATAGTGTTTGCCAGTGCCTGGGTGACCTATGACCACACATTAAATATTAGTGCTGAAGTAACCACAAAGATAGAAGTACATAAACGGCTGCCTTCAGTTAATTAGTTTTTATGGTGCAATAAGTGTTCACTACAGTGCCAAATGGCAATGTGCCCAATGAATGGAGAAATTTATTATTCTACAGTGGCATAATGTTTCTTCAGCACTTAAAATATAAGATCCATAATGATAAGATATCTGATCACTCTCTTAGGTAAGAAAGTACAATACTGTACTGTAATTTAATAAAACACAAAAGATGGTAAAGATATAATGTACATGCTGTACTGATATAAATATGTTCTTTTCCTTTATTCATCATATTGTTTAGCCTCCATTAGCAGCTATTATGTACAATATTTCTCAACATCATTCTGTTTACCTATACACACCTGTTAGCCCCCAGAGGAATGTTATTTTATTTGTTCTCATTGCTGTAAAGGATGTTTGAAAAGTAGCTACCTGCTGTTTATTGTTTTGCATATAAAAGGCAGAAAAATTATGGGAATGAGAAGTGGTTTTCAGAATTTATACACAATTTTATAGCATTTAATGGGGCATAGTTCACAACTGACATGCCTGGCGACATGGCAACACTAGCATTTGTAATTGATCCAGTATGAATATGGGAATGGAATTAAGGACATAAGAATTATTTTATAACATTAAATTATGGTTTGGTTCATCTGGAAGAAAACAAATCTGCTTCCAGGGTACCCAATTGTGAGGTTCTTGTGTGGAGTAACTGCAGATGTAAAACATGAGAAATGGACTGTGAGAGGCACTGGAGGGATTTACCTCTCCAGAAGACAACTGCCATTGAAGCTAGCATGGGCCTTTTCCATTCATAAATCACAGGTAAGTTGTTTTGTTCAGCCTGTCACAATGTTAGTGAATTTATTTTAGGCATTGGGTACAGAATTATAGCAAATACAGTATAGTGCCTCACTTAATTTTTTCTGTCTTTCTCGTTTACCATTCTTTGGATTCTACTTTTCCATGATTACAAATGGATGCTATCTCCTTATAATGTTCAATGTGCTGTTATGTATACAGTAAGTACCTGTAAGGGTGGCATATTACAGATTTTTACCAGTTTCATAGTTCAGGTAGTCTATGAAATTTGCTTTTGGTTCATGTCTCATGTTCATACTTTTATAGGTACCATTTCATAATTTCATATGCTCCTCTACAGATAGTCTTTCATGTATCCTCAGGAAGTATCTGGGCAGAGAGAAGACACTGCTGAGAAAATTAATAACAAGGAATTACATAATAATAAAATTTACAGATTTAGCGAATGAAAGATTTGTAGCCACTCTGTAGACTGTATAAATAGAGATGGAATGGGATTTGCTCATTTGAGATAAACCTATCGACAAATAGGAAATGGAAGATTGATAAAAGGAGTTAAGATATTAAAGGTAGGGTGGGAGATGAAGGCTAAGAAGGCTGGGTGTAGAATGTGCTTGAAGTGAGAGATGAACATACAGGAAGCAAAAGTGTGTGAGAATTGGTGGGTGGGAGGGAGTGTGGCAGGAAGGAGGGAGATTGTAGATTTGTAAATTAACTTAAAAAATTTCCCATTAAATTTCACAAAATTATGAATTTGGGTAATTTGCATGCGCTGTGATGGTTCTGCTCAGGTATATTTACCTGAATGGTGATTCATTGTTTTTTAATTCAGTCAGGGATATTTATCATATTTGTTTGGTATGAAACTGTTTAGTATACTGTACTTACATATACTGGATTAATATTTAGTACTGTATGTTGGTTATTCTCTGCATTATGTATAATATACTTCTGGTTACTGCAGGGCATGACTCTAGACTGTGCAGAGATGTCGCTGTCCCGCGTGTTTGAGGCGGGTCAGGCATATGTTGCCCTTTCCCGTGCCAGAAACCTCAAAGGACTGCGTGTATTAGATTTCAACCCAACCTGTGTGCGAGCCCATCCTGATGTTCTCAAGTTTTATGAAGATTTAAGAAAAATTTACGATCTAGAGCAGCAGTCAATTGAATCCTACTTATGATAATTGGTATAATTTTTTATTTTAAATTTATTTTATTAAAAAAAAATTGAAAAAAATTATCTTGTTTAGTACTGTACAGTATATCATTACCTGAAAAGTACTTTTTTGTAATTAAGCAGAGAAATGGCCAAAAATAAAGTGGCCAAACTCGGTGACAAAATAAAATATCCAACAACACAGTAGTTTTATTACAGATGAAAAAATATTAATGAATTTGTTATTTTTCTATATACAGTAAAAGTCAAAAAATCCGGATGCCAGGAATCCGGACCACCCGAGAATCCGGATTTTTCGAAAACTCAAACTTTTTAAATTTAGTGGGCTTTTGTGGGTTATGTGAATGAATGGAGTTGCTTTAAAAAATTAATTTACATAATTCTAATAATAAAAGTAATTGTAAATTATAGGTAGCTAATTTTGTTAGTTTTGTAATTAGCTTGAACTGAAATGTAAAATTTGAGGTTCAAGAAGTTGTGGGTTGGGGAACAGGGCGAGCCCACCTAGCTGGGGGGGGGAGGGGGGGGCTTACAGTGCCCTGTAGTGGATACTCTCCCCTACAACTGACAAGCCTAGCCGAATACCATAGCGACGGAGTTCAGCCCCCGGTGAGGTTCTCTTTGGGGGGGTCGCCACCTGCGATACTCTCCCTTACATCTGACAAGCCTAGCTGCATTCCAATGCAATGGGATTCAGCAAACCGGCGAGTTTCTCATGGGGGATCGTCACTTGCGACTCTTGCATCCGGTTTTACTTCTGGTGGCCGAGTATATAAGTTCTCCGTCTCGCCATTGAAATTCATTCTACCCTACATTCCTGAAGCGGCAAGATCTCCAAACAAACTCCTCACCAACCAGCAACTCTCTAGCACTGCACTGTACATACACTATATAAACAGAAAACGCATTGTGAGTTTCTAATCTACCTCAATCCTGAGTGTGAGATATCTACGTGTACGTACGTATGTGAGCCCATACAAAGAGAATTTGACAACTGGCCATATACAGTAAACTACACGCCTACACCCCCACCCCCCGAATTTTTTTTTAAATCTGACCAATATAATGGGCAATTTGAAGCCAAGTGCACGTGATATTAGAAAATATTCTGAGGTCAATATTAATTTTTACTTTACAAAAAGCCTGAGTACAATACTGTAGGGGTACGAGATATTGGTTCACACTCAGGATGGGATGGAGAAAGGAAACTCACAATGTGCTCTCTGTATACATATTGTATTGGATGTACAATGCAGCTTGTTGCTGGGTAGGTAGCATGGTAATAAGCGTTGAGTAGAGAGAGCTGGGTGGTGAGGGTGTAGTGGATTTCTCCCCTACAAACGCTGTTTGTCGCTGAGTAGCCGACCCCGCGAATTCACGCCAGTGTATGACCTACAGTGGTCTAGGTCAATTCCAGCGCCGCCGATACTATCCACGGAGGTCAACTATTAAGCACAGCTTGATGCCAAGTTACCTCCGCTAACATTTATAGACTGTGCTATCCTAGGACCGATTTCGAGTGGTGACGCCTAACCTCTCGCGTTTCTGGCTACAGCCGCAACAAGCTACACCACCTCCTCCGCTGCTCCCTGGCGGCCCTCGCTCCCGCCGGCGAGCATGGTGACCCACAAGCTGTCCTCCTCTGAGCACCCTCACCAACCAGCTCTCTCTACATCACGCTTGTAACCACGCTGCCTTCCCAGCACCAAGCTGCATTGTACATCCAATACAACATGTATACAGAGAGCACATTGTGAGTTTCCTTTCTCCATCCCATCCTGAGAGAGAACCAAACACCCGTACCCCACAAGGGTGTCCAGAGGAGGGACACGCGGCTTGAGGGACGCCAAGGTCGCTGGCGGGAATGGCAGCCGCCAGGCTGGCGCGGAGGAAGAGGTGTTGCTTGCTGGTGGCACTGTGTAGAAAGAGGGTGGTCACAGCGGTGTCAGGCCTCATAAGGCGGGGGTAGGCGTGGGTAGATAGTTGACCCCCGCTCCGTGGGCGGCGCTGGAGGCGTAGGCTGGGGAATTCGAGAAGGTTCGGTGCTTGTAGGGGAGGAATCCACTACAATACTACATTAAAGATAAACAATGTAAATAATAATTATGGAAATTGAAACATTTTAATAAGCGTACTTTGTATTATAAATTCACTGCTGTTATCACAATTTTGGATGTTTTTTATCGACTTTGAGTGAAAATTTGTGCACTTAATAGTAGGGTGTTACCCAGTGTGACCCTACCAAACATCACAGGTGTCCCAATCCCCGGTTACCTCTTGTACTGATACTGGATTGACCAACCGCCCGAATGGTTAGGAAGTTGATAAGTGGCGAAAATTATATAAAAAATACACAGACTAACCTTTGTAAATTATAGCCAAATGAAAATATGGCTAATATATCAAATGTGATCGTCAGCAGTTCGGTAATTACGGGGTGTTTTTAGACAGTTTTGTAAGTTGATTTCTTTCAGTTCTATTCATTTTCTTGTGTAAATGCTTAGTTTCCTAGATATAGGTGAATTAAGATATAGGTAAGGTTAGGTTAGCACACGATTTCAGCCATTTTTTTATTTTACAGCAACATAATACAGTTTCCCGTAACAAAATAAATGAAAACTTTGTATTTTTTTACCCGTTTTCAATGAAAAACAGCGGAAGATTGTAGTGGATTAATTCACTACAAGATCACGTCCCGAATAAATTTACCCAAACTACTTGCAATTAAAATAAAATGTTTTCGCCTCTTTTAAAAAGCTTTAACTATAACAAGAAGAACATCTGCGGTCTCTTAAATTACCGACACAATTCACTTTTAACATATGGTAAAAAAATGGATATATTTTTCTCTCGCATATTTCAGATGAAGCTTCCATAGGATATTTCCTTCACCTCAACTGTATACTTTACTGCACTGCATTGCATTGCATCACTTGCTCACTGAATTATTTCTCTTCAACTGACCACATACGTTTTTCTCAGTAAACTATCGATGGTGCAACATTGATATACAGTACTCAAATTTCAACAATTTTGCTACGTTATTGATAGATAATTAACATATTAATTTTTGTATTTTTACCTGCACAATACGCTGATTATTAAATATAGACTGGAATCGCTAAGCAATATTTTATATTGGGTGAAAATTTATGTCTTGTTAATTTTTTAATTTTTACGAACAGGCTAATTTCCTCTTAATTTTTTAAATAGTTGTGCATACTTTAGAAAAATAAGAAGTACAAGTATTACTTTTTTTAGGGTGATTCTGAATAAAAGATATTGTGAGCTGTGTCTGTGATGTTTGTTTACCTCGTGTGTTATGAGCCAGTGACAGACAGGCTCTTGTGTTGACTGGCTCACGTCTGCACCTCTCTCCTCATTATCACAGTTTTCATGTTAGTATGGTGCCTATTAAGGGTCAACATCTCGGTAGGTTTTTGCGTGTCTAGTGTGACTTTAGTGTAGTGTTCCAACACACGTTATTGTAATGGAAATTGTTTTCATTCGGAAGGCTCTGTATCATGACCTTGACTACTACACTTCCAAATGTAGCTGGAGATTTTTTTTTTTACTCTGCATCGTTCTCTGTTGCTTGTGGTTGTTTTTTATATATACTTTACAGTTGTGGTATTGTGAAATGTTGTCAGAGCTGTGTAACTCCTTTGGGTAGTATGCAGCAACAAGTTTACAACCAGTGACAGTGTAGTGTACAGCAGCAAAGCTCATAGTGGTAGTGATGTGTTGTGTTGCAGTGTCAATTTTTACTTTACTTTTCTATCACACCTAAATTGCCTACCTGAAAGACTTGCATTGTTGAAAAGGTGCGTCTTACCTCAGGTTAGACCAGATCCACCTCAAGAATTATTTTACTTCAAAGAAAAATAAACCAACTACACCTAACCCAACTTATCTATCTGTACCTGATTTAACTAGAAAATGTTGAAGGTTATTGGTTTAGGAGTTTAATAAGTTAGGATTGCTTGGTTCATGTCATCTTTTATAAAAAAAAATTATTGTCATACTCTGACAATGGAACCGTTATCAACAGTTTGCATTTAGGAGACAAGAAAAGAAGGTAATAGTGGACCAGATGGTTAGCACCTGAAGGACTTTATAGAATCCGTTCATATTTTCCACGGGTTTTGGCTGGAAGATAGTAAGTAATATAAATGATATGGCGACTTTTTCCTTAACTTTATTTGATTTTTGTTTTTGTTTTTCTATCTACGATCATAACCAATTTTTTGTATAAAGGATGAGATTCATATATTTGGATTTGAATCCCATATTATAGTTTTGGATATACATTATTTCCAAATTACACTATACCACTTCAAGAAATATGCTTTCATTGGTACCTGATATCAAAATAAAGTAGTTTTGCTTCATATACCAAGGGCCCAAGAGGCTCTGCCCCCAGGTTAGGAAGTTAGGTTGGTTAGGTCAGGTTCTGTGCATTGTCGTTTCCATTTTCATGTTTAGTGTCATTCAAATAGCACCTCCAGAAATTTAGGTGCAATTCCATTAGCAATTTCTACTAACTGTCTCCTCCACCATTACCAAAAAAAATACAAATTTGTAGGTGAAAAGTTGTCTTACCTCTCAAATACTGTATAATAAAAAATGGGTTGGAATTACAACTTGCCAACTTTTGTTTTTCTTATTCTTCTCCCTGAACATGAATCAACAATGGCACTCCACCTCAGTGCTACCGCCGATATCAGCTGTGTATGTGAGTGCTGAAAGATGAAAGTTTTGTAGACCTTAAAACACTTCTGTTCCTTGCACACGAAAAACTGGCAGTAACATAATTTTTATAGACGATTTAAAATTGTTCCTTACAGCAACTTACAGTGTTTAACGGCAATTTCCTTATTGTTAGTTTGGCAGTTTTGTCCTGGGCAATGTTTCGAACCTGAACAGTGTGTCATCAAAGCCACAAATGTTTGTTGGAAAGCTGCAATTCCTCAAACCTTTTTGGGGATATTTGAGTGGTAAGAAACAGGTGTTTACCTACATTATAGACTTTCTACCTAGTGTGACTCATTCTAACAGGACACTGTTGTAAACTACAGTACCCTGACAACTGCCATTTGTTGATAAGCAGTCTGCTAACTCAGTATCTCTTTGTATGGAAATTATTAAAATTTGTCCATTTCTATTTTTATTACTGGTTAGATAAACCAGAAAGCTATATAAATTGGAAATGAATACCGTAAGTGCTTTAAGGTACTGTACTGAATATTTAGAAAGATTGTGATCACTCCTTGATTCCAAGCTTTTTCATTGCCTACTTTACTACTTCATGTGGTACAGTCTCACCCAAAAGTTTGTTAACTCTCCCAGCCAGCTATTGCTGCACTGCCTGCTTCAGATGTATGAACTTCGAACCTTTAGGTTCATTTGTATCGGTTTCATGTTCTGGTTGGTACTGAGACAGTTTCAAACATCTGAAGCAGGCAGTGCAGCAATAGCTGGCTGGGAGAGTTAATGAACTTTTGGGTGAGACTATACCATGCCAAATACCTTCTCAAAATTTAAAGATATGAAGTACAATTTCCTCTCTTTCCTTAGATATTTCTCTTGTAGCTGCCAGGCCATAAATATTGTCTCTATAATCCTCTCTCGCCTGGCATAAACCCAAACTACATTTTATTTAGGTCTACTCTCCCTTATCAATTTCTCAATCACTTTCCATAATTTTCCATGTCTTACCCTTGATCACACTCTTCCTTGAGTCATTTGGAACAGTACAGTACATTCCATCTTGATTGCATTACTAGTAGTCAATTCTATCACCATTGCCACACCAATGCTGCATCACTTGATACTTTCAGCAAAGGAGCAAAGGGTTTGGTCCTGAGCATTTTGGATTCTTTAGGTTGTACTTTTATTTTATGTGGCGAAGATGTTGAGTGTTATTTTATTGAATCTGAAATTATTAATGACAGTCTTATATGATGAAATATTTAATGGTTTCGAATTCTGGATCCTTGGTAAATCTAGAGATGCAGTCATAGTTGGATATACTGTACTGTACAGTAGGACTTCATTTATCTAAAACTTTAATACTGTACAGCGCAGTATCTGAAAATGTCCAACATCAGAAAAAAATTCCAAGAATTTTTCCAGTCAGTTATTGTGTGATAATTCATCCATTATCTGATATTGCCACTGTACTTTCAGAAGCAGGCATTCCAAATGGTGGTGGTACAGTGCTGTCATTAATAGTACACACTTAACAACAGTACTGTTACTGTACTTTTATTTACAAATCACTTTTATTTTTTTCTTAAAAACTTTAATAATACAATAATAACATTTATTCAGTAAAATTATTATTATACAACTCCTCCCCGACTTACAAAGGGGTTAGGGACCCAAATCCAGGTCGTAAGTCGAAAATGCTTAAATAATACAGGTACATAGAAAATCTAAAATGGGTGTCTCTTTTTTCTTCTCAGCACCACAAAACTCTCACTTTTAAGCTTGCCAGCCATTTTGAAGTGAATTAGAAACGAAAATTTTGTCAATACACAGCGCAATCACTGACGTTGGGACTCAAAAATACGTAATTTGAAAAAATTTTGGTACAACTGAGGCAGGTCATAAGTGCGGGTGGTCGTAAGTCAAGTAGGTCGTAAGTCGGAGAGGAGCTGTACATATTTACAATTGGATAGGCATGTATGGTGCATAAACTACAAGTGCTGTACAGTATACAGTTCAGCCTGAATATACTGTACGGTAGACAATGTAGGTACATTACAGTACTGTATATGGTACTGTATATGTAGACCAGTCCCAAGTTCTTCTACACCCACCGTTTATGGATGCTGGTGATTATGGTTATGATGCAGTTTTAACTGCAGTAATATTAGAGGTAGGCTAAAAGACTTGATAAGGTTGCCTCTTGTTGCTTCACTGTGGCTACCTCAGATGATGCTTATTTTGCTTACATCATGGTCCTGCAATTTTCTTGTTGCTTCACTGTGGCTACCTCAGATGATGCTTATTTTGCTTACATCATGGTCCTGCAATTTTCATTTGAATATGTAGAGGAATTTTTAGGTAAGTGCAAATGTTATTTTCTTACTTCCTTCCGACAGTTACAGTACATGCCTATAATACTGTATAGTACATCTTTAAAGAATTATTGAACCAATTTCGAGGGACATTATGTGAAAAAAGTCAATTACGGTATATGAAACAGTGCCCTTACTATTGTATTTTGGATAAAAGAGGTTCCTACTGTATTAAAGTGTATCAGTTATAGTACTGTATTGTATGTTGTCAAGTATTATAGATTCTCACCAGATAGTTTATGTGGTCACTACAGTTAGGTTTTGTGATAATGTCGAGTATTGTGGTGTACTGTATTGTATGGATAGAATTAAAAAAAAATTCTTTGGTTTTGTAACTTGAATGTGTTGTCGAGAAATTCATGTATATTGTGCGTTTGTTAGGTTTGAACATTTGAGCCATGAACCCCTGGTAGTGACTCTTTATAAGGCAATACTAACATGCATAACATCTGTGACTAATTGTATAGTACTAATGTCATCAAGTGCATGTTTCATAAGAATGTCCCCTTTTCAGAATCGTGCAAAAATGACCTCTAAGAAATCCTCGGATGCAAGTAAACGAGAGGTACTAACCCAGAGTTGTAGTGCATGCGCTTGCTGTAACTGGTGGTGATGGTGGGGGCTTTTGATATCTGTAGAAATGCAAAAATATTCGAGTTATTGTATTATTTTTATTCCTTTCATACAGTATTGTTTAAGGTTGCCTCACTGTGACCATATATAGTATTACTTTATCTGCTGTTTCTTGTGATGTTGTAGTACAGTACTGTATTGTATTTTCAAATCCATGTTTGTGCAATTCATTCTTGCACTACTGTACTTAATTTCTACCATGGTACAGTATTACTGAATACCATTAATTATTTTATTCATAGCTACAGTATATCTGCAAAAGTTTTTAGTAGCTTGTTCATTTATTACACCCAACTACATGTCATTCATTTTGTTTACCCTGCAGCTTATTAGAGATAATCTGTAGAGGACAATAATTTGTAGTGATAACGGCTTTAACAAACCTGAGGTTGCTTTAACCAAAATTAATCTTATAATTTTCAGCTTGTCTTATGTCTCCTGTGTAATCCATCAGTAAACTCAGTAGATATTGCATGAAAATAATACTCTGCTGTGTAACATCTTGACCCACAACTGACATGGCTGGTAACCTACTGTAGTAAAGAAACTCGTACAGTATCTTCTTTTTTTTTTGAAGCCCAGCTTGTTCTGAGTGCGATAGTGCATTAATATTTAGTACAGTACTGTATCCTGAAACTGCACTGTGAAAAGTTGCTTATCTATACTTTTTAGAAAATATACAGTTTATATGTTTATAATATCTTATCATACTGTATAAGAAAGGTTTGTTTACTTTGTACTTACACCCTATGTTTTCTTTTCTCTCCAGAGTACCGTAAAGACTTTTGTATTATTTAACTTTATTAAAAATTGTGATTTGACTACAGACACAGCATTTCTCCCTATCATACTGTAATTGTATCTACTGTATTTTTTCTTAGAAGTAATTTGTAATAACATTCCTCCCAGTATGCTAGTTGACATATTACATAATAGAAGATGTCGTTTTAGCTACTCATGTCAGCCAGAGAAGGAAGCTGATAAGATAAAGTTTATGAGTGTGGTGTGTATACGAACACTTCGTTGAATTAAAAGGTCACCCAAGTATCCTGATAAATTGGATCTGCATGTACTACACAGAAGTCTAAAAGTTCTCTCAGTCAGCCAGTCCATTAGCAGGGGTTGATGCAGCAGGAAAGATATCATGAGAGTTGTGGCCAGAAGCAGTAACTGAGTTGTCCCAGTGGAATGTCTCGGCAGACTGACAAGTGACTACAATCTCAGGAGAAAAACTGACTTATTATTAGAGAGATTATAACACAGTGTAATATTGTATACAGGGTATATCAGAAAAAATGTCGGGAGATCAATTTTACCAAGGAACCAGCTTTCTGAAGAAGAAAAAAGTGAATGATATGAATTGTTTTGGTAAACTGGAAGTGTTTATTTAACTTGTCACTTAACCTGAAGATTTATGGAATTATTGGAGTTATCCATTGTTATTTGTTCTTCTGTTTTACTGTACTGATGTTTTAGATTGTATCTGTCTTTCTGCATTTAGTCAGAATAGTATCAAGTTGACTGGTAGATAGTAAGGGTACTTGTAGGCACAGATGTGGAAAATATATCATAGATTGTTGGTCTTGTTGTTGTGAGTATACATTGCATTTTAGAACAGCTAAACTCAAAACAATGTATTGATATGAATTGTCATCTTTAAATGTACCGGTATATTACATTTGAGAAAGTTTGGATATACAATAATACACAAATATGGATTATCACCTGTGTTTTAGATACATGTATGCAAATGTAATTAAGGGAAACGTAGTTATTACATATCCTTCTTTTTCTCTCTAGACAATTTATGCCATCATTATCTTAAAAGTGATAGGGTCAAGTGTTCAAATCAAGTCAAATGTATGAGAAAGATTCATTAATAAGAAAATTAAAAAAGCTGATTTGATCCCTCAAGCTGTGTCCTCTTAAAATTTGCCCCCCCCCCCCCCACCACCCACCCACCTTCCCCCAAAAAAAGTCCTCGGGGTGGTTTAGTATATTTTGAAATCCATTAATTAGTGTTGGTCATTATATTCATTAAAATTTCAATGTTGGTATAATTTAAATTAAGGAAAAAAAAAGGAAATTATTCGTCCACTGGGCTAATCTGAATTAGGGTAATACGTATACTCTGTTCGCTTCCTGATTCTGACAGCAACTAAATCATAGGAACATCCTAATCTTTGCCCTCCACCTATTAACACAACCAATAGTCCCTCTACCTTAGCTACAGATGTCAAGACAAGAAAAAGAACAATACATTAGTTACCAAATAAATAATATCAACATAACTTTCATGGGTTGAGTGTGCTGGTCATCTAAATTACCAATACACTACTATACTGTATAGTATTCACATGAGTGGCCAGGCCAGTTCGACCATCACTGGGTGGCTTGTATGTGAGGACCCAGGACTCAAGAAGTTAATCATCCATGTCAAATAATGTTCACTATGACTTACCCTTGAGACATCAAAGAAATTAAGGTTGAGGGAACTTTATGTATTTACCTGCTATAATAATATACAGGGGTACATCTAGTATTACAGAACTGTACTTTGTGTTTCATAAATAAAAAAGGAAACTGTTATGCTACTGATGTAAACAAAATTTTTTAATGAAATTGAATTGTGTATTTTTGTTTTGTTTATTTGAGCTTTACATGTAACATCAGGTGAGCGTGTCCGGAATGTCTTTTCTGAGAGGTTCTGCAAACTATGTGTGGTGTACGACATCAGTTCTCGGCAAGGGAGCCACCGGTGCCGTCTTCCAGGGACTCAACAGAGTAAGCATTTTGTATTTGTTAAGGCTCTGTGTCTAAGGTGTTGGAGCAACTGGGTAGCCATGCTATCATTCTGCTCGTCTATAATATCTTGCAAACAGCACATCTCTTCAACAAATTTACATTTTCCTTTATTCACTCTTTCAAACGTTTTGCTTTTTAATATAAAAGGCCAGAATCAAGAACACATTATACTCACACATTCTCTCTTCATGCATTGTTATTTAATTATGCCTACTGGAGTTATAAGCATATTCTACTATGGCTCTCTCCTTCCATAAAGAGTACAAATCCAGATACCCTGTAGTCGCTGTTGCATCGCCCATCAGCGTCTTAATCTTCCTCGTACATCATTCAGCACTGTGCTCTCTGTTCACACTGTGTCTTCCTTATGGGGGTGTACTTTTGGTTCTGAGGATTTGTGTCTATTTTTCTTCATTTTTGGAGGTTATTTTCCTCACCAATAGAGGAAACCTTCTTGATTTTATTACATTTCAGTAAAAAAAAAATTTAATTTCCTTGTCAGCATACGGGTGAACCAGTGGCTGTCAAAACTTTCAATCAGCTGTCACACATGCGGCCACATGAGGTACAGATGAGGGAGTTTGAAGTGCTAAAGAAAGTCAACCATGAGAGCATTGTTAAGCTCTTGGCCATTGAGGAAGAGGTTAGTTAACTCTTTGTTAAACTTGGCAATAGAGGAGATGATTATATTAACCCAATTCAGAACACCTTTACTGTGTATGATGCCATGTCTGAGGTGCCTTTACCAATATGTACGGCTTATCTCCAACTTCAGCAAGAGGGGAGAGGAAAAGTGATCGTCATGGAGCTGTGCACCGGTGGCTCGCTATTCAACATACTCGATGATCCAGAGAACAGTCATGGTCTGGAAGAAGGAGAATTCATCCTAGTCCTCTCACACCTAGGTTGGTTGATCAGTCACTTCATGCATACAACACCCACTTTTATTTGTTGCTTGTATTTCTTCTCTTTTATAGATACTGTACTTGCATTTTCTTTCATGTTTTAACTCCTTGTGTATGGGGTTCTCTCATGAGCTGAATAAAGTCGTCTAGCTTTACCCAAATAAAATATTAAAAGTTGTGTCTCCTTAGTAAAGGGGATTAGTGGACTTTTATCAGTCAGGTAGTTTGGTTTATTTTACATCTTGTTTTCATGTAACTTTCTTTATCATGTTAATTTGGCCTCCTTTAGTTTATGTATCCCTGAATTTTGGTATTAATGCCCACCTGTGGAAGGCTGCTTAAGAATAGCATTTTTTCTTTTTTTTATTGGTATAGGATATTAGAGATTTCTTACAATGATAGTTAAGTAACTTATACCCTGTATATAGTATGTTTCAATGTGTAGTTTTGTGGTAATATAGGATCCAATACTCCATCATAATAACCATTTTTTACCATTTTCAGGTTATGGAATCAGTCCTCACTAGTAGAAAACTCACAGCTAAAAATTCATAAATTCTTTAGGCTTTCGGGTGAATAATTCTAGAACTTAGTGGCGCCTGTAGTATGTGGTTTGTGTGACTGCACTGCTTGGATTCTTCTTGACTTGTTTTTCTTTACTTTTTTCTATATATTTCATGTTTTAATCATTTATTATATTCTTTTTTTCCGGTGTTAAAAAGTAAATGTTAATGTGCGAATTCAGTATTACAAAGACCGGTGTTTGTGAGGAATGACTGTTGTAATTAAGGGCTCTGGTTGTTGATCATATTTATAGATAGAATATGAAACACAGATCAGTACAGTATAGCAATTATTCACAGTTATGATCAAATGCCCAGTTATTCTTTTAATCATAATCAAAACATTATACATGTACTTTATGTCAAAATTTGGTGGCCATAAAACACATCATCATCACCATCATTTTATGATCAATTTCTATGCTTGTATGGGTTAGCTGGGATGACAAGGTGGCAGTTCTTCAAATTTTGTAGGTTTTAACCTTAATTCTATCCCAATAGCTGCTGGTATGAAGCACCTACGAGACAACAGCCTTGTTCATCGTGACCTCAAGCCCGGCAACATCATGAAATTTATAGATGTTGATGGTTCGACAATATACAAACTCACAGACTTTGGTGCAGCGCGAGAGTTGCAGGATGACCAACAGTTTATGTCTTTGTATGGCACAGAGGAATATTTGGTAAAGTTTTCTCTAATTTGTATGTCCTTTTCTGATAGAAAATGTGTGTGTGTGTGTGTGTTTGTTTGTTGTTTCTTTGTTTGTTTGTTGTTTCTTTGATTGTGTGTTTGTTGTTTGTGTGTTTGTTTGTTTGTTTGTTGTTGTGTGTGTGTAATTAATTTAATGCAGCTGAGCATAATGCAAGGATTTTAACCCAATCTGGTATACAGTGCAGTATGTTGATATGTTTCAACAAGACCTGGCATAAGTTCCATAAAGTGGTATATTATACTGTATCATTATCATTAGTATCCAAATTGAGGACCCCTTGACGAACACTTCTGACACTCTTAATGCTAGTTAAGTCTTTGAATAGCTCGAACTCACAATTTTCAAATACTGTAATAATAACTGTATTCTATTTCTGTTATTAAAGTTAACTAGAATATGTCACATCTTTTTATAATCCATTTTAAGTTAACATTGAGTGACTTTTTCTTAGGACTGAAATTTAGCTTCCTACACAAGCACAGCTATTTACCCTTAAGGGATAAATATTTTTCATTTGTTTGTCTTCCCGGCAATAACTGTTGTTGTGTTGTCTTAAATGATTTCTTTTCCTTTCCAGCACCCTGATATGTACGAAAGAGCTGTACTCAGAAAGCCAGTAGGAAAAACCTTTGGTGCTAGAGTAGATTTGTGGTCTATAGGTAAGACTTTGAGTGTTGTAAGATGATGTAGTATATACAGGTACTGTATACAAACATATACTATATATTCTGTATATTTTTTAATGTACTCATGTATTGATAAGGTCAAGTTAGTTCTCATTTTGACACTGAAGAACCTTAGAGAAGTGGATATGATCTGGTCACCCCCTTTTCTCCCCCTCCTTATCTCTACCCTTTTCCCTGATTCCCTACCCCCCCCCCTGCCCCCCCACTCCACTCCTTTTGTTCCCCCTTTTCCCTGCCTTCCCTTTTCTCTTCCTTTTTTTTTCTTAGGCCTTCATTTTCAGCAAGAATAAAATAAAACGGGTAACCAGACCCAATGAACCAGGTGACAAGAGCCTTACAGTGTTTTCATTATATTAATCTGGGACTCGGTGTGTTTGTTCTCCTCTGTCGGCATAACTTTGAACAAACGATTCATAGGTGTATAATATACCCTAAGGTGAAGGGAACCAGCCATTCTTCTGATAGTTCTGGTTATAATGACAGGAGTCAAAAACATTGAATGAATTTAATTTATTTTTCTTCTTCTTAACTTCTTGTGTACCCCTGTATAGGGTCCCCTCTGTGCTGAATAAAATTGTCTGATGTTAGCCAAATAAAATATTAATCGTGGTGTCCCCTTAGTGCAGGGGTTAATGAGGCAGATCTCTTCTACATACATGGTGTTAGCTACTGAACTGCTTTATATTTATGAGAGGCACATTTAAGAAGCATCATTATTAAAAAGGGGATATTAGTGTTGTTCTTATGGGTGGTACAGGTCAGTGTGAGGTAATGGTTCATAACAGAGCTTTTATGTGATACATTAGATGGACTATTTTATGAATTATGATTGATTTGTTTTGTTTTACGTACTTGAAATTGTTTATGTACAGTATACAGTACACTATAAACCCTTAGGCCCCGGGTGACGTTACAGAACGTCCGACTATTTTCCCGCCATATTTTTTTTTTTTTTTTAAGTTAATTTTTTCTTGATTTATCCCCAGGGGGTTTACTGCCAGCAGTACCCTAACCTGGGGCTTAAGGGTTAAGTAGTTAATTTGATAAGAAATGCATTGTATTTGTATTATAGATTGAGGCCATTAAATAAAGTGCTTTTTTGGTACATTTCAATCAGTCTTCTTATTGATTTTCAGGTGTGACACTCTATCATGTAGCAACTGGGCAACTCCCTTTCCGTCCTTATGGAGGCAGACGCAATAAAGAAACCATGTACCACATTACTACAGAAAAGGCACCTGGCGTTATTTCAGGAGTACAGACTTCAGAGAACGGACCCATTGAATGGTGCACAGACCTTCCTGAAACCTGCCAACTCAGTTTGTGAGTTACAGGCTATGTATTTTTTGCTTTTTATGCTGTAGTGTTATTTCAGAATGAATGATCAGAGTGTAATTTACCTCAGTGAAACTAATTGGAGTTTAGTTGAGAGTAGAATAGGGTTAGATGACAGACAGACTGGCAAGTACATAAGAAGGAAATGAACTGTGTATGTGTGAATGAGTGAGTGTATTCTATACTGTGTCTGGGCAAAAAATTAATGGATTCAAAAAATTTTCATAACACTTACTTTTAAGCCAAAAGAGGAACTGCAATTTTCTTTATATGTGTATACAAACTCAGGTATCAAAAACAAAATCATGCCAAAGTTATACTCTAGATTTGACCCCTGAGCATCGAATTCTTGTAAGTTCTACATATGTTTCTTCGTAAGTCATGAGTTGGTAGGACCTAGAGCTCTACTGAAATACATTAGTCCCAACTTGCTAAAAATTACTAAGGTGCAGCATTTGCCTCCTGTCTTAAAGGTTTCTGGTTTCCACCTGATGCACCCCCATCCCCCAATTCACTCTGTTTTGAATGTGCAACTTTACAGTTTAGGAAAATGAAGGCATAGCCTGGATATAACCCATTAATTTATAAAAAAAAAGTAAAATTGACTGAAAAGTATACTATACTGTAATGTAAATTTGCTGATAAATTTTGACTGAAAAATGGTTTATTCTTCTTTACACCAGAGGCCTACGAAAGCTAGTGACTCCTCTACTAGCAGGACTACTAGAAGTGGACCCCCTGAGAATGTGGAACTTTGAGAGGTTCTTCCAAGAAGTGACAATGATCTTGAGTAGGAAAGTGGCCCATGTTTTCCTTGTTAACAAAATTCAGCCACTGACTGTCTATATGGGCCCAGAGCACAGGTAAAGGGACATTCATGTATTACTGTTTTTATTGTTTAGTTTTGCGTCTTAAAATCAGGTATTTTCTCTGCATCACTGTAGAATCAGTTTGAACTTAAGTCTACAACAGCTGAATCCAATTATGTCAACCTCACAAAAAATTACTCTCTGAAACAACAGTTATAAGTTTCACTTTTATAGTAAACTCTTTGTGTTGCTGTCACCAGTATTGGCCAGAAGATGAAATCATTCAAGGAACCAATGTACTTCATGCCATAATTATTTATAAACATCTGTTCTTATTGAGAAGGATTCCAATTTTGTCCCACTGTCTATTTGAGAGAGTTTGTCAACCATAATGGCAACTTGCAGTCGGTACATTTGAGTTCAGGGTAGTTCATCATTATCTGTTTTCTAATCATATTGTTTAGACTTGATCTTTGTCTCATTAGAATTACATACAGTTTATACTGGAATAGAGAATTACCTGGGTAGCTGAGAGGAATGTTTTTAGTGAACAGTATCTAGAGAAAACCAATTCACCGGAACAATATGCAAGAAATTTAACCACAAGTCTCTTACACTGGGTTGATGGTCACACACTTGGTGATCACCCAGCCTTCATCTCAAGATTATTGTAAAGCATAAAGGGCTTTAAAAATGATTGATATGGGACTAAAATGTTGTGTTTTGAGTGACTGGGTTAAGATGTAGATGTCTGCATTTTTAACAGAGGATACCTCAGGAAATATCAATTCCCAGGCATATAATGCTGTACAGCACAGACCATGATGTTTGCAACCAGAGTAAATACTCATGGAACTTTCCTGTATTATACTGTACACATAAAATTACAGTACTATTCCAAATTTAAGATAAATAATATTTTGTGAACACAGACAAGAACCCAGATAACCAATTGTTAAGATAAAAAATTTTTTTTGCCTTTCAGGTATGAGGAATTGCAATATCTTATATGTGAACAGACAGAAATGAACCCAGACAACCAGTTGTTGTTATACGATAATAAGCACTTATGTGATGTGGTGGCCCCAGACCAGCCAGCGTCTTCATACCCCTCAACCACCCCACGCACACCAATTGTTCTCTTCTCGAAGCAGGATGATGATGTTACACTTACTTTGCCGGAATCTCCAGGTAGAGTCTTATGTCTCTCATATTCTTAAAAGACAGTTTTAAGAATTGTGCCTGTATTATTTTTTTGAAGGAAATTTAATTAGATTATTGTTACTTTAGACTTACCTGCCGTGTTTGTATAATTAAACGTTCAGTGCACACTTTGGAATTAGGAATAATACTGCACTTATAATAGGGCAAAAAAAATTTCAAATCACCTACTTAATATTTTTTCACTCTGTATTGTATCCTTGATAAAAAAGGAAATTCTCTTCTTTAAGTTCTTGTTTTTAATCATGACATTTGATGGAAGTTAACCTCTTATGAGAAAAATGGGAATGATAGGATGGCTGGAGGTCTACTGTTACTGTTACCTCAAAAGGATCTTCTATGGGAGGGAGGTATTGGAGACATGAATTTGAGCACTTGTCAGCTGTGTAGTTTGGTACAGTAATTGAGATATATCATGAGATTGTTCACAAACAGCTGAGAATTTTAGCTCATGGTTATTTTATTCCTCGTGAACAGCTGTGAAGTTTAGCAGTTTCCCAGCATTGGTGAGTGTGGAGCACGATGCTGCTGTTGGCAAGTCCATGTGCTCTGTGGGTCATGCTGTTAAACGCAAGATTGACTACTTCTCAAAGTGTGTTCATTTGACAGAGTACAGTGTACTCATGTTCATGTAAGTACTCACCAGTCAAAATAAGAATTAAACTTTGTGTACTTTTTTGGGTTGAATGACAGTTTTACAATTATCTTGTTTCTGGAGGTGCATTACTTCAGGAGTTTTTATTTACTTGCTTCATATGTACCAGATTTACTGTAGGACATGATATAAGATTTCTATTACAGACACTTGCGGTTGGTGGTCATTTTCCAGACCAATTTAGTCCCACAGATATATGTGATACTTATTATGGTTACATTCAAAGAATATGATGATTTAGTGAAGCTGGTACCTTATAATGAAGTCAGTTTCTTTTGTAAAAGGGGATTATGTTGCTAATCACATCCAAAGTCCTCTTCTTGATGATGATTCTGTTCTGTATTAAGTTTTCTTTTACTGTATATACTAATAAAAAAAATTCGTTATATTGAATGAAAAGTGTAAATGAGAATACTCTACACACCAATACTTTCTCTTGTGGTTTTCCTGAGTGGAGACTGGTGTTAGGTAAGGGCAGAGAACTACATGGTTACATGAGGAGAGGTAATACATGGTTGTCAGGGTCATCAGCAGGTACAATAGTGGCACAGTCATGTTGAGAGGAGAACAGAGCTACTCAGGTTGGCTAACAGGGGTATTGTTGCTTTATTTGAAAAGAACGTGAAGAATGAATCAAGTCTGTTCAAGTTTAGTACAGTATTGTAGAACAAATAAATTGACACAACAAGCTGTAGGTGTGCTCTAGTGGCATCATTGAGGTGTATCAGATGTTTTCTCATAATGTACAGTGTGCCGTGGTGAAGATGCAAAGAGGGATGCACAACTTATTTATGTGTGAACCTGAGCCAATTGTTAATACAATGTTGGTGGTAAAAATAAACTGCTTATTGTGAATCCAGTTTTTCTGAAACTGGCTTAAATAAGAGCAGCTTGTACAGTACAGTACAGTACTAGATCTCTTAAGTATCACTATATAAAGATTAACACCTGTATGTTGTTGTGATAGTATTCTATGTACTGAGTATAATATATGATTCTTTTTTGTCATGTGAGACAAACTTAATTATTCTTTGAAAGTTCTTTGTGGATCTAAATTTTTTTATTGAACTATTGACTGAATATTAGCTAGTATTTTATATGTAACATTTTGTTCTGGATGCTTACATTGTGTCAACAGATAGACTATTTTACTATATTTTCAGAGCGGTGATTGTTCAGGAGCTGACAAGTCTTAAGAATCAGATGGGCCACGTACAAGCCTTAACATCAGCTGTTAGTGACCGCTTTAGTCAATTAGTGGCTAATCACCGCAGGTTCCTCATGCTCACCCAGATGTGTGGAGGCAACCAGGACACATCTTCACAGCCTCTTAGGGAACGATTAGAGGATTTGGTCAACAATAAGGTTGACTCTGAGAAAGCTGTAAGTACATAACCTGTTTCACTTTGATGTGCCCCATTTTTATCCTAGGTTAAAGCTTTTCAGATTTTTATCCGTTGTGTCAGTCTTTGTATAACATAACTCATAAGGCATTCGCAACTGACACTTGTGAAGTCCTTAAGAATATACTGTGCTGTGGTGTGGTTTCTAAGTTCCCTTGGATGGCTTGTGGTTTCCCCTTTGTGTCTTCTTAACTAAATTACACTCAAATTACTGTACTAAAACTGGTTATTTTTCCCACATATTTTTATGTCTTTAATCTGCCAGAGCATCCTCATCTTCACCCTTTAGTTGGCAATGGTCAAATCATCATAGGGCTGTCAGGCTGTGGACCACAGCTAGAGTAATAACTAAGAAGCAGTGTTGAGAAGTGTGAATTCAGGGTAGAGAGGTAGATTATACTTTACTGTATACACAATATCGCCAGCCTTCACCTTGTCAATACATCGCAAATGTGTAACTTATTTCGCTATTTTGAACAATATACAGTATATTAACATTACATAGCTGGACAGTATGGAGTCAATAACATGGTACCTAAATTATGATAAAAACCATGACAATATGCAAGTGATCTGATCCCTGTATAATATTGTCTCCTAGCTGAGCTGCTCCACATGCAATGTGTGTATTTGTTAATGTACACTAGTAGCCTGTGTGTTGTGTGTGTTTCTGAGATATGAAGCTCCTTTTTGTAAGTAATTTAGTGCTATAATTTTTTTTCTTGAAATTGCGAGCAGTTTTTGCCCAACAGACCCAAAGAAGAATTAGCTAAGTGTAAGAGTGATAACAGAGAGTGTGGTTAATAGCTATGACAACCAATACACACACACTTGACCATTTTCTTTCCTGTTGGGTCTGGTATTAATGGTCATGCAACATTGTTGCCTCCTGTTTTAGGTACAAGTTTAAGATAGACTGGATTAGTTCATTCCTTATTTTCTTCAATAACCTGTACAGTAATGGCCTAAATATTGCATGAAGAATATGACTTGAGCTGATACATGGAATGGACTGCTATACTGTATATATTCTAGCAGTTATGGTGGTGGTATCTAGAATCCACCCTAACATATTCTAAACTAACCTGACCTGACCTTAACCTAACCTGACCTAACCTATATATGCTATTAAATCATTGTGATGGCACTCTAGGCATCCTCACAACCAGGGATTGACAAGCTTGAGGAGCTGGTGCAAAAGGCCAGTGATGAAGAGAAGGTGGTGAGTGTAAAGTGTTGGTATTTATTTATTTGGAGCAGTGTAGCACAGGTCCAATGCACTTGCACTTGTTTCATTCTGAACAACAAGAGGTAGAAAAATAACTTAAATGATTAGGTAAGGGAGGCAAAACCCACATTGATCTGGCTCTCTCTAGCTACCAAGTTTATTTATTATTACTCTTGCAAACTTTAATTTTAGCACAATGACTGCTTCCTTCTCCTAAAGCCTTTTTCTGCTGTCATGAAGGATGGCAAGAATTAAGAGTAAGCACAGTATCTTTCCTCTTTCACTGCAATTTGTTCTATATCACTTTTGCAATACCATAGATATGCTCTGCTATGGTGATCCCTTTCCACAACAAGGCCTCAAGGTATCCATTTGATTTATCCCTGTTACTACACAAGACTTAGCCTGACCTACCATATACACACACACATCCCCTATAACCATGTGATGCCATACTCAACCATCATTCATGTTCATTATTTCACCTTGGCTCGCCACACCCATTGTATCTCAGGCTTCCTCTACTCCTTCCTTCCATCTTCTTCTCGGCCTTTCCCTCTTCTTTTTGTCAGTCTTTCATTTCTTATTCTGTCAGTACAGTGGTCCCTCAGTTAACGAGCACAATTCGTTCTAGAAGGTTGCTCGTTAACCGAAACCATTGTTTCAATGGGTTTTTGGGTAATTGGTTCCAGCTCACCGAAAATTGCCTAAATTCAACAAAAAAGGTAGTAAAGTACACTTAGTTTGAGGTGTGTATGTAGAAAGCTGCTATAACGCGATAATTGTGTTCTTAGAATGCGGGTGGAGGAGAAGGGAGAAGAGAAGTCACCTCATGGCGCCATTTCACCCATAAAATTTTAGTTCTCTTGGTGTAATTCAAGAAATTTTCTTTAAATCAACACTGCACTGCATTATATATTGTCAATATGTAAAATATATTTCAAATTGACCAATAATTTGCTTGGAAACACACAAAAAAAGCATTTAGTTGAAGAGAGTCTGAAGCAAGATGTTACCTCCACTGAAAAGACACAGAGACTGACGCCTGTATGGTGTGTTGACAGGCTGTATGGCGCGCAAAAAACTACCTTCCTATACTTCAATTATGTTCAATAATTGTTAAAATGACTAAAAAATCTAATATAAAACTTTTAAAATTATTGAATAGTATGAACTTCTTGATATTTACTAAAATAGTAAGGAATTTAAGCCCTAGAACCAATTACTGTATTGGCGGACTAATACTACAGCTGGTGGACCGCCAAATGCAAGCGAAAACATGTTGAGGTCGGCTCGTAAAAAACTCGTTAATCGAGGGATTGCTCGTTAACCGAAGTTAAGAATCTTATGGAAGGTAACTCGTTAACCGAAATCTCGTTAACCGAGGGATCACTGTATGTTTATACCACCTGAGGATACCTTGGTCAACAATTTGTCACCTCCATTTGCTCTCAAACATCATTTCTCTTACTTTCATTTTGTTTCTTTCTCTTTCATCTAGGGTCAAATGTGTCACACCTGTACAATTGAATTTTCACAGCTGTGTCCTCATTGACACAGTATTCTCTCTATATATTAAGTTCTCTATGCTTTTATTGGTTCATTCCCTCTTTCACTGTGGCTCAATTCATCACACACTTTGCTCCATTCTCTGACAATTAAACTGTACTTTTCTTCCTCCATTCAATCTAATACTCATGTTCCTCTTTCCTCCTTTCGTGTCTCCCTCTTATTAGTCCATATATACTGTTACTTACCTTATAGATGTGTTGCTCATTTCTATACTGTATCTCCTACTTGCACACCTCTCCATTTCACCTGCTGTCATCTCTCTTGTTATTCTGACCATGTAAATGTTGAACATCCATGGTAGTACAGTACTGTCTTCAGCATTCTTCTCACAGTCCCATTATTACCATGAACCCTTTCCCTCCTTCTTGACACACACTTGATGCATGCTTCACTCTCTATATAAATAGAGAACCTTTGGACAGTATTCAGGAATTTTTCATATATCCCACACATGTTCACTACTTCACTCGTCACTTTTATGTCAACTTTATCATATGCATTTTCCAGTTCCGTTAATGCTACTAAGATATTTTTTTCCCATTTCCAGATATTTTCCACTCATTTCACCTTCTCTCTTTAAAATTGTGTCAGGAATTCCATCCACTCCTTGTACCTTACTTCTCTTAAGCTTCTTTGCAGCCAGTGTCACCACTTCCTTACTGATCACTTATTTCTTCTTTCACTAACACTTTCATCCTTTCACTTCCCCAACGTGATAGCTCCACCTATGTCTCGTCTGTTGTGTTAGGCAGATGTTCTTAATATGTTCCTCATATGGAATTTCTGAACTGTATCTCTTTTATTCTTCACTGCCATTTGCATATGTTCTCTTGGCTTTTTAGTCTCATTTTATTCTTCTAGATCAGTTACAGCAGCTTCTCTGTTCTCCTTAAACCCTTGTAACAACCTTTCTCCCCTACTTTTATGGAAACACATGACATAACTAAGGAGATGTTAGTTTGTCTGGTACAGGATGTGAGCTATTTGGCAGAATCACTGTAGGAAAAATTAAGGAAGTTACTGCTGGTGCTGCTGGAGAATAATTTTGTGAAGAAACGTGCATGAAATTTACCCAAATGGAAAAAGGGCAACAGTGACTTAATTGATTGGTATATAAGGAAGATAAGTGTGTATCATATCACCATTGTTATGAGAGGAATTGTGTCTATTAACAGAGTGAGGTAGAGGCTCTAGGGGGTGGTAGTAGTAGTAGTGGTAGTGAGGTGTTTGTGTGAATTTTGAAAAGTGTTTAGTGGGTTTAATTTCTTCTGGTCTTTAGAAGACTGTGCATATGAAGGAATTTGAAGTTATATTTCTTAAGAATATAACTGAATACTGTTGACAGAAAAGTTATAGCCAAAAATTATGTATTTTGGGAGAGTGAAAGAAAAGAAAAAGTGACATAAGTGTGAAGAAAAAATAGAACACCAGTGTAGTGGCAAACCAAAATCAATAGAAAAAATTATTACTATAATAAGTTAAGTTGTCATGCATCACTAGAACTTTCACTATTGTACGGAAGCAATTTATTTAGTGACTGAATGAACAAACAGTCTTGGGGTTGTACGGAGACTATTTACTCATGGATGAATGAAAAACAGTACTTTTTTGGTTGGGGCAAATAAGGGTGTTATGGTTCATGAAAAAAAAAAAAGATACATTACAAGATTTTATTAATTTGCATGATACTCAGAGGGGACCCCGTACACAAGGGGTTAGGAAGTGTTTAATCTTGTTAGGTGAGTAAGTAAAGACAAAAATAAGTACTGTAATCAGAATTAGTAATCTGATATTGAAGGTTAAAGTCCAGGGGCTGGATACTCAAAGGTAAATACAATATTGTATCTTCCAGTTGCCTGTGTAAGTTGATCCTCCAGGTTGTAAGTCCTCAATACAAAATATCCGCCATCTTGTGATGTTACATATTATATTTAGAGGCCATAATTTACAAGATCTTCAGTTGTGAGTTATCCATAATGACAGATGAATGGTTTATAGCACAGGTTGGAGCTGGAGGTTTATTTTGCACTGAAACTTTGCAAAATAAACCTCCAGCTGTAGCCTATGTTTTCCTTCCACCTTGAACTGTTCATATCTGGTTGTCTTGCCATTTCTAAATCCTTGTTGTTCAGAAACATCACAGAGTGGCACCTCAACATAAATTTATTATGTTACAATTTGCTTTGAAACATTTATAATTTGCTTACTTTTCAATGATGTTTTAGAATTTCTTACTTATCAAAGATGTTTCTGACTTAGATAATATATTTATTTAGTCAGTGTAATTCACGTTAACCTTTTCCATAGGTACGTGACTCTCTGAATGCCATAGTGCCCGTGGTGAACCAGCTACATGAAAGGGTGGTAAGTGGGGCGCAACTACGTCGTCAGTGGCAGCAGGTGAGGAGTGATGCAGCAGCTGTAGAGAGAGCACCAAACAAAGCAGCGACACATGTTAACAAGATGCGGGAATCATGGCAACACCTTCTGAGAGACAGAGCAGCAAGGAGTACGTGTCTGAGGATACTTTTTGACAAATTTGGACTAATCAACTTTGTAATTTTTCAGTAAATGCAGTGAACACCAAATCTAAAAGTTTCTGACTGCTTTTTTACTTTGGCTGTCCCCCACTTCACTTGTATACAGTAATATCTCCGTTAGCCGGAATCCCTCAAACCTGGAACTCTCCGATAGCCGGAATTGAAATTTTCTCAGAAAATCATTCCCAAAGCCGAAATTTTCCGGATAATTCCGGCTAACTGAGATATTACTATATACAAGTGAAAGGGGAGATAGCTAAAGTAAAATAGCAGTCAGAAACTTTTAAATTCAGTGTTCACTGTATTTACTGAAAAATTACGAAGTTGATTAGTATTTACTGGGGAGAGTATTTTTTCCAGGGGGATCAATCGAGACTCTCGAGCCTCCCCTGGCTAAGGGCTTTGTGTGTTTTAGAATTAATGGGTTTTCCTTAAGGTGATTGGTAATATTTATGGATTTGAGTCGAGTGTAACTGGGGGTAGCTTGAACATTGACCATACTTATAATATGTCCTTGTTACCGAGCATTGAACACTTGAAGGTAATGGCAGGATCTGTCAATGAGCATATGATAGTGGTATCATGTAGTTCACTCTTTAGGACTTATAAGCTATGAAATGGAATTAAAGTTTGTTTTCATGGAAATGTAATAATGTCTATGGACTATAGCTAAAAAAAATCAGTTCTCTGCTTCATTAGATTCACATCCACTTTGGGATTTCAACTGTACTTTCGCTTTCAGCCTTGACTTTCAATGATGAACAGTTCCATTTGTTGGAGAAGATGAAGATGAAGGAGACCGCTAAAAGCTTGGAGACTTTGATGGCCTCTGTCACTGCAACACTGCATCACACAACAGATAATCTTGCTGACTGGTGCAAGTAAGTGTTTGCAATTAACTTTTTCAAGTTGAACTCTAAATAGGATACCTCTAAGTGAATGGTCATGGGTTCATAGATAAATTGAGGGATTACTTTACATCTTCCAGGGTTGCCAAAGTTCAGCGTGTACAGACGGAGATAGAAAAAGCAGATGTGGAGAAACATGAAACACTCCTCACCTCCTTCCAAGCCACCTTTGGTGACACAGAGGACAGCTACCACCACACACTGTCAGAGCTTCTTGCAGCCATCAAAGATAGAAAACTTCAAGATGATGCAAGACTTCAAACAAGGGTAACAATGTGATGAGTCAGTACTTGTTGAAAGTTCCAACAAGACTTCAGACAGGTATTTATGGAATGCTAATGTGGCCTGCAGGCCACATGTGGCAGTGTAACTATTTGCTTTGACCCAGGGATTGCAGCAGAAAATCTTTCTTAGGTATTATCAAATAATTTGAAATAAAGAAAGCCATTAAAATGAATGACTTTCACTAGGGGTCACATAATTATCAACCCTCTGACAGATATTGTCTTGGCATCTGCAACCATGGAGGTTGTGTTATGAGTTACAATTTACTGTATAACAGCCACTGCTCAGGAGGCTGAAACACATGAGTGAAAACTATTACCACTTTAAGAGTACAGTATTAAGTCATGTGAGTCCCTGGACTGTATGAAGAGTAAACACTGGAGTGGTTGGTCCAGCCTGTACTAAGGCCTTAAGGATTAGTCTTGATGGTAATGGTCAACCAGTATTGCATTTTATACTGTGTAAAGAAGCTGAGGTTCTCATAATTATAGTATCTCGAGGGATACCTGTATTCCCACACTTGGCTCATTAATGAGCCTTGCAGAGTCACCCTTGGATATTCATGATACTACCAGTCATTCCTGCACTTCTGTATCAAGGTCTCAATACCACCACCACCACCATTTGTTTTTACTTGTTGTATTTTCCTTAGTTGTTCGAAAATTGAAGTTGAATATTAGGTAAAAAAAAAAATACCATAGTAGTAATTTAAACTTTGACTACCATGACTGGCCAGTTTCACGGTGATAACAACTTACATGTACTGTACTGTAATTGAAAATACCTAGACTTAGTATTTTGTGTTTAGATTCAATTATTAATACCAAGACTTACTTGGCATTTTGTGTTTAGATTCAATTATAAATACCTAGACTTAGTATATTATGTTTAGGTTCAATTATAAATATCTAGACTTACTTAGTATTTTGTGTTTAGGTTGAAGACTCTGATGACAGCAAGACATCCAATAGAATCAGGGACTCACACGACACACAGAAGTCAAAGAAGGAAGACCTAAACAAAGCGAAAGTCAAAATGACGTGAGTATATCAGAGATGCTGACGATTGTATCAATTACCTAAATGTTTTGATAATACTGTGCATAATTGTACAGTATTTGCCCAAGTATCTTAAGTTTAAATGATCTTTTTAGTAACTACTACAGTATTACTTTTGTGCAGAATTTATATAATATTTGTTCTTGTTATTTATGAAACTTGAGATATTTATTTGATTTTCCTTTCCCTAGTATAAACTTTTTTCTTAGATATTCAAATTTATTTTAGATTTAGAAATAGTTGTATAAATTACTGAACTAAATAGTGTGGGAATTTTGTTGCAGTTTACAGAGAAAATTAAGAAGAATTATACTTTAGTAGATCGTGTGTGGTAAGGCTGTTAGAGGGAGTGAATGAGTGAGTGTCTGTATTACTCAATGGTTTTAGCTCCCCTCTGCCATAATGAGAAAGAGAATGAAAGAATATCCCAAATAGGAGTAATGGGACGTTGATGAAATTTCTGGGTACTTTGTTAAGTTTTGAATAGAGAAAATTAGGTAGAGATCATCATTATGGAGTTATCATTTGGGGGAAAAAGTCATTCAAGTGAGGAGAGAGAGAAAGGGATGTACAGTAGTTGATTATAAACTTCCCTGCCTTCCTCCCTCTCTCAGACTTAGAAGGTTAGTTAGTATAGACTTGGATAAATTTATATTCACTGAAGAATTACCTTTTAGAAATCATATTTAAAGGTGTTTATTACTGGCAGTCTGCGCGAGATGTGTGAAGCTCAGGAGGAAGTGATGAAGCTACTTGAGGAGAATGGCATAATCATCAAAAAATTTCAGCGCTTAACAGCCCTGTCAAGCTTGGATGCAGATGGAGAATGAGATGTGATTATTATGTACTTTTTTTATATTCATGGTACTGTACTTTTAACCTTATAGAGCTGACTGAGAAAAGTAAAGGAGGAAAAATACCAGTCTCGTGTTTTGATGTAAAAAAAAAATATGGAAAAATTTGCAATATATTCATATTATATACTTGACATAAAGAAGAAAATTTCATCTTCTTGAGTGATTGTTTTCTCTGGTGGATTATATTGGTTTATTCTTTCTACCAATCAGCATCTTATAATATACTTGCTTATGATTGGGAAGATCAAGTCCTTAGACAACCTTCTGTCAGTATTGAGGGATATTTACCTTATAGGCATCCCCTCTCATCACAGTCATCAGTCCAAAATGGGGAGACCAGACAAAATGGCAAGAGTCCTAACTTTCAGCATGATGTGTTCTCATTGGTCTGACTGACAAGTGTTGTATCTGATCTCTCTATTTTGATTGGTGGATGTGATGCAATGATGGGGTATTGTTCAAGGAGTTTACCATAATAAACAAATCATAAGCCTTTATAATTACAAGAAGCTGTCGGGCTATGTCTGCATTCGAGCATTTGTTTGTGATGACTTTCTTCACACATGTTTCTTACTCATCCTGGTTTATCTCTTCAGGTATAACAATTGAATCCACCCCAGAATTAGGCTGGCTTAACAAATTTGGTAGGAAAGGAAACTATGGACTTATTTTTCATTTATTGTTTTTTAATCAGCCTGAAATAGAAAAGGAGTATACAGTATAACTTATCTCCCAAATATGGTTCTTTTCAACAAGGTTTTATCGTGAAAATTTCTCACAGATCAATAATTGTTATAATGAAACAGCATCTTAAAGATATGCCTGTAATTGTCATGAAGGAACCAGAGTAATTCAAAGATAAAATGAGAGTTAACAAGTTTTGACTCCCTTTCTCTCTCAGATGTGGTGATATTATCCCATACAAGAGGATACATAACATCTGGTGCCTTGGTTTGGTAAGGTAACATTTAAGTGTACCTTAGCAAGCAATGCTTATTCTAAACACCTGCTTATTTAGATTAAAACTGAATTAATCTAAATTAAAAAAAAGGTTTACCCTCACATTGGTGTCCACAGTTTTAATTCAGCTCTAATGTTGTAGCGTCATTGAGTATACAGTACCTCAAGCTCACTTTAAACCTGTATGTGATTGTTCATAAATGCTTTACTATATCATAAACTGTAGTCATGTGTAGTATGAGATAAGGCAGTACAGTACATTAGTTAAATAGTGTTATAACAGCAAAGGTAAATTGAAGAACACAACTTTAAGTCTATCCTTATTGTAGGCTTGAGTGACTTCTGTGTATGTAACATGTACTGTTTCTATAATTGCCATCATACAGGCACAAACAAGCTCAGTCATTTGGTTAAGAAACTAGCTCAAGGGTATGAATAGTGTCTATTGCATTTGATCTTTTGTATGAAAAAGAAACTATTATTGTTTTGTAAATTTTGTTCTATACTTAAAATATATGCAGTCTTTCATTTTATTGTTCAGTATTCCTAGCATGAGACAGTAGAATAAAAACATGTCGATCATAGGTAGTGATATTTCTGAAGGAAAGTGGTTATTATTATTATTATTATTATTATTATTATTATTATCATCATCATCATCATCATCATCATCATCATTACAGTATTATTATTTTTATTGTAGCCATTTTAGAGAATGAATGACAGACAAAGAAGACTGTGGTTGTTCCTGTTTCTGACCTTCTTATATCTTGGCACGGAAAGACTTGTAAGAGTGAAATTTTTATTTATTTTTTCACTCCGGGATCACCAAAAGCACAAACAGTACAGACTCTTCTGTTATTTACCATCATTCGTTCTCTCTAACAGGTATATGAAATGTGTTCCTCTGTCACAAGGAACAACTGGTGGGAGACTGTGGTGCTCTTCCTGTAAGCAAGTGGGAAAAGGCTTGTCTTTGAAAAATAATATTATTATTATTATTATTATTATTCCAGTTTTATGATTATTATTATATGTTTTTTTTTTCTTTACTAGAAGTAAAGTTATATAATGATTGTCCTCATCATTATCATCATCATTGTTATTATTCACATCATGTTCATAAGAATTCCCATATTATCTAATCCATTCTAGGATTTAAATTTTAAGTCTTCTTATATACTATACTGTAGTTTAATGATTAATTTAAAGGCTTGTACAGTAACTACCATTGTTGATAGGATACTGTACCTGTATTATGCAAATCATAAAAATTAAGATTTATGTTCTAATATTCACAACTTGAGTGCTATAAGTTCTCAACCTTGAGGTCAGTCAGTTTATTGAAACTTTGGCCTTGGCAACACCATAGTCTTGAATTTCATGGTGACCATGGCAGTTTTAGGCCTTTGATTGTCTGTGATGGTCCTTGCAGAAAAACTCTAAGGACTCTGTTCTTTACCCCTCTTCTGTTTTGGCCTTCTCATGAATTTCCAAGCTTTACATAGATATGTAATTTTTTATAAGTACAGATTTAAATTTTGTTTTCTCACTGTGTGTACCTCTCAAGAACAATTAAGACATTCTGCTATGTGTTGCTTCAAGTTATCTTAACATTTAGTCAGAAGGGCTAATTCTTAAACACTTAAGAGTTACGGGTCAAGTGAGCTCAACTCTTACTGGGCCTCAGTGTAACCAAGTCTTACCATTAGGATTGGGTCCTGCAGAATGGCTCTCCACAAAATTAAAGTCTTATGTACTGGAGCCCCAATCCTCATGGTCAACTTAGGTTGGGGTCTTTCAGGACTGGGACTCATTTTAGCTGTCATCCCTGTAAATGTGGTTCACATTATTAAAACGTGTTATCACTTGAAGTGATGATAGGGCATATGATAGTGTTTTTTATTCCAATTATAGGTATTACTGTATATTCATACCAATTATGTATGCATTAATTTTTTTTTGTAATATTGTAAAAACAAATGTAAATATTTTTATGCATTGTTGGTGTGAAATAATGTATGGTTTTTATATTGTGCAGAATATATATATATATATATCTACAGTAGTATATAATTCTTTTTATATTGAAGTACATATTGTTTTTGTTCCTCTTTCCCCGTGTGTCTATATACCGTTTGAAACTTATTCCAGTACTTTAGTTCACATATACTGTATAGTATAGCACTTACATTCTTTATTCTTAAAAACCCTTGGAGTAGTTGGTGAGCAGTGCAGTGCAGGAGAAATGACTAATGAAATGTGGTTAAGTATGTACAGTTGCCGACATGTGCAGTATACAGGTAGTGTTCCACCCATTGGTGGCCTTTCCGAACAGGGGGTAATGTTGGAATCATAGTCGAACCTTCTTTTCAGATACTGTATTACATCTATCATATTGCTTAGCACAAATCTCAAGAACAATATTTCCAAAAAAATATATTGTTGACCACATGTTTGGTAATGCCACCGAGGAGTGGAACACTATACATGTGAGCAACTGTATGTAAGTACTGTATATGCAATACAGTATAGTCAACCACATTTCCTTAGTAATTTCTGAGACACTGCTCACCATCTACATACTTGTTTCTACCCACTATTTGTTTTTCTATTCTGTATACCTCACCTTGGTACCCCTCTATTCAGTTTACCTGCAAATGCATCCTGTTCATACTTTTTAGCTTGTAACCCCCACATTTGTTCCTGCACCTGGCCTCCAGGTATTTATCCTTGTCACCACCCATCTTCCAGCCTTATACAATTTTCATCTCCTTTACCTCTGTCCACTTCATCATTCCACCATTATGTTACTGCATACATGGCTTGACCTTTTGTCCGCCCACACACCTTGTCAGCCATGCTTAACAGAACATTCTTTAATGTGGCCCAGCAACTCACTAAACAGTATTACTCCTCACACTTTCACTGGTCATCTCTGCTCCTCTCAACTCAGCCAAAAATGCTTCATTTACTTTCTGTTCTTTGACTTTCCACACTCTACTTCTTGACACAAACACTTTTCTTGTTCCTTTATAACAACATATTACATACAATCAATGCTTAAGGCAATTCTTTCCCTGTTATCACCTTTACATCACCAATAAGCTTCCAGTCTGTTTTCCTGAGAAGTATGGTTAAAAGTCCTGTCACCTCTCCTTCTGCTCCACGACTCCATGAACCCCAAGATTCAGACTCGTGAACCCAAAACGGTAGACACTGATGCATTATTCTGTTCATGGATGCTTCAGATTCACAATGAATCTCGGGGTTCATGGAGCAACAGGAGAGGTGATAGGACTGTTGACTGTGACTATACCTCATTAAATCCTCTTTCAATTTGCCCTGTTGGAGGATCAGGTCTTGCAGGTACAAAGGCTTCTATAAGTTCATTCTCTTCTAATTATCCAAGTTCTTGTAAAGGATGTTAACAAGTCATGCCCGCTAGCTTGTTTTCAGCCAACACTTGAGGAATGTGTGCCTTTACCACCATAATGTAGTAATGTGCATTTCCTTTTTTATTTTTAACATATTAGAGTAAATATGTTGGTTTTCTTGTAATTACTTCATTTCTTATTATTATTTACCAGAGAAAATATAAAGCAAAGAATAATTAGACCTAATGCTCAAACAGATAAATCAAGATACAGTATTTTTTTCCTAGTACTGTAGTTGATTTGAAACATCTTTTTCATTTTTCAAACTGCTTTTGTACACTATTATAATACTATCATCAGACTATTCCCAATTGAAATATTTAAATTGTCTATTGCATCAGGCTATACTGTATACCTATCTGCATTTTACAGAACCAAACTGTGAATGATGGTATAGCTTTAGAACTTTAGCTTGTTAATGTGCAAAAAGGAATATTAAAATATTTCACAACACTTTACTGTACTTTGTGAAGATATATTCAGGCGGTTGGCCTATCCACTGTTAGTACAGGAGGAAACTGGAATCCGGAAAACCTGTGATGTTTGGTGGGGCCACACTGGATGGATAAAACTCTTTTCCCATGTGTCAGGGCCAAGCAGGACTGAAACCCTTGACATATTGGTGAAAGATATGCACTTTACTGCTGTACCACCAACACCCCTTCACTGTTTTGGTATTCCTCAACAGAACTTCTGGAGGAATTTTATGTCATTTGGATTTCATTATTTTCTGTAAGTAAACACTAAACGTATATTACTCTATATTCTAACTCATTACACATATAACACTACGGTACAGGTATATACAAGGTGTTGTTTACTACTGTGAAATCCTAATGGAAAATAATTGTAAATCAAACGGTTTCAGTTGATCTATTCCTTAAAACATGGTGCTTTGTTGGGTGTCTATAACTTCACATTTTATTAGCATTTTATTTTATCATACAATATTATTTTTCTGGACCTGTATTTTTCAGATAACATTATAAGTTGTGCAGCACAACAGCTTGGCACACAGTTAAAATTATCTAAAATGAATGTACCAAACAGTTCCACAAAACTTTTTAGAGGGAAACAGCACGAGAGGAAGAGAGTGAGTTGGGTAGTGTGTTCAGACTTACAAGCAACACAGCTATTACCTTATAGACACTCGCATGATATAAATACTGTATGGTAATATGGGTCTTGTACAGTACCATACATTAAAAAGAAAAAGGCAAATGTGAAAAAAAGATTTGCCAGCCTAGAAAACAAGAATGATACTACACAGAAGAGCAAGAGTTGTTTAGAAAGGAACCCATTCAGGACGGTGTCAAATGTAAAACAACTAATTTACATGTAGTGCGAGTCCTTGGTCATCTAATGGTAAGATTTGAAATTACAGGCAGTATATGACTACGGGTATTCCAGCCAGCCACCTCTTTATCTCCTTATCTTTTCAGGGTCTCATGTTATCATATCCTTATTTTTTATCTAATGGCCACCCACTAGAGGTGGCCATGCCAGGGGAAGGAGGCCAGCGGCTTGTGACAATTTTAGCAAGGGTAAATTTGAAGCCCAGTACTGTTTTTGATTCCACAGCTTGGGCTGATAGACCTTTCCCTCTTCTCTTTGTTTTCCTGTGTATACATTCCTCTATTGTTAACTCAAGGATTTCCATGAAGTTTTGCATTGAATCATCTATGTCTGCCTCCTCTAACGATATCCTCCCAGTTAATTCTCTTTAATATGTCTCGTGAGCTGGTAATCTCCAAAGATTGTATTCCATCTTATTATGCAGTCGTCACTGGTGGAGTTAGTTTCTCTCTGATGTGGACCTCACTCACCATAACCTCCTCAGTCATCAAGACTAAATCTAGAATGTTGTCTTCCCTTTAGGGGTCCGACACATGTTGTGTGAGGAATGAGTTGAATGCCATCAAGGAATTCTTCTCCCTCAACTTGTGTAGTAAGATTCATCGAGTCTATTGTCTCATAATTGAAATCTCCCATGATAAGGGTTTTTGCTCTGGATGCTGTATGGATGACTCAATGGAGATCTGCTACTACCTCCTCCAAAGCTGAGTCGGCCATATAGCACACACCTACTATCAGCTTGCTTTGTTTTGAGTTATCAAATCACACCAAATAGATTTGGATGATCCCATTTCATTTAGCTTGTAATTAATGGTTTCTGTCAGGTGTTCCTTGACATAAGAGTAGTACATTACCACCTCTGGTTGGTGATAACAGTAAAAAAAGTTACCATGAAACACATCTTGTACACCCCAGGAATCGCAAATTCCACTGATGTCTGGTTGTTGTGTCTGCATATGCGCTCAATACATCAGTCTTATTAACTAAACTTCCATCATTTGTGTACCAATACTTGATTGGCCCATTTTCTAGAACTGATAAGAATAGCCTCTTTGCCAAGGTAACCTTAGTGACATGAGGAGTTCACTGCCCAAATCTCAAAATTCCTCGCACAAAAAGTTTTGAATGATGTAATGTTTTTTATGTTTTGTAGAGACCGGCATGGCACGGCACGTCTACACTACATATTTGCATTGTACAACATGTCAGGGGTAACTCTTGAGCTTTAAGGCACATGGGAAAATATCTGTGGAAGCTTAGTAATATAATTTAGATAGACAATATTTGTTATATATTTTGTGATCTTTCATTGCAGCACAATATTTCTTTTTTTTTTTCTCTCAAGTCTTTGACTTTGTAGTGTTTCAAGCACTAGTGAATTCTTTAGTAAACTATTTCTTGATTCCTACATCATATAAACACACAGTTTTCACCAGAGAATCTTCTAGTAGATTAAGTATAAAAAATAAAAAATGTGAGTGTTGGAGTGGCAAGGTGATTCATTTTGACACCAGCAACTTCTATTACTTTATAATGGTTGCAGAGTACTCCAAGAGTGGGTGGAGCTTAGCCTAAAGGTTAAGCAATAATAGTTCTTGAGGGGATATTGTGGCAGGGACTTAGAAATCTCCCTTTCTCTTGATGTTAGTTTCACATATTTTATAATCTAATTACAGGTACCGTACTCAACTTATACAATACTGTACAGTAATTCTTTATTTTCTATGAACCTCACAAATAGATACATTCTAAAATGTTTTATGCCTCTTTTTTCTTTCATACAAATGAATCCTTAAGTACCTATACTGATGTAACTAATGTACCAAATATGTTCTGTAGTATTTTACAAGATTATAGAATCAGTGCACATCTGTGTTGCACTGATATTGTTATTGTCTAGCAAAAGTTTCTTCACCAACCATTACAAGCACTACAGCCTTCGGAAGATTACCATATGTCTCGTTCATCAGTGTAGGATCATATCAATCATTAAGGGCACATTTAATATGCTTAACTCTTTTTAGAGGGACAGGGAAAAGACAGTCAACACAGAAACTTTTTAATCTCAAAATAAAATAAGCAGGGTCGTTGCTCCCACAAAGTAATAGGAAGATTTTGATAATACAATATACAGTACAGTACATTACCTGTACCTGTATTAGCTGGTGGACACTCCAACAACAGTTGGCCAAGACAGGGGGAGGAGGTTTAACGGCCTGTGTAGGATCCCCCCATTGTTCTTCATACTGTAAATCTTATCAATGACTATTTTGAAGCCCAGTATTGCACTGTTGTTACTTTCTTGCCTTGAGCTGGTAGACTATTCCATAGGTCGTACATAAATCTGATTATTTAAACTAATAGGCATTCTATGAGTCTGAATCTAAAGTACTGTTATGCACAAATATGGGGTTTAGTCTGTTTTTGGGTGCAAGTGTTCTCCTAAAGTACAATTCAGGATCTCAGATACGCTAACTTAGATCACTTATAATTATAATTACCCGGTAGCTTTTTCTCACTATTTACATTGAATTATTTTCATGGTCAATTCAAAATTTTTAGTTAAGTGCTATAGTAGGTCAATCTAGATACTGTAATACCATACACATTTCTACGTACAGCATTCAGTAAATGTTAACATAATCCCCAATGTGGTTTCCTTATTTCTGTTTCTATACCTAATGAAGGTTTGATTCAGTGACTGGACGGCCCATTAAAGGCAAGTATCATTTCCGTATACAGTATTACACGTTGACCCTTCATCCAGATATTCACCCAATGCAGTAGTGCAATACAGTATGAAAGTTGCATACTGTATTTCAAACTTAGGTAATGTGAATTAATATGCGCACCAATGAATATGTTTTGAAACATTACTAGAAACTCCATTGCTAATTATGTGTGAGGATGTCATTCTGTTATGTGTATATATATATATATCTCTTTATAGTTTGTAAATTGGAGGCCCGGGCAAATTACTGTAACTTGGTAAATAAGGTATTTCAAGTGTTTGGTGTGGTTTGGTGTCCACGTGGGTTACCGAATGATGCAACCTGTGATGTAACGCACCTACCCAGAGCCGGTTACCTCTCCAGGCTATATTCTATGTAAATAACTATATGACTACTCTCTCATTTTTCTTGAAATCTATGATATATATTCCAAAATTTATATGATACAAAACTAAAATAAGTGAAAACTAAACAAGCTAATTCTCGAATACTTAATATGAGTTAAAAAAAAGTTCCTCTTCACGACGATATAAAACTAACCGAATTATTCGAATGCGTTAAAATATATATGGTTGCCATTATACAATGATAAGACTAAATTTTAACTTGGCTTCTGATCATGATATATAACAGAGACAAGGGGCAGGCAGAAGGCCGGGTGATATAGTGTGGGCAGTCGGGTTTGGGCTGCCACAGAGGGAAGGTGCACCAGTCGTCTGCTCTTGCAATTACACTCGCCACCACTCTTACACATCCACCGTGATCTGCAACGGTCTTTGAAACTTATAATATTTATAAAATACCTTACAAGTATAATCATTGATAAAAACTGTTATTCAGCTCATGTCACTAGAGTTAAAAGTTTTGGCTGTGATATAAAATTCGACCCCACCAGTGCCTACTAGTACTACTGACCTGCTGATAGTGCCCAAGCTGTGATAATTTTATACTGTTAGTGGGGTTTATAAATGAAAATAGTGTGGTAGACTTTCTAAGAGTGTTGAGTGTGGTCGGCGTCGTAAGGTCGTCTGCTAACAGCTGACTGAGGCGCAGCAACACCACCATGTATAACGTCTCTCGCGGCCCCAGCAGGATCATAAACAGAACCAGGAGGGGTGAGACTCATGCTCAGTTTTCTCTATTATTACCGTGAAAAACACACTCCAGAAAGACATCTTTTTGATAATAAGGTAGGGTAATGGACCGTGTAATGACAGAAGCTTTGTTTTACCCACAGATTTAAGTCAGAAACTAGAAAGTTTAGATCAAGTCCGGGAGTTGACAAGGAAGAACTCGGTGACAGAGGACGCGGAACACACTACTATGAGGTAAGTCCGCAAAACAAAGTAGATCCATGTGTTCACTACTTTCATTTCTCGAGGAATAATAAAATACAACCTTTTAATCAATCTTTTCTTGCTTTATGAACAAGGAAACGTGATAAGATATTGTATTATGTTATATGCTGGTGAGTGAAATGTCAAGTATAGAGATATCATTGGGTAGGAAAATTTTTACTTCTTAAGTATTATAATGTCGGTAATACAGTACTACATGATTTTATTTTCCTTTTACTTTTTTTTTAAATATACTGTTTGCTGTTTTTAGTCAATCTGTATTTACAAGATTCAGGTAGTCACTTACAATCCTGGCTACACATTCTTCTTTTGTCTTTACTTATTTTCTTTCATAAGTTTTACTCCATTAGTTAACACTTTTTGTGTGTTAGTTATACATTACCTGTGCTTTTGGTTTAAACGTTGGCAAGATAAAACCTAGAGGTGGTTGGAATTGATGTTAATGTGTTTGTCAGTGTGCTCCATTTTCGACTGGATAATATCATTGTGTGGACAGTAGTGCAATTGTTACCGTAATGTTGAGAGACATACGAACATAAGGTAAGATTTAAACATAAGAATGAAGGCAACTGCAGCATGTCTATTGATCCATACTTGTCAGCCCTGTTTACACCCAGCCCATATCACTCGTCTGTCCATCCTACAGTATACAGTATTTGAAGCTTCCCAGTGAGTGCAAGTTATTGATTATGTATTGCAATTTATTCCTTTCATCCACAGCTGGGAGCCACGAATTACCCAAGAGTACCCTAATATCGGTCCGACTAATTACTCAAATGTAGCAAAATGTAGCCGCAATGAAGTCAAATAATGGTCCTACATGAATAAATCGGACTGCTAATCACTTCTCGACTAGTATTTGGTGTCAGTCACAAAAAATTGGAAAACTTACTTTAATCTGAGTTAATAGATTGCGTGCATGTACCGAGGGAGCGAGTAATTACCCAAATGTACCCAAATGTAGCCGCAATGAAGTCAAATGATGGTCGTACAAGCGTAAATCGGGCTGTGAATCACTTCTCGATTATTATTTGGTGTCATAAAGTCACAAAAAATTGGTAAACTTAATTTAATCTGAGTTGTGTTAGGTTAGGTTAGGTACATGCACTCGATCTATTAACTCAGATTAAATTAAGTTTCCAATTTTTTTTGGACTTCGTGACACCAAATACTAGTCGAGGTTAGGTTAGGTTAGGTACATGCACTCGATCTATTAACTCAGATTAAATTAAGTTTACCAATTTTTTGTGACTTCGTGACACCAAATACCAGTCGAGAAGTGATTGGCAGTCCGATTTATTCATGTAGGACCATTATTTGACTTCATTGCGGCTACATTTGGGTAATTACTCGCTCCCTTGGTACATGCACGTGATCTATTAACTCAAATTAAATTATGTTTTCCAATTTTTTTGTTTTACTTTGTGACACCAAATACTAGTCGAGAAGTGATTGGCAATCTGATTTATTCATGTAGGACCATTATTTGACTTCATTGCGGCTACATTTGGGTAATTAGTCGGACCCCCCAAATATACCCGAAAGTACTCAATAGTATAGCAAATAAGGGTAAAATCTTAACGAATATCTGTTATACATACACAAACATGTTTAATAATATTTTTAGTGTAATTTTGTAAAAATAATTTGTAAGATGAAATAATATACAGCGAAAAACTTTCAGTATTGGCGAACGCTAAATTCCAATGAGTTCGTGAACAAGGGAGATAACTCAGATCCATCGTGATGCACTTCGCTAACCTAACCTAACCCAACGAAAAGTAAATCCTACGGCTATGTTAAATACCCCAAAGTAACAGAAACATCGGTAATTATATCTCCATTTTGGATAGGCGACTCATTGGAATTTAGCATTTTTTGCTGTTTATTATTTCATTATTTTGACTACATTTCAATGAAAACATTATTAATCAGGTTTTATTGATGTAAAACATACAGTATATTCATAAGAACATAAGAAAATAAGGAGTCTGCAATAGGCCGGTTGGCCTGTGCATGGCAGTTCCTGTCGAGTTACTACCACACTCTATCATCCATGAATCTATCCAGCCTCCCTTTGAAACTTTCCAGCATTCCAGCACTTGCTACAAAGTTGCTAAGCTTGTTCTACTCGTCCACCACCCTATTTGTAAACCAGTTCCTTCCTATCTCCCTCCTAAAGATTTTACCCTGATTTAATATACTTTTGGATACTTTTGGGTAATTCGTTGGACCGTCCACAGCCCTTTATTTCTAAACCAATTTTTACCTAATTCCTGCCTAAATCTAAATTTGTCCAATATAAATCTAATGTCTTCACTCTATGCTTCTCAAGAGAATACTAATTAATTTTCTTAATCTTTCTCTATACTCAATGTCTGAATGGCTTCTGGGAATCAGTGTCCATGCTGTAGTACAGTGACCAAAATTGAACCACTACATAATCCAAGAACAGTCTCACATACAAGATAATATACAGTAGTTGTAAGGTAACATCGCTTCTGTTACTATTGCTCCTAGATTTGAACCTTAGTATATACTGTACGTACTTTGTTAAACCTTATTTCGTATATAAATGTATTACTGTACTGTTTAGGTTCCTTCTTTTCATAACCTGCAAATCTTTCTCACATTCAGATTCATTATTTTTCATTGTTTAACTGATTGTTTGTTCCAATGTTTCTGTTCCTAGAACTTTAAGTTTCCACATTAAATTGCATCAGCAGCAGGTAAAGTTTTACTTTTGGACAACACCGGAATCTAGGGAATTTTATTCTTGCAATCAATAATTAAGACAATTCTAATACTTTTCCTCTAACATTTCCCTCGCAAATGACCTAAAATTACCTAACCTGGGGGAACCCTAGACACATATATATGGTAAGTTGTTTGTAAGGGAAACTGTCTTAGAATTGTCTAAACTATTGATCGCAAGGATAAAATTACTAAGTTCCTGTTTTGTCCGAAATTAAATAAACCTTGCAGCACATACCTGTTTAAAATATTGGGCAAATTGTTACGAGTGTAAATATTAGAAGTTCTGGTTGGGGGCCCTGCTTTCTTTAACCCTATACTGTACTGTGCTAGGTGAGTTATTCAACTTTGCCTAGGTGGAGGAGTGGGAGTTAGTTTTACTAGTGGGCAACACTGTTCCCTTGGCCACCCACACCTCCCTACTGTACCAATTTGAATCTCTACATGCACACACAATGTATTCTTTATATATAAATTATTTTGTGGCCACCACTGGTAAAAATTTACTACAGATTGATAAAGCTTACTTCGGGTTACTTTATATAGGAGATTAGAAATAGCGCAGAGGCTGTTCCTGTGGGCCTATAATCCTGATGATGATAGAACAGTATTACTTGATGAGAGTGGTCCAGCCATAGCAGCTAACTGATAAAATTTCTCCGTAGAAAATAAAAGACTTCTTACCTTGAGAAACTTAAAAAAAAAATGCACAAGAAATATATTTTGTGACGTAAAATGGGCAGAGGAAGATGGCCAAACACGACCTTCCCACCACGTGTACCTATAGGAATACTGTACTGTACAATATTATGTTAGGTTGGGTCTGATAGAATACTGCACTGTTGAATTTTTTCTCCACGGGAATTTCAGGAAAAGTGTTTTGTTCAGGTTGTTCAATTTATCTGTTCAAACTGTTTGAGAGACTGTTATGAAAAACTATAAAGGAAAAACTATAAAGGACTTTGAAAGTTGCTATTTGATCACCATCTTCTGTAAACCCCCCAAAAAATAATTGGGAAGAACAACAACAATCTCGGACTAAAACGAACCACTGTCATGAACTGTAAAAGTGAAGTGATGCAAAACACATTACTATACTCTTTCATTTTTTTTACGTATGAGGAAATTTAATCAGGTCCTGTAGTTGCTAATATCAGACCCATCTCATCAAGTACAGTATTACGATACTGATAGAACATGCAGTACTAGCTATTACTGTAATCACATGTTACTGGTTACTATACTGTTCTTCCATTCTAGGACAGGTAGATTTTTTTGGTTCGTCATATTAACATTAGATGATAATGTACAGTAATTAAATTATAATAACAACGATGCTACAAGTTTCCGTGTTTATGGAAAGGACAAGGATGCTGCTGCTGCTGTTGGGAAACCCACACTGCTGCTATGGTTGATGGGTGTGGCCACACTAATGTAATATTACAATACAGTATTATTATTGCCGGTATTTTTAACGCAAGAAAGAAAAATAACGCTGCAGTATTCCATTCCATTCTTGGTATAATGATAATTTGTCTATATTTCATACTTATTACTGTTTTTACTTTTATCCTCTTCACCACTGATCAGCTCGTTAGCTGCTTGGGCAATCGGCCACGTCTGTCATGTAGATCCACAATAGAAATGTGGCCAAGATAAATCTTGATAAAACCACACAGGAAAAGGGAAACACTGGAGCACCTTAGCTTTCGTCTTTATTCAAGAAGTCTTGAATAAAGATGAAAGCTAAGGTGCTCCAGTGTTTCCCTTTTCCTTTGAGGTTTTATCAAGATTTGTCTCCAAATGATATATTTTTCTTTCTTACATTAAAAATAACAGTGGTAGTAATAAAATCCCATTTTACATAATACTGTAATATTACATTAGTGTGGCCACACCCATCAACCACAGCAGCAGCAGCATCCATGTCCTTTCCATAAACACGGAAACACGCACACTCAAGTTACAAATGTATTATTGTGCTAACTGTTGGTGTGATAAGGTAAGCTTAGATTCAGGAAAATAAATGGAGTGTTTGACCTACTGTAACCATATACTGTAGTATAGTATACTTGTACTGTACTGTATTGAATATATATTTTTCCTTTTATAAAAGTTCAATAAAGATGCTTTGAATGATTATCCCTGGTTGATACTGTAATTGAGGCAAAAGAGGTCACTGAAAGTACAGTACATGCTAAAAATTATCATTCAAC